TAAGGAAATATTTTCAACTCATGGATTACCTGATCAAATTGTTTCAGATAATGGGCCTAGTTTCACTGCTCATGAGTTTAAACTGTTTTGTGTAGCAAATGGTGTTGAGCATGTAACCACATCACCCTATCACCCTGCTGGGAATGGTTTGGCTGAAAGAGCGGTAGGCATATTCAAAACCGCTATGGTAAAAATGAGTACCGGTAACAAATTTTCTCTCAGGGAAAGAGTAAACAGGTTCTTAGCCAAATACCGCACAACTCCTCATATAACAACAGGTGTTGCACCATGCGAATTGCTGTGTGGTAGGAAAATTAAGACTCACCTTGACTTACTACATCCAACTGTTCAAAGGTCTGTTTCCCAACATCAACATACACAAAAATTAAATCATGACAAAACATCCATGGAAAGAGAATTTGGAGTTAATGATAATGTGTATCTGAGAAATTATGGGAGAGGGGAAAAATGGATGCCAGGTCAAATTGTTCATTGTACAGGACCTGTGTCTTATAAAGTAAAAACAAATAATGGACTTATTGTCCGTAGACATGCTGACCAATTAAAAATAACTTGTGCAGATAATAAGTGTGAATCTGTCAATCCCACCAAATCTGACCAGTTCACACCAACTCAGTTTGTTCCACAACCAAGTTCTGTTGATATGAGTGAACCAAGTATTCTAGAGTCAACGTTGTTTTCCAGATCACCATTGCCATGAATCTGATGGTGCAGAATTTCACAGACTTAGAAACCAATTCTGTTTCAGTGGAGAGAATTGTGGAGTACACAGAATTCGCTCCTGAGGTTTGTCCACGCCCCAGTGATGTGGCAGGCTATGGGGCTTAGTTTGCTTTATCATTTGCTTTCTGTTTGAGCTCTCCATCATTAAATGTGGGGCTCACCCACATATGCACAAACACTGGGCAGGATGCACACGTTTCATGATTGTTCTGTTTTTCATGGTTTGCTTTGCGTAACCAGGGTTTTATTTTTGCTCATTTTTTCACCTCCTATCCTAATCAGAGTGATGTGAACAATTTGTCATAATAACAAACCAGCTGTGGTTAATCCAAATATTTTCTAATTAATTGCTTAAGTTTTGCACTCAATTAAATTAAAACTGCATGATTAACAAAAAAAGGGGCATTAAAATTGGCTTATTAATTAAAAACAAAAATATTTTAAAGGAAAATTACACATAAATTAAAATATTAATTTAAATTTTTTAGTTAGATTTTTAATAAATTGTTTGATAAAAAAAAATATTTGAAAAATTATGTAAATTATTTTGTTCTAATATAGTAAGCTAATACATTTAAGTAAAATAATGGATAAAAAGTCTAGCAGAAGTATTAAAAATCAAAGGTTGATTATCATGTTTTATAATCGAATAAAAGCCCGAGTGGACCAGTAAAGGAAACCAACCAGCAGCTGATTGGCCCAGAGATGGGGAGATCAAGTTTGAGAACTACAGCACTAGGTACAGACCCCAGCTTGATCTTGTGTTAAAGAAAGTCTCATTCACAGTCAACAGTGGAGAAAAGGTTTGCCACATTGTTTCAGTAGTCTTTAACTTGGTGAGGCTGTTGTGAGACTGGATGGCATCTGTAGAGCTAGTTGGTTGGTATGGTCTGGTGGTTTTTTGGATGGAGGTTGAGGAGGGGGGGGGGACAGCACAGTCTAGTTGGTAAAGCTCATGGTTTCTAAATTGAATAGTCCTGAGGTCAAAACCCTTGGCAGATGAGGCTTGATAGCAGGGAACTACCCATCCAGGAGAGAAAACTGTCATATGAAACTACTGCTGCCTTGTAGTTTGTTCTTGGTTGGACAACGGCTATAGAAGTTAATCCAAAAAGAAAAATTGGCTGAAATCTGAGTCGTCAGACTATGATGCATAACATGATGGCACGTAATACTTAATTGTGTTTGAGGAAATTCCTTCTAATATTACAATTAAGAATGAAGAAAAAAGTGAAGGAGATAGTTGAAGAGACTGGGAGCTATTGTTGCTTCAATGACTTAAACATCCACCTCTCAAGTAGAGCTGCACTCAAATGCACCCATTTTACAGGTTGTCAAGTTTTGATTTGCTCAATGAAGCCAAGATAAATCATGTTTTAACTTTAACCTGTTTTTTGCATTAAAAAGGGGTTCATGAGAATGCAACAATATTGTTGTCTACAGGTTGGCATTGTAGGTCGAACAGGTGCAGGTAAATCATCACTTTCATTAGCACTGTTTCGTCTTATTGAAGCCACAGAGGGCAGGATTCTAATAGATGGACTAGACATCAGCACTATTGGTCTTCATGACCTGAGGTCAAAGCTTACAATACTTCCCCAGGTAAGGAATCTTAACATTCTCAATCATTTTCATTAAACAACTATGAACAAAATCTTATTTTATTTACACCTTTTTTTACCTTTGTTTTTTTTTTCAAAAAAATTATTTTATTTGGACTTGTAGAGCCTATATAAAAACTTTAATTCATCCTATGATCATTTGTTGTTTTCTGTGCTGAATATTTTTTTTTTATAAAACAAGTACTGAATTAGCTTTGCCTTGTAAAACAAATCCCTTATCAAGTATCATATTTAAAACATTTTTTTAGGATCCTGTGTTGTTTTCCGGGTCATTGAGATTCAATCTTGACCCATTTGATGTCCACACTGACCAATCTGTTTGGGAAGCTTTAAACAATGCTCATCTGGGTGATTTCGTTAAAGAACTACCTGGTCAGCTCAATTACATAACAGAAGAAGGAGGGCAAAATCTCAGGTATGCTTCACTTTTAACAAACCAGTCATCTCTAAGTTTAACTAGATATTAACACGTTTGTTAAACTTGAACTAATTTTTTTTAATGTTTAGTTTAAAATCAACTGTTCCATTTAAAAGCAGCAATTACATTGCAGTGTTGGTCAAAGACAGTTAATGTGTCTAGCTCGTAGCCTTCTGAGAAAAACAAAAATCTTGATACTGGATGAGGCAACAGCAGCCGTAGATTTAGAGACAGATTTCCTACTTCAGAATACAATTAGGAAGGCCTTCAAGGATTGCACTGTTTTGACAGTGGCACATCGGCTCAAGACAGTTATTGATTATGACAGGTAAGATTTTTAAATTAGTTTAATAGTTTAATGCACAATTAAAAACCAACAGGTGATAATTTTGAAGACAGTATGTATTTCTGTAGCAATACTACTGTAACAGAGACTTCTTTTAAAACTCTTTTACACAGAGAAGATGAAAAAATATTCTTTAAATTTAAATAAATATTCAAGCTGTTTTTGTACCATCCAAGTTTTGTTTATATGCTGTGTCCTTCACAATTTTTCAATATTCTAAGAATTCTTGTACTGTCTGATGGAGAAATAAAGGAATTTGGAACACCAGCAGATCTTCTCTCCAACAAGCAAGGAATTTTTTACAGTATGGCTAAAGAATCAAATCTTGTACAGTAAAAATGTTCAAATAGCAATTTATTGTGGCCTACTTTTGCAATGTTTTTATACTTATTTTACTTGTGTATGAATATCAAAAACTTTCTAACATTGTAGTCTATTTTATCAAATTAATGTACCAAAATTACATTATGGTCCAGTAAAATGTACACATTAAATTTGTCTTTTGGGTAAGATTCTAATTTACACTTTTTAAAGGAATCAGTACTGCAATCAGTATGTAGGCTGTCATAATGAATGCTTCAACTTAAATGGCTCTCCTTATTGTACATTTTCAAATGATAGGGTAGCTTAAAGTAATTAAACAATACTAAACAAATGTAATTCTCTCTAAGCCTGGTACAAAACTTATACTGGATTCTAACACATTTTGGAGCAAAATTATGTCTTTCAAACTTACACAAGAAGCAAATTAACAGTAAATATTTCATTTGTCAGACAATGAAGGGCTTTTTTTACTTAATGTTTTTAACTGACCAGATATAAGCAGTGATAAAATTATTTTTATATTTATATAGTATCATTGTGCTTTATATTGCTTTTTATTTATCTAATTGGTGTTACAGAAAGGGTTTAATGTGATCCTTTAATCATGTATATCCAACAATAATTTAAAATTGTGTCTATAAGTTTAAGCAAAGTGAATACAGTCATATCTGATTTTATCACATCACTTAAATTCAGTTATATTACAACCATATCATTGTAAATAGTATTTTTTTAAAGTCTTCAGCTTGAAAGTGGACAGAGACACTAGTCATTTTATTATATGTAACATGTAATTAAGCCTAGTAACCATCTAGTCATTTAAAATCAAATAATAAATTTTTATCTTAAAAGCGTGATAATTTATAAAATTTTAAACTAACATACTATAAATAAAAGGGCTGTTTTTAAACTTGTCTATAGTTTTTTCTATCAAAATTTCATAGTTTATATTAGTATATTTTAATTATACTAAATGATTATTTTAATAAACATCTTTTTAAAATGTTTTTACAAAATATTGAATTGAAAAATTAACAAGAGCATTGCTATGCCCGTAAATTTAAATGTTTATACATATTGCTATGTGTAATATTTATATTGAATTTTGCAATAAACAGGCAACATCATGTTATTGCTTTTAATTTTTATTGTCATGCTGTAATTAACATGTAAAAGAGGATAATGCACATATTTGTTTATAATTAAACTGCTTGACTTAGTATAAAATTACTCCTAGCAAGGAGCTTATCGCCTCTTTTTATATAATCAACATATAAAACATCTTAATTCCTATTATAAGCACAAGTCATACAGGTAAAATTGTATATACCTTAATTGAAAAAATAAGTTTCATATATAAAGCCATGTGTTGATTGCATATTAATAGGAGTGATATATTGGTAAAGAACATTGCTCTTTTATCAATTCCTAATTGTCTTAGTAAATGGTTAATTGTGAAATGATGGATTGTTGGGGCCAAAAAAGATACTATGCAAAAATGGAGAATTATAATTGTATTAAAATAAGTATAACAGGCAGGCCTACATTATTTTAAAAATATATTTAATTGCTTAACATTTAATACAATTTGACATTAAAAGTAAAATGTTTAGCGAAAGCAAACACTTGTAACACAGATTCACACAATTACATATATTCAAGACAGCCGCTACATAATCAAAAATGAATCTTTAAAAACAAAATTCATTAAGCATCATTATATACCTTATTACAACATTAGAGTTCATTAAAATTTATACTTGGATATATTTTTTTTTTAAAAGATGAATAAAATGTTTATCAAAGCAAATCATAAAAATAATCTAAGCCTTGTCCGATCTCCCATATCGAGATTCCAGTTCCAAGTTCTCTGGCAAGATTGAGACGATCCTGAATAGATTTTAGAGATGGATAAACCATGCTGAATCTACCTTTACTGTCCCTGAAATAAATTGTAGACAAAACATCAATTTTAGTACTGTTTTTGAAAAATAAACAGTAATTGAATTAGTTAAAAAATATAACCTTAAATTAAAAACAATCTGGAATTATTTTAATGTTTTAAAAATGTTTTACCATCAGTAAGGAAAAAAAATCACTAGCAATTAAAAATGATAATTGCTTATACTAGAAGTAAAATTTTAGTATGTAAGATTGGTTTTTTGAAAAATATTGCGATACAAATTACTGATGAAACAAGCCAAATATTGTATTGATAGTGTTGATATCTTAAAATTAAATAGTGCCTCTTTAGTTGGATGGACAGAAAATCATTTATACAACTATTAATGCAATTAATGTAAAAAAACTGAAATAGTGACTAGAGTTAAAAAAAACTGAATCTTTCAGTAACTCACGTGTAATCAAAGCTATGCTCAGCTGCATGATTACTCCAGTTAATATTAGATGACTTAGATTTCTTTAGATTTTCTATAAATCTGCGGAGATGATATCATAATTTAACAATGTAAAAAATAAAATTATTTTAAGATAAAGATATACCAGTTGTTTCGATACCAAAAGTATTTTACTTACTGTGTCCCTATAATATGTTCACCATTTGATAAAGAACTGTCTTCATTTACAACATAACGCAAGCCATAGAAATTTAGCCCAACAAGTAACTTTTTTCTAATTGAAGAATCTTGTTCTGGAGCCAACTTTAGAATACAATCTTTAACCCACAACAGTGGACTATTGGGACCAGGTCTGGAAATTATATTTTCAAAATTAACCTAAACTGTTTTACAATTTATATTTTATTATAAAATACTACATGATTTAGTTGATTTTTAAAATTGTATTTATTTATATATGACGTACATTATTTAAAATTATAGTTTGAAAGAAGATTATTACATACTAGTACCTGTTTGGACCAGAAAAGTCATAAGTCATCAGACTAAATTTGTCAACATTTTTCTCCATAGCATCAACATCTTCTTTACTAATAAGGCCTTCCACATCTCTGTCATTAAATTCAAATCAACATAATTTTTGAAAATTCTATGAAAACCCTTATTAGTATTAGTTGTTTTCTTCTGTTACACTGTATTTTTTATTTAATTTAAGGGAAACATCAATTGAATAATTAAAATTGTTTTTAGCCAATCAACTTATCAATTACTAGGTGGTAGCTTTTAACATAATTACAGGAGGAAATAAACAGTATAAAAAAAGCACTTTTAATACCTTCCATAAAGAGGAGGAGGTATAACAATGATAAGTTCTTTATTTGCAGAATGGAACATCTCGCCCATATGGTTTATTAAATGTACCAGCTCCCTGAAAAAAAAATTGTTTCCTTTTGAATTTAATAACAACACTAATAATGTTCAGAATAAGGAAGTAATGAATGAATTCATATTTTAAATAACTAATGGTAAACAAATAGATTTTAGTTATCAAAATTTTTCTCATGAATAGTAATACCTTATAACATTATAAATAAACTTAGGGCCTACCACAAATTATGAGTTAAACAAAGAGTGCTTTAAATTTTTTGAGACAGAAATTTAAAATAAACAACACTTTTTACAGGATAAATTAACAATAGACCTTACTTCCTTTGTTTTCCCCCCAACTGTGACCATATTTCAATCACAGCCCCAGGCCATTTATAATTCTGTGAAGAATAAAAATAAATTATACACATATAACACAAATAAAGCATTTTAAACTTCAAATGTAGCATCAATATCTACATTGTAATTGACTTAATTATTAATATTTATATTAAAAATGCTTTAAATGCAGAAAAATGTATGTAGTTTTAAAAATACTTTACCAATATAGGTTTTAAAAATGTACATTAGATGCAGTAAAGTAAAGAACATGTGCTAAAAAGGGCCATTTGCACTAATGCTCACTAAAGTTTTCTGTTAAAATTACTAAAATATCACTCTTGTAAGATGGAGATATGTTAGTGTGATAAAAACTTCAAAATCTGCAGGGATATTTTTCTCAACAAATAACAGTAAAAAGTATTTAAACAGCAGATTTGAGTTTTACTTAGGAAAAAACATTTATGATTAAGGCTTTAGATCTTGATCAACTTAATGTTTTAATATATTATATGGTAAATTTTACTTTCATTTAAAAGCTACCTTTAATGTGTTAATAATTGTTTCAATACAGTCTTCCATTGCATCTTCACTTTTAAATACTGCATTATAATCATCAGCTGTCCACCCATCAAAAAGAATTCTTGGAACTAAAAATTATACAAATAAAATTAACAATATTACCCACATAAAAAATGTTGCCCACTTATAAAAATCATATTGTTACTCTATGTTAAAATTAAGAGGATCAAACTCAAAATACCTAAAAGATTTCTAAATTACTAGAGGTACAAAGATGGGTGAAATTTTTTACAAGATTTTAGATTGAAAATATTGATGTTAAATAGAAGAACTTAAATCAAATACAAAACTGAAATGTCTGGCTACCTTACATATGATAAATATATCTAAAACTAAAGTAAAAATTAAATAATATCAACTGACCTAATTGAGTCTTGCGCCCTTGTATAACATCTGAGATCCATCCTTAATAGAATTATAAATAGTAAGCTTACACTAAATTTTAAGTCTGCTTAAAAGTAAAAGTATTCCCTTAAATGCTTACTTTAGAATAGACATTATTTACTTTGTTGGATAATAAAATTTGTCTCCTTAAGTGTATTTAAGTTTTGCTGAGGGTTAGTTTAACAGAAACTAACAAATGTCACAGGTACTCTATTAAAAGTTTACATAAATTTTACTGATTGGAGAATGTTGTTTCACTGACCTTTGTCAACATCATGAGTTCCATGAATTTGAAATGCCCCACCAGGCTGTCTTTTTATCTGAAGCCAAACTGGTGAAACAAAGTTAAATTTTGCTCCAAAAAGTTTAGCAATATCATAACCATGGTTGTTCCACTGAAAAAAATATTTAAAAATTATAACTTATACACATTCAGATAAAAGATTTAACAAATTTAATATAAAAAAGCCCAAACTACAAACTTACCGGTGTGACGTAGGCAAGAGTTTCTCCCTCAAAATTCTTTACCTCCCTGTCTCTATCAAAATACAATGAATGTTCTCTGATTATATCTCTTATTGTTAAACTTTTAGTGACAAGCCCCCTATCCACAACATTCTTATCAGCAACTTCAACCTATGAAGTAGAATGTAAAAAAAGTGTGAAATTTCTATGCATTTACAAATCTCATCAACAGACATGATTTAAACTAGTTTTATTTAAACTAAAAGGTTATAATTAGATAAAGAATTAAGTTTAAAAGAGAGAAAAAAAGGATTTTTTAAAGGATTTAAATTAAAGTATATTTAATAACTTCTTTATGCTTATTAATAAAATTTTACAAGTTTAAATTCACTTTTGATTCCTTTTTTTTCTTTCCTCGTTGACTTTTAGAAAGTGTCCCTTGAACATCCAAAAGTAAGCAGCTTAGCAACACCAAGGTAGACAAATGCCAGGAAAGAGATCTAAATCCTGTACACATTTTTTATTTTATGCAGAGGAACTGAAACAAAAAAATACTTTTATTTTAGGGCTTCCCTAGTCTTGATTTCATTCTTGCTGATCATGGCACATCTTTTGAATTAAGAAGCAGTCATCCTATACCAATTAAAACAAGCAGCATCTAACAATGATATGACAGGTACTTTGTGGCTGGAGTGTCTGGACACTACCACTGGTAGAAGAAATAGGGCTTGCACCCTGTACCCTGTTACCTGCAATAAAGTAGTAGGCTGATTTTCATAATTACCCTAATTTAGGCCTAATTTTTAACTAACTAAACAAGCAATGCACTTCTAGGTCTAGCGCTTGGCTTGGGCAGTGAGATAGATATAAACAAACAAACAAGGAAGTTGTGAATCGAAGTGTCTAATAACTAATTCATGAAACATGTAGATTTACTATTTAGAGTTTTAGATTGTTTTTAGATCTAGAATATAGAGTAAGTTCCGCAATCTATCAGACATAGCGGAAAATTCCGAACTCCAGATTTTCATTGGGCGTTATTTCGTAACCGTTTCACACGGAAACAAACCGAAAGTGCTGTGTTACTCAGCTGCCATTCTACTCTTATATGTACGAGTCATTTTGTATTCCTACATATAGACTTTGAGATACTCATGTTTCAGTGACGACCCTCCTTGCGATATTTTTTCCCCTGCGGCCGCCTGCCCCTGTATTTTATATGTTTTGATCAAATTTTAATAATTGAAATAAATATTTTACACTTTTAAATGTGTTGTTGATTGCATTATTAATTAATAGATTGCCTAAATTACTCTAAAACCTAGATCTAAATCTAGTTCTAAATTTTTAAGTTTAGCCTCCTACTCATTAATGATTAATGAATTAATCTGCTAGTCTACTACTAGACTATTAAAAACTATATAGATCTAGATCTATCTGATATCAAGATCTACACATTTTTTATAATTTAATTTTGTACTGACTAGACTCTCTCTCTAGTCTCTAAACTCTAAAATTAAAATCACTATTTTTTAGTTATTCAGTTCTTGATGATTTTTTTTCTGGAGTTCCAGAATCAGATAATCCATGCACAGATGATGCACACGTACCAGTGTAAAATGTTTTCTGGTTTCCTTCGACGTCGAATTTAAATTATTTATGCACCTCTACATCATAACTCGGTGAAAATCAATAGAGTTCGAGGTGGCATAAACCAAAACTTGTAAAGAACTGATAAGTTGCAGACGATGCATAGGAACATAGAGATCTTGAAACTTCAATGCAAATGAGTACATAAAAATAAGTCGTTCTAAGCACCAAAATGTAAAGAAACTGTACATCGGACGTGCAGAGGTTAATAAATATTGTATGTGCGTATTCTCCGGGCTGCATGAACTTTCGGGAGGGGGGGGGGGTGGTGCGGACAACATTTTCCGGGGGAGCGGACATGTATATGTTGTTAATATATCTATGTAATTTCCATTTACTTTGGGGGGGGGGGGGGGGGAGAAACTGTCATTATCACCCAAGCCCCTCGTGACACATTGAGAATGCAGCCATACTAATAGTAATTAATACGTCTTCAACTACGAATGTTTTTTTGGGCGATCACCCTAAGCTGGGTCGAATCTAGATCTACCACTTTCCAGTCTCTTTTTTCCTCATTGTCAAAAGATCTTTATCCTGTAAGTTATCCATATTATTTCTTTCTGGGTTTAAATGTAATAAATAGGCCTACCCGCTACCTGACTGGCAAATCTTGGTTTGAGTAATGTGTATTCCGATCTCTCTATTACGTTTTTTGAACATCTTGGAAAATAGTGTTTGACCGGGGTTTTCCCAAAGTTGGCAGTGTGATTATTGTGTAGAGGATTCTGCTTCTGGTTCAGTTAAAGTAGGCTACCCCTTTAAACATGTTCGTCCATGGGGCAGGTGAAGTAGAGTTCACCTGATTCTATAACCTTAACATATGAAAGGATAGTGTGATCAGCACTATGTCCAGCCGCTATTGACTTCTGTAATGAGAGTCATTTATCTATCATAGCTGGTTGGACTCAAGGATGTGATACAGATCTGCAGTCAAGACATTCAGGCTAGAAGTCCAGAGCCCTACCGTTCCATGCTAAAAGTTGGTGATTGATATCTTTTCTCACTTCCACCTGTGTTCACATGTAGCAATGCTGTTGGCATGACAGAAATCATGGTGAGGGATCTAAGTAATATTAAGTAATAATAACTATTTATTACTAAAATTCTTATTCATATAGTTGCTCCTTAGAATTGACTATAAGATGGTTGCAAATAAAACATTTTTACAAGCTTTGTTCAATTTTATGTAAGTCAACTACTTCTTTACATAAAGAATTTTGTGAGCTGGAAGAAGAGAAACACATCACAAACTCAGACTAGAAAAAAATGTCACATTTAATTTTTTAAAAGTAGTTTTATTCGTCAATTTACATCAAACATAAACTTTCAATAACAGATACTCATGTAGAAAGAAAAATTAACATTTTACAATCATTCACATTTTTAAAGAAGTTTTCAATATGTATTAATGAACTTCTTTTAGAAAGGGTGTCTAAAAAAAAAACTGGACGCATTTAAATTTAATACCTTTCAAAGATGTTATTATTACATTTAATATCTAAAAGAATTTTCATTTTTTTTTTTTTAGATTATTACCATATGCCTACCTCTGAAATGAAATTTACAATAAATCTACAATTTAAAAGTAATATTTTTGATAGATTTTTAAAATGTATCAATTAAAATTAGTATGAAGAATAGAAAGGAGGCTGATCTATTTCCCACAGTTAAACTAAGCTTTCTCAAAACATATCTAAATCTCATTGTTTGAATGAAATAAGAATATTGACAAAGTAATTGGATACAGTAGTATTTGTAGGAGGAACCAGATGTATGCATCTATATGATGTATATAAATGAATAAATATTTACAATGAAAATGTATTTAACAAGTCAATCCCATTCTGTGTTTCTTTAAATAGATTTTTAAAAGAAAGTATTTAAAAAACAGTATTGCTATGTGTTTAGATTTTTAATAAAAAAGAAAGAGTTTTTGAAACCATTTTATGCGCAAAATAAAGAATTCATTACAATAAAAGATCTTTAAATGTCACTTTTTAATAAAAAAATATTTATAAATAATTAGAATTACCAGAAAATAATATTTTTTTTTCTTACTTGTTCATGCTCACATAAAAATCGAATGGCTAAAAGCTGTTTTAATTCACAGTTTGAAAATGCAATGACACTCAAACGCAAAGCTTCAATACTAAAATCACAGAGGTTCTCAAGAAGAAAAATTTAAAGGTTGTAGAGAATTTATTGATGGGTCACGACCCCTGAATTTACGAAAGACTTCATTAGCAGGTACTCCACCTCCACTTGACAAGTATGTTTCTCTGAATCTGAAAACAGTGAATCAAATATGCTATTAAGATAAAAGAGACAAACCATGTAACTTAAATTGCAATGTATAGAATAAGCTGTTAGAAATGTATAAATGTATAAAATTACCTCCTCCCTAGTGCTTGTATTTCTTTGTCATTATTAAGACCAACCTCTTTGAAGGCAGCAAATAAATCACAAGCAATCATCTGTAAAAAGTAAAAGAAAACTCTCTCATTAAAACTGTCTTTCATATGAAAACAAGGTAATGTTTGTAGAACCTAAACCATGAAGATTTCAAGAACATAATCATCACCATCTTTTCCCACTAGTAACCAAGACACATGGGGCAGATGAAGTAGTTCATCAGCTTCAATCTCCTCTACAAATAATGTAGTCAGCACTATATCCGTCAGACTAACGGATAGCATACTGACTTGAGCCTGGGATTTGCACTCAAGACTTTCGGTTTAGCAGCACTCAAGAACATCATCAGATGACATTAATAGTTTAACAATATCAAATTCTAAAATAATCTCTGCTAATTACTTTCTTTAGGACACTTATATAAACATAAAATCATAAGATAAGAATTATTTGTATATCTCTACCCTATACATGTAACATTTTATCCAGTGTCTAATAGACTATTTTAATAACCTTTTTAAAAGTTGGCTTAGGATAAAAAATCATTACCTCAGACCATTTATGAGAATAATATGCTGCTGGATACAATTCACAGAAGATAGGTGTCATTGAGCAAGGCAGGTTGTCATTTTCATCCAAAGGAAAAGGTAAAAATTTACTCCACAACGTTGACATAATTGCTTTCCAATGTGATTTTCTATATGCAAAAATTTTTTTCAAATCAATATGAAATCTACTACAGATTGTAAACTATTGAATGTGCTTAGATTTTAAATCTATCAACAGTGGGGCTAGTATTTGATCATTAACTAAAAGTCTCCAGTTCATAGAATATCCCTGAAAGTAGAACTACATAGGTCAGACCACAGGTCAACTCTACTTCATATGCCATATGGAATATAACTAAACTAATTTTTTTCTAGTTATTGATGATTAAATAAGGTCGTGTGAGAAAAGCAATAATTATAAAATAAATATTACTTCCTTGGTTGTCTGGAGAAATGTATAGGTATGAATTGAACTTAAAATCTTGAAGATAAGCTATCGTTTTCTACTTACGTCATATATATTTCCATATCAAAAGCAGAAATGTAGAGCTGATACATCATATCAAAATTATAAGAATGGTTGCTTGCTGATGAAGAAATAAATTAGTATGGTTCATTTTTTAAATGTAGGCAGCAAATATTCAAGGTAAATTTTTTTTATCTAGAGCATTACCTGCCTTCCCATCATTACCACTTGATGAATAAAAGCACACCTTTAGTAATACATATTATACCTAACCATATCCATCTCCCTAACCTATCCATTTATCTGTTTCTAAATGGTTGGGATGGGGGAGTGACAGGGGTAATGTCTTACTGCAGTAGTTTGAGCAGAGACAAGGTGATGTACAGGAGAAGGTGAGTTAGACACACTGACAAAGGGGGCAGGGGCATTGTCCTGCTCCTATTTCCATCCTAGTTCTGACTCTAACCCTCACTTATTTTATAAGAACCAAAGTTAAATAATAATGTTAAGTTTAAATGAAATTGCTTTTCTTTGGTTAAATAAAAGAATGCTACTTATGTATTTACATAAAATATACAGTTGTCTGCATTACAAACCTTCTAAAGCATTCCTTAACAAATCATCTGGTATTTTTTCCTGAGTTTGCCAGTGCCCACTGAGAGATTTGATAACACTTGGTACTGTTAACCACTGACGCATAAACTTTGCACACACTTGTACTGCATCCCATTCAATATTCTTTTGACCAGATATTTCACTATAGGGGACTGTAGTCAGTAATTGCTGAAGACCATGACCAAACTGAAAGAAATGTTGAAAAATGTGTAAAGATTTTTAATAACATTGTGCATTTTCACGTCATTATTTAAAAAATTGAATTCTGAGACAAGTTGTTGATTTTTAACTTTTAATTCTAAAAATAATGAGAACAGTCCTGGAATGACAAAACACCATATGCCTAAGAGATTTTTTAAAAAACTGAAACAAAAATGGTACTATAAAATAAATGAGTTTTAACAATGCAAGTTATCCATTAATCAACACACCTCATGAAACAGTGTCTGCACGTCTTCAAACCTCATTAGGGCAGGATCAGATGAAGTAGGAGGTCGGGGAATTTTCAATGAGAGATAAGAATAGGGCCAAGTTTTCATCAACTCACTTTTTTCTGTTTAGTGAAATTTATTTTATAGCGATAAAAATATATGTAAATACAAATTGTATCCCAATAAATACATTTCACTGTGATTAAGTTTAAGGTATATATTATAAGTATTTAGTGGTATGATAATGGCAAATAAATGTATTAATTTATTTGATTGCTAATAGTACCTCGACCAACATCCATGTATGGTGCAGATGTTTTCTCTGGCCTTGAAAAAGCATCAAAGTAAAAAGAACTGATGTGATTTCCTGAAAGAATTATTTCAATTTTAAAAAAGCCATTTTTAATAGTCTAGAAAGATATATAGAGAATGTTTTTTTAAAATACACAAAAAACTCTTACCATCTTCATCATTTATGTTGAAAAATCTAACATCAGAATGCCATAAATCAATACTAGGTGTAACCTCCTGAGGGGGAAAAAAAATGCAATAATGTATTGTTTAAAAAACTATTATTGACAAAAATGATAGCAACAATATTAAACTATGATAAAAAATAAAACCATGGATAGCTATGGCAAAAAAATATGATTATGTTAAAATATCTTTTTAAACGTATTATCTAGGTAGCTTCCCTTTGCTTGAGAACATGTTTATATATATATATATATATAGATATATGTATATATGGGGATAGGGGTCTCATGAAGAAAGAGTTAATAACTCAACTTACCTCAAATGTTATTCCAAAAAGTTTTGTGCAAAGATCAAACAAACCCAACAACACTGTGTTTACAGGGAAATACTCAGCAACTTTTTCTTTGTGTTGTCTGTCACAGATATTTTAAGATTGATAAAGCACTAAACATCTCTTTTATTTTTAAAGAAATAAAACAACAAAAATTCACGAGTGTTTTTAAGAGCTTTTTTAAAATCTCACCCATAAAGATGCTCTTTCTGTCGTCTTTGCCAGTAACTCATATCACACATTTCTAAAGAATGCTTAAAACCTTCAGACTCAGCAAACTTCTGTAATTGGGCTACTTCTTCAAAAAAGATGGGTGCAAATCTTTGCTTTAGTCTGTGAAATAATAATGTAGACAACTAATTAGTATCTTCATATTATTTTGTTTAAATTTTGAAAAAAATGTTATTTTAAAAGTTTTCACTATGGAATAATATTTTTAAAAATTCTAAGTAAAAAGTTTCGGCCTACGTTTCTATCATACTGAGGACATTCTCTGCAGAGTTTGCCATTTTGGTCTCCATTGACATCTCCACAAAATTACTGTACCCAAGCATCTGGGCTAAGTCTAACCTAAAATTGAAGGTACAACAAATATGATACAATTAACAGATTTGAGTTTAGGTATTCTCATCCAGTATGAAAGTATGATGTCTTTTAATGAAATAAAACAAGGATCCTAATTTTTTAAAGGATCCTAATTTTTTAATTACATATTAATGCTTGAGTTTTTAATTGAAATTACCTGTGTGTTCTAAGTTGTTCAATAAGTTTATTGTTGTTTAAAAAACTACTAGCATAAGAAACTGAAGCACGGTTGTGATATGCATTCCACAAGTTCCACCTGATCATTCTGTCATTACAGTAAGCCATCATAGATTGATAGCAAACTGGCTGCAGTGTTGCTCGCCAAGGGCCTTTAGTTGGATTCATCCTTTGTAAATAGTATTTTGGGTATACGTTTAAATATGTAATAATAGTTGTCAAACACAAACTGATATTCTATATTACATAGAATTAGGAGAAAATAGAAAAAAATCAATGTCTATAATAATCAAAACAAGGAAATGGGCAATTATTTTAAAGAAGAAGTGTTTTTAAAATAAATAATTGCTATAATTTACTTTTCAAACATAATATTGGGCATTTTACCGATCTTTAGACATTTGAGTCAATAGTGGCCATGGCATTTCTTCCAGACTTTTGAAGTCTGTGACATCATGTGAAAACATGTCTGTGGATATTCGCACTTTATTTCTGCAAAGTACAAAAAGCATACATTCAAAAAGATCGTCAAAATGTTTGATTAATTTCAGATTAATATTGACATGAATGTTTAAATAATTCTGACAGTTACAAATAAGCAGAAATTAGTTTGGGAGAGCTTAATAAGCAAATAACTTATTTTCATTGCCTGAAATTATTTCCCTCTTGTTTTATTAATTTGGCAATTTCTAGAAGTTGTGTTTTTTCTGTTGAAGACAACTCCATTCCATTTAACTTTCCTTCTAAAAGGTATAGATCAACAAGTCGTTTCTGATGAGCAGTAAGGTTGCTACGGTTGGCATCCAACTCCTTTTTAAAAGAGTAATAAATAATAAGTTCATTGTAATTTGAGCAAAGTAAAATACAATTTTTTAAAAATAATACATTTCAACTAACCCTAAAATTAGGAAAATTATTCACTTTGTAAACATAATACATTTTGGACACCCATGAAAATAGTATGTATAATAATTAGGTTCAGTTATCATAGTTTAATTACAAATACACTAAGAAAAACAAGGAATAATTTCTGATTTTAAATTAAGGTTGGAAATAAAATAATTATACTTTAAAAGCATAATACAATGTGTCTTTAACCCATCTTTCATTCTTTGCTCTTTCAATTTGAGGATGAACCTATAAAAATAAGAAATAAAAAAAAAATATTTAAAAACGTTTGTGTTGTTAATGCTTTTTAAAGTAATATTTATGTATTGTACATTGGTTAATATTATATATATATGTATATATATATATACATATATTTATACATATATATGTACACAAAATTTGACAGAAATCAATTTAATGATGAAAAAAATATAGGCTACCCTTAAAAAAGTTTTATTGTACTCTTCAGATACTGCAACATAGTTTAAATTTTTCACTGTTGCCCATGCTGTGTTGAGTGGAATAACTATTTCTTCAAGTGGATGATAAACTTCTTCAAATGTTTTGCCTTTTTTTAAATCTGATAAATAGATATTAAAAAGTTTACAAAACAAATAAGAAAATAACCTAGAACTAAAATTTTGTTGCTTTTCAAATTTACTATAAATGTAAGCTTTTAAATTCATAAAACTGACCTACCTTTCAAGTTCTCAATGTGAGATTCAAGTTTTGTTTCAAATTCAATGGCGAGTTTAGCACAAGCTGCAACACATTTTTTGGGCGTAATCTCAGAGAATTGTGGAAGTTGATCTGTTCTCATCACAGCATTTGTTTCAGCTGTGTCTGGGGGAATTTCAGGCAAACTGAAACAAATATTTTTTGGTTCTTAGGTTTACTCACTTAACATATTAGAAAAGTAAATTTAAAACATGAAACTAAGTATGTAGTGATGATAACAGTGGCTCAGATGGTATCACAAATCTCTAAGATATTAAATATTTTGGCCCTCTGGCCTGTGGTACTCCATCAAGTAGTCCAATTTGAAGTTAACTAATTATCCACAGCACATACTGAACTGAAAAACTAAATTTTGCATTAAATATAAATTTAAACAATTTAAAATACATGTAAAAATACACCATAGGCCAGTAATGTGAGATTATTTCAGTTGAAATGAGTGTTGCAAAAAGTGCTTTTATAAGTAGTTAAAAGTAGTAAAAAACCATGCTTGCAAAGTCTTCAAGATGAATTTATGAAATGGTTAGGACTAGGTTCTACTAGATAACTAGTACTAGATTTACATATTATATCTTATTAAGAAAGCGGAGTATGGATATTACGATATCCAACAATACACTCTTCCATAGATGTGATAAGTAAACTTGAGTTGTTAGAACTTTCATGCTAGTATTGTCATACTGTTAGGGGTTGACATTAGCAAATTAAAATACTATTTTAATAATCTACTTTTGACTTCATAGTAGCAGTTAAAAAAAAAACTTGAGCCTGAAAAAATTCAGAAATTTAATCCTTTAAGTATAATATTATAAAAGTTGCAAATTCTGATAACTTGAAAATATTTTTGTGTGTTTAAAGTCACAGTTCTATTTCTATTTATTTTCATCAAGCCTAAATTATAATCTGAAGTTACAAACATTGATACTTTTAAATTTTGCCAACAAAATTTTTAATAAAATTATAGCTGATTTTTTAAAACAACATGATTTAGTTATGCCATGTTTATTAATAGTTTCAGTAATAAAATGTAAAAAACAAATTGTTTAGTAAAGCCCAACAAAAACCTCACAATAGTATTTATAACCATATTTTTTGCATACACCGCACATGATTTAAATTTTTTTTAAATAAACTAATTGAGACTGTTCACATGGTTGTCCATTCATTAAAAATATTTTTTCCTTAATATAGTTTAGTGAAGTGAGTCTAGTCTGTAGTGTACTACCTACTTCAGTTAACTTTAGTGCTTGGATTACACTCCCGTTTTATGCAGCACTTCTAGTTTTCCCCCATTAATCAAACATCAAGAGTTTGCCACTACGCAATTGCTAGCTTTTTGGCTATTTTTATTTTCTCTGCTCTTGGGAGGTCAATTTTAATGTTGTAATAGTAATAATTTTTTAATAAAAAGATGGACATTTTGTGATTACATTATTTTGTTTTTAGTCTTCATCAATTATTCAAGATGGAGTACTTTCATGAAAAAAAGGAATATTTTAGCCATTAAATATTGTTTATTTATAGCCCTATTTGATTTTTACACCTCTTTTCTCTATTACAAGTTGTTTAGACACTGCACAGATATAGAAATAAGCTGTACACAGTTGTCACTATATTGCAATCACTGTTGCACAACATATTTATATACATACTAGAATACCCGTCATCCGTTGGATAACTGTGGGTTTCGGGGGTCATCCATCAAAAAACATCACGTCTGTCACTCAGAGGCATAGCGACCCTTCCCGGCGCCCGGGGACAAACTTTTCGATTTGAACCCCCCCCCCCTCCCCCCCCCCCCAAGATTTCGATTTTCAACCCCCCCCCTCAAACTTTTGATGTGCACCCCCCCCCCCCCCCCACTCAAACTTTCCATTTGAACCCCCCTCAACCTTTCAATTTATTTTTCCAAACCATTTTGGCGCCCCAACATATGTCCCCCCCCGCCCCCCCCCCCTTCCCCCTCCTCCCCCCTCCTCGCTACGCTACTGCAGTGTCACTTATCGTCACAAAAAACAGACCCCACATTCAAAAATATGTTTTTTATCTTTTAAAAACATCGAAAACAACGATTTCGGACTATTCTTCATATACTGACGTCACAGGTGACCTACTCAACTCTACTTCACCTGCCCAGTGTCCCGCCACGTCTCAGACAACAAAAACGATTCCAGCCGAGCATGTCTCTGACCACACTATCCCTTCATTTGCTTAGGACAAAGAAACAGATGAACCCTACTTCACCTGCCCTGTGCCCCGCGAGGTCCTGATAGTCAACCTTATCATTCACATATAGGGCTTAAGAAAAAATAATTGAAAACGTAAAAAAAAAAAAAAGTTCTATTAATGTTTATGACACTGACTTTAAAATTTAGCCTTCATTCTCCAAAGCAAATTTTAAAATGCTTTTCTGGCATATCTAGCCCTGGCCACCTATACCATGTTTAAATAATGTGAACACCCGCCATTTTGCTCGTGGTAAACATGGCCTAAAAATGGTCGGAAGTCATGCGTCCGGTCCGTACGCCATATTGTTGTTAGCAGCCGACCACGCCTCCAAGTTAGTGAGTAATCCTACTATATCTAGATATAGAACCTAGATAACAAAAAAATCCCATGTATTCTCGAATTAGATGATCATTGAAGCTAAACAAAGATTTATATAAAATAATTAAGGCCCGAAATAGATTCTAGATGTAGAATTTACATTAAGTCTAGATCTAGAATTTACATTGAGTCTAGTGACCTAGATCTAGAATCTAGGCCCTGCCCTAGGCTAGATTCTAGATTCATAACTATTAACTATTAACTTTCCTTCGACAGCTGATCTTTAGATCTAGAGAAATTTATTGTAAAACTAAATGAAAAAAGACAGTTTAAAATTGATATAAGTGTTGGAACGTAATAAATACAGCAAACGGACGTATTGTTTAAGTTATAGCCAGCAGAAAATTAGCTTTGTAACGCGTTAAACTTTTGAATGGGCCACAAAGTCTATGATGGAGTCCGCCATTTTTATTGTACCAAAAAAAGTAAACACATCAAGGGACGTCACTATTCCCACAAAGTTTAGTCAATGTTTTAACATTTTTTTAAAAAATGGGTTAATCTACCTATGAATAAATCAATAAATTAATTAACGTCTTTAAATAAATTTGTGATTATCAGTCTGTCTGCATTAAAAAATTATTCTCTACCTACATACTATTTTACAGCTCTCCAGATAGAGTCGAACATATCACAATACTCGATCGGACAAACAAACAAAAAAATAAATATTCAAACATGTAAACAAACTTGACTTTTAGTAGTATATAGATAGTTATATAGAATAGAAAGTTGAACTCGGAAACTGGTCAGATATTTTTTACAAAGGGGTTCATTATGTTATAATGTATGATTATTGATTATGTTTTGACTTTTTGAGTAAGGGACCAAATATGTAATTGTATGATTATGTTTTAGTACTTTTAGTTTTTAGTTAGAAGTGTTGATTACAGTATTCATGACATTATTCAATCAAGAATCTTTTAACAACACTGTAACGGTAACGGTGTACTGTAGTGAATTTGTTAGGAATCAGTCAATTATGCTTTTTAGGGCAAGAAGAAAAATTCATATTTCAATAAAAAGTTGTTATTATAGCATGAAAATTGGATGAACTATTAGGCCAAGCTAGATCTTTAATTAGAATATCTTAGTGTTAGTTAGGAGCAAGCTGAAAAGTAGAAAATAAAACAACTAAATAGCGGTGTATGATATGCCATGGGTCGGCTCGTATTTAATATTAAATATTTAGAGCTTAAATCTAGAATAGAAGTATAAATCGAGTGTTGTTACTCATTTACGCAATCTTCCAAACCTTATGAGTATGCAATATGAAAAAAAAAAACAAGAATTAGGGCTTATTGAACTTTACTAACAAAAAAGTTTTAAAAATTTGGCCGATGCCATCGCTGCGATGTTTTCGATGGTACTGCGCATGCGTGTGTTTACAGCTGCAGAGCCATAGCACCAACCCTAATACTATCCCTAACACGATCCCTAACCCTAATCCTATCCCTAACCTTAATCCAGAGGCGAAGCGACCCTTCCCGGCGCCCGGGGACAAACTTTTCGATTTGCATCCCCCCCCCTCAAGATTTCGATTTGCACCCACCCCCCTCAACCTCTCAATTTATTTTTCCAACCCATTTTGGCGCCCCCTAAGGTCGGCACCCGGGGACATATGTACCCCCCCCCCCCCCCCCCCCGCGTTACACTAACGGTAAAACTCCATTTTAGCGTATTTTATTTCTCCGCTGCTTGTTTACCTCCAGTTGAGCGTATTTTATTATAACAACCGAAACACACCAAAACATTAGGAAAACACGATTCATTTATTTGTATTGTATTTTTGTTTTACAAATTAATAAAAATTAATTTAAAAAAAACAAAGAGACTGACTTTGTTTTAGATTTTGATAATTTAGTTTTGTTAAAGTTAAAACTTGAGAAAAATCCAAATTTAGAATATTGAATGTGCAATGTTCGAGTGTCAGAATTTTCATGGCAATGGGTGAAGTACGTAAACGTAACTCACAATTGCAAGTCGGTTAAGTTTGTGTTGTTACAAGTATCTCCCAGGCATGATACTATAAATAAACATTAATGAACTTACAATGACCCCAAAACTGAGGCCAACACAATTTCAAATAGCAATTGCCCGAGCTATGACGTATGCTGATAATTCAATGTCAATGTGAACTCACTGTGAACCCGCGACCGTGTAGTGTAAGGATTTTTCTCCCGCTGACGATTACACGAGATTCGATATTTAATTGGAACAGTTCTAATGCTTTTTATGTTTTTTTTTACCTTTTCTAATTAAAAATCACATTCATTAAAAAATAAGTAGATCTAGTGTTTTCCAGACGTTTTTGTGTGTTTCGGTTGTGTTTATAATAAAATACGCTCAACTGGAGGTGAACGTGAAGCGGGGAATAAAATACTAATACGCTAAAATGGAGGTTTACCCTGCGCCTTAATCCTATCCCTAACCCTAATTCTAGCCCTAACCGAGTCTAGCCATAGATCACTGCTCATGTGCAGAGCTATCTTTTTCCGACTAAGAGGAGACGGGGAGAACAATCTTCTTCCGAGTAGAGTCTAGATCTAATCTAGACCTAGAATCTAGATCTAGTCACTTCAAAAATAAAAAGTTTATAAAAATAAAAAGTTAAAAAGTCGGCTGAAAAAGCAGATCGAAGTAACACTTTGATAATCACTTTTAACGTGATTTTTAAATAAGAGCGCATACAGCTTTTTAAAAGATCTATAGGTAAAATCTTAGTTTAGCGTCGTAAATTCCAACGTAGCTAGTAATGTGCGATGAAGGTAACTAATGAATATTTCTTTCATTTGGCCATATTTATGTCATATTTTACATAATATAACAGATAATTGAATAACAAATCACAATCTAAAACCAAACCAGTCATAAATATCCTGGAATAAACTTTAAACTACCCCGTTCGAGACAACAATGAGTAAACACAAGCAGCGGCCATGTTTCAAAAACAATAATAGACTAGTTTCCCTTGAAAAATTGTCTATTCGCATGTCTTTTGTGTTGATTTTGTGGTTTAATATGCTTGTTTTGTATTGTTTTAATATATGCCTGGGGGTCGTCCATAAATGACGTCACACTCGTAGGGGGAAGGGGGGTCCGTAATTTTGTGACGGTGTGTGGTGAGGGGGAGGGGGGGGGGGGGTCAGATGGTGCTACGTCACACTTTTGCATTATAAAAAAGCAATGTTAGAAAACGAATTTTAGACGTTATTTTGCGTTTTAGATAACTGTTTTAATACATTGTAGTAACAATTGATAAAAATACCCTATTTTGACAGAGTTCAGACAAGATTTTGGAAAAATATAGCTGTTTAAAAAAAAATTCAACTGCAATTTTGAGGGAGGTTGTAGGCTGAGGTGTGACGTCATTTTAGGGGGGGGGTCTGGCTTTTGGTGACGACGTGTGACGAAGGGGAGGGGGGAGGTAAAAATCGTCAAAAAAAGCGTGACGTCATTTATGGATGACCCCCTGTATAGTAATTTTACTTTTTTTTTCAATATAGTTGACATGAATGACTAATAGACCTTTTCAGACTTAATAGTGTGCATCCAAGACCACAACAATTGTTGGGAGGTTGAACTTTTGAACACTTTATTTGCAGTAATCAAATCAATATTAGATCGCTCATAAATGACGTCGCTCTTAAGATAGTAATGACAGCGTGCATGATTACAGAACAAACATATGAACATATTGTTTCAGATAGAAATTGTGATTTGTGGTGGGGAGAGGTTGAGTAGAACTCAGCGATGTGATTTTGGAGACGGGTCAGGTTTTTTTTCTCGTGAAAACAGGGGATGATTGTGGGAGAAAGACCAGCTGTAGAAGTATGACGCGTAATTCATTGGTGATCCATTTTCTCAGTGGGGACGATAGAACTATTAAGAAGGGTCAAGAAATGTAAAAAGCTTGCTGAGTCGCATTTCTTGAACCCCACCTTTTTCATTCCCCCACTTAGTACATCGACACCGAGTTAGCGCTCGCACGTGACGTCATGTACCGGTACCGCCGACCGTTAGGCTAATTTTATATATAAAAAAAAACAACAAGCACTGCCTTTTTGACGCTTATGCGACGTTTAATTTGATTACATAAGTTGGTGTTCATTAAACAGCCCCTAACACACCTATCACTCGTCCATTTAAACGTACGTAGTTATTTCTGCAAGCTTGCTGCCTATTAAGCTCTCACCGTATAGAACTAGACTACCCATATTAAGCTCCAAAAGAAGCTTGGTGAAAACAGGATGGCCGTCCGATTTTGAAGCTGCTCTGCGCTTGGTCCTAGGACCTTTGACCACAGGTGCTTGTGATCAAACACCAGTTGATAGACCACCTGTGATCATAGACCCTCTGCTGAGAAAACACATGTGGTCAAACCCCCTATGATCAAACCCCCTATGGTCAAAGCCCCTATGGTCAAAGCTCCGCTGTGGTCAAACCCCCTATGGTCAAACCCCCTATGGTCAAAGCACCTGTGGTCAAAGGTCCGCGCACCCTGCGCTTTATAAAAAGCACAATAAACGATAAGATGACACTTATATTAAAGTAAATTTTAGTTCTGAATCTTGAAACATTAAAAGTGATATTCGGAAATTAAGAGCCAGACAGTCAACATGATATTTCAATTTAAGTCCAAGAAAATAAATTTCCTCAAACGATGGAACATTACTAAATTTTCGCGCAGTTTAGCGAAATTGAATTTAAGTATTTACGTCATCTTACAAAGCGCGATAGCCTACTGGTGCTCTAACGCGGCCCATGCTAATGGCCGTATTCCTAACGCCCCGCATTAGACGCGGCTTATTCGTCGGCAGGCATTTGGTGGCAAGTCTTTTTGACGGGGATAATGTGTTAAGTTAAGGCCGTTTTGCCAAATGTTTTGCCAAAACAGCAGGCTTGCAAGATTTGTGATGATTCGTTTTAAGCAAGGTATACGTATAGGCCTACTAATGCTTATTTATCGTTATTTTGATTGAACAAAGCATTATAGAGGTTCTCCATCAACCACCTAGGTATTTTTCCCCGTTCACCTCCTTTCGTGAGACCGACACATCATAAATTGCGGAGCCGCCTGAGTTGACGTCACAAATCTTCACTCACTCCCGTAGCAAATCATATGTGACATCATTTATGGGCAACCCCATATCACTCACTTGGGTACTTGATATTGACAATTTGACAACAAAGGATAACCAAAATGTGTCTGGCAGGTGGAGACTTGCGATCGACCATAATGACAACACGCACTTAAGGGGTGGAGTGGCTGATTATTTTAGATGATGTTTTACGAGGGAAGCTGGTGGATAATACATTTTGTCTCTCTGTATATATAAATGATTACAAACATTTATTGTTGTCAAAATTATGGCTAGAGATCTTAGATAAGGCAGAGCGAAGCGTAATTTTTTACATTAGGGGTCATCCATAAATGACGTCACGCTTTTTTTGACGATTTTTACCTTCCCCCCCCATCCCCTCCGTCACACGTCGTCACAAAAAGCCAGCTCCCCCCCCCCCTAAAATGACGTCACACCTCAACCTACAACCCCCCCTCAAAATTGCAGCTGAATTTTTTTAAAACATCGATATTTTTCCAAAATCTTGTCTAAACTATTACAATTTATTAAAACAGTTATCTAAAACGCGAAATAACGTCTAAAATTCGTTTTCTAACATTGCTTTTTTATAATGCAAAAATGTGACGTCGCAACATCTGAACCACCCCCCCCTCCCCCTCATCACACATAATCACAACACAAAATTACGGACCCCCCCCCCTACGAGTGTGACGTCATTTATGGATGACCCCTTATGACTTGTTGTGACATTGACAACAAAAATATGACGGAGGTTGGGGTTTAATTAAGGTAAAGAGAAGTAAAAAAAATGTCATAAGTTACGATAGAATCACTAATTGATGAAAAGAAAAACCTGAAATGAAAATAGTGAACATTCAAACAATAAGAAAAAACTCAAACTATATAGTAATAGTAAGATCAAATAAACATTAGTAAAAAAAAAAAACGTGATTTAAAACATGGATACAAGTTGCATCTCACAATGCTTCTAGAATTAATAAAGTTGTTTGTTAGGAGATTCAGTTTTTAAAGAGCAGAATTTAAAAAAAAAATGCTTTGTTATACGGACTATACAACAAGACAATCATATTTAAATACATTTTCATACGAATAGAAATGAAAGGGAAGCTACTCTAAATAACATTTTCTTAAGATGGCTGCTGTTTTTAATAGCAAATTTACTATCTCGAACAGGGTTGATAAAAATTAATTTCAGGATATTTAAATTGATTTAACCATAAATGGTGATCTATTATTCAATTATTTATAATATTTTATCAAAATATACGAAAATATACTCATATTTATTATTATTTAATGACATATTCATTATTGCACTCTCTCCTACATTACTAGTTTTGGCCGAATTTACGACGCTAAACTAAGATTTTACCGATCTATAATCTTACAGAACATAATAAGCATTTTTTGAGGCCCGACGGATGAATGATTTTCTTAGATGAACAGAGAGGTACTGAGCCGGAGCTCGACCTCTAGTAAGCACAGCAGCCATTCTGCTAAATTTACTGTGTTGCTTGTCTCCCCTTTTCATTTGTAAAACATGGATTTAAAACGTACTTGTTGAAGGATAGAAAAAAGGCACAAAGCAATTTTTTTTAATTTATTTTTTTTGTGTTGTAATTCTTGTTAAATGAATATTCATCTCACATACTGAAATAGTAAAAAGAATTAAGAGGACAGAATAACAGGAGGAAAAATAATTTGTCTATAATGTATTGATAAAAGTACATGAAAAGAAGCTACGTTGATGACGAACATTTTTTTTTAGAGCTATTGAAGGCGCCTTCTTGAGGTCATCATCTATAATATACTAGATTGTAGCTAGATATATACTTAATGGATGTATCTACTGCCTAGGGTATGTGATCTTCCTGTTGGTTAATCTTCTTTCATTCTTTATTCTCTATAAATGGTTTTATATATATATATATATATATATCTATAATATAATCTATAATATAAGCGGGCTGAGGGTGTGTCAGTCCTTCCTTCCTTCTGTCATCGCTATAGCTTTTGGAACCATAAAAGTAAACATTCGCACCATGCAGTGCTTTTCAGTGCACCGCAGTGTCTTATTATAAGTAATAGAGTAGGGTTTGTTTATATAGCGGCATAGAGCTATTTTATAATTGCCACGGTTTTTACTCTTTCGCATAACGTCAAGAAAATATTAAATACACGCAAACTGCTAAAACGTATTAAAAAGATTAATGTCAAATATCATTTTCGTTTAGGTTCCCAGAAAAAGTGGATACATTTCCATAAAAGTAGGTCGAAAAAACTAATTAATTCAACTTTTTTTTGTGGTAATTTTTTCAAGGGAGGTAATTTGAAAATATATTTAACTCAACAATAATTTAAGTTAATCTTTTTTTTTATTACTACCGCATTGATTAGTCTATGTTAAGGTTCATAATTAAAAGAGAAAAATGTTAAGATTATTTATACTATTTTCTAATTAGTCTATCATTTCTCAAAATCACTATTTTTTGTTTTTGTTTTTTGGTGTTAACAGATGGTGAAATTTTATAATTATAGTATAGAGAATGCTGGAAAGACTCTCTCTAGGCGCGGACGCCTGGGAAAAGCGTGTTTTTCGGTGGTAATTCTAATTACATTGCCAATGTGTTTTCTTAGAACCATAAAAGTAAACACCACTTGCCGTACATTCATTTGCATCGCATTGTTTTATTGTAAGTTATGGAGTAGGATCTATTTATGTGACTTAAATTTTTAATGTTGGAAAGGCTGTCTTTGGGCGCGGACGCCTAAAAAAGCGTGTTGTTTGGTGGTGATTCTAATGTTGTGGTTGTGTTGTTGTTTTTTTTTGGTTGTGTTGTGGTTGTGTTGTGGTTGTTTTTTGGTTGTGTTGTGGTTGTGTTGAAGTTGTGGTTGTGTTGTGGTTGTGTTGCAGTTTTGTTGTGGTTGTGTTGTGGTTGTGGTTGTGTTGTGGTTGTATTGTGGTTGTGTTGTAGTTTTGTTGTGGTTGTGTTGTGGTTGTGTTGTGGTTGTGTTGTGGTTGTGTTGTGGTTGTGTTGTGGTTGTGTTGTGGTTGTGTTGTGGTTGTGTTGTGTTGTGGTTGTGTTGTGGTTGTGTTGTGTTTGTGGTTGTGTTTTTTGTGTTTGTGTTGTTTTTGTTTGTTTTGTTCTTTTCCAAAGTTGGTACATTTAAAAAAGATTTACCGTGGCGGAGCACGGGATGCAGCTAGTCTATAATATAAGCGGGCTGAGGGTGTGTCAGTCCTTCCTTCCTTCTGTCATCGCTATAGCTTTTGGAACCATAAAAGTAAACATTCGCACCATGCAGTGCTTTTCAGTGCACCGCAGTGTCTTATTATAAGTAATAGAGTAGGGTTTGTTTATATAGCGGCATAGAGCTATTTTATAATTGCCACGGTTTTTACTCTTTCGCATAACGTCAAGAAAATATTAAATACACGCAAACTGCTAAAACGTATTAAAAAGATTAATGTCAAATATCATTTTCGTTTAGGTTCCCAGAAAAAGTGGATACATTTCCATAAAAGTAGGTCGAAAAAACTAATTAATTCAACTTTTTTTTGTGGTAATTTTTTCAAGGGAGGTAATTTGAAAATATATTTAACTCAACAATAATTTAAGTTAATCTTTTTTTTTATTACTACCGCATTGATTAGTCTATGTTAAGGTTCATAATTAAAAGAGAAAAATGTTAAGATTATTTATACTATTTTCTAATTAGTCTATCATTTCTCAAAATCACTATTTTTTGTTTTTGTTTTTTGGTGTTAACAGATGGTGAAATTTTATAATTATAGTATAGAGAATGCTGGAAAGACTCTCTCTAGGCGCGGACGCCTGGGAAAAGCGTGTTTTTCGGTGGTAATTCTAATTACATTGCCAATGTGTTTTCTTAGAACCATAAAAGTAAACACCACTTGCCGTACATTCATTTGCATCGCATTGTTTTATTGTAAGTTATGGAGTAGGATCTATTTATGTGACTTAAATTTTTAATGTTGGAAAGGCTGTCTTTGGGCGCGGACGCCTAAAAAAGCGTGTTGTTTGGTGGTGATTCTAATGTTGTGGTTGTGTTGTTGTTTTTTTTTGGTTGTGTTGTGGTTGTGTTGTGGTTGTTTTTTGGTTGTTTTTTGGTTGTGTTGAAGTTGTGGTTGTGTTGTGGTTGTGTTGCAGTTTTGTTGTGGTTGTGTTGTGGTTGTGGTTGTGTTGTGGTTGTATTGTGGTTGTGTTGTAGTTTTGTTGTGGTTGTGTTGTGGTTGTGTTGTGGTTGTGTTGTGGTTGTGTTGTGGTTGTGTTGTGGTTGTGTTGTGGTTGTGTTGTGGTTGTGTTGTGTTGTGGTTGTGTTGTGGTTGTGTTGTGTTTGTGGTTGTGTTTTTTGTGTTTGTGTTGTTTTTGTTTGTTTTGTTCTTTTCCAAAGTTGGTACATTTAAAAAAGATTTACCGTGGCGGAGCACGGGATGCAGCTAGTATATATATATATATACACTTCTACTTTTCAGTAATTTATAATTTGTGAATTCGACAGTACCAATGCTGCCATTGAAAATATTTGCTTAAAAACACTACCCCCCCCCCCCCACGTGAAAGCAGCCTCCTCTTAGTTACCTCCTCTAAGTTTAAAATCGTTTTAAACTAAATTATCTGCCCCTAATAGCCGTCACCAAACCCGTCTCTGTGATTGTAAAATGTAAACAGAGTGAACACCGCTCACCAGATCATGTGGGGGTGGGGTGGGGGTGGTAGTGATAGAGAGGAAGAGAGGGGACTGCAAAGGCGCGCTTGCAGCTTGTTTTCTAACTGATCCCAGAAGAGAATTGTATATATAGATAGAGATTTTAAAAAGTAAAATAGTGGTCGGATGACAGTTTTACATTTTTTTTACAATTTGAAACTGTATACATTCAGAGTTTCCTACAGGCATCTCTTGAAAAAATTTTGCCCCCCCCCCCCCCCCTCCAATGAAATGAAATTTATATAATTTATATAGAAAATATATACTTTTAACAGTGTTCGCCCCCCCCTCCCGAAAATTTCAAGTGCCCCCCCCCCCCCCCGGAGAAAAAAGTCTGGAAGAAACACTGTATACATTGAAAGTGATATGGGAAACCATCACCAACAACAAACTTAACTTTAACGTAAGGCAGTTATTTTTTTGTGTATCTTGTCTATTCAACAGGCTGGTGTTCAGTGGCAGATTAAGGGGGGAGTATGTGAGCTCCAGCCAGAGGCACTCACTGTTCCCTCTACTGAAAACCTAGCTGCTCCCCCCCCTTCCTTGGTATAGCTGTGTGTATGTAGTGTAAATTAATTGACCCGAGTCAATTCCATTGTACTCTTAGTTAAAGGCAGCAAGACAAGAGTTACCAGTCTACTTTTACCAAAACAGTTGTGGTTTTATTACATGGGTCAGATGAATAATCACTGACTGGGAGGCTGTTTTTATAATTATTAGTCAAGCTTTAGATTGCCCATCTAGTTTTTAAAGCAACATGTTTCAGTCATTAGAATTTTGTATTTTGTGACCATTCATTCTGATCTTCCTGTTAGAAAGCCATCAAGGTGTTGCAGCATCATGAAATTATATTTTTTCAATGGTGTGTAATGGGATTGATTTTTCTAATTTGCAAAGGGAATAAAGGTTTAAGATTTGAGTAGACTGATGTAGAAATTAAAATGAAAACATCTACAGCCATTGATTAATTACATTATCTGTGATTTGTTCCTCCAAATTTTAATTTCAAGCCTTATGAGGAAGAAAGCATAACTTCCAAGCTTAATATAAAATATTATAATAAGGATATAGAAGTTGTGATTCTACTCTTTATGTCAGAGTAAACCATTTTCAGATGTTTATTTTTATCATGACCTAATTGTTTTATATTTTTTAAAATTTTAATGAAATCTTTAAATAAAACTTTAAAAAAATTGTTAGAAGGGTATGCTCAGGGACAAGATATTCACAAAAACACAGCGTAAAGAAAAAAATCACCCAAGTCATTTATTACCACAGCGATTAAATGATTGACAGTAAACAAAATGTGTTACATTTTATGGTGCAAAAACGTTTTATTGCCTCAACCAGAGTTGGTACATTTAAAAAAAGATTTCCTTCTTTGAAATAAACATGATGATGACAATAAAAGAAGCGACAATATTATTTCTTTTCAAAAGATTTTTATAAAAAACAAATTATTTTTAAATAAGATAATCTTATCAAGATGAAATCTTCAAAATCGAAAGAAATTTAATGAACTAATTGCATATAGTGTAGTATAAACTGCACCACAAAAAGATAATAAAAAAAAATTCTGATGACTTTAAATAATCAGTTAATGACATAGATTAAACCTTAAATGTATAAACACTCTAGAAGATAATCTCATTTATTTCATATCAAACAATGTATTGACAATCATTTTTAACTCATTATTAGCAGCACAGAGAAATATTGTTTATACTGTACTATTGTTATAAACATTATAATTTTATACACATCATACAAACACTTATACATACAATGCTCATACAAAGGTAAATAATTGAAGTGTAGTTTTATTGGGTTAAAAAAGAATTACTGTTACATTTGCTAAACAAACTGGTTATAAAGTGTGAACATAATTATTGCATTTTTTAAGTTCATGCATGACCAAGTTATGTATTAAATGTAGAACATTGGATTTTTTTTAAATGCATCCACTCATGTACATATATACAATAAGATATTAACTAGACATAATAAAACTGTATATAGGTATTTTTATTGATACTCACATAATAACAAAATATACAAAATGTTTTTCACGAATCAAGACAGATGGGTAGTTTAGTTAAATAAACTTTTTTGTCCTCTAAAATTTCAATTAGAACAACAGTAAAGCTAAAATCAAATCTTTTTAAACAATTCTTTTTCCTGTTGACAAGTATCAAACACTAGGAGACTAATTAGTGATAAATGAAATTTAAAATTTTTTAATGAAATTTTTAATTTAACCAGAAAGCTTAGAAAACCCCTAAACACATAAATAATATACTGTATTTTGTTTAAGAGTATAATGACAATTAATTTTTAATAAAAAGATCACACTTAAATAATATTTTCATTTATTTTCACTATCACAGTTAATAACTAAACAGTTGAAACTTTATTTAATTAACAGAGGTGTAACTAATCATCTAAATAAAAAGAGGAAATGTTTCTGTGCCTGAAACATGTTCTATAGCCACAGTTTCAAAAAACAATTAATTATTTCAAAAACTTTCCTGGTGCAAATTGGAGATATCAAGGAAATATGACTAAATTAAAAATAAAAATTTAATTTTATATAAAATTGAATTTATATAAAAATTAATTTACAAACGAAAATTGCAAGTTACACCTCTGGGGCAATCTTTGTTTTAATTCAAAAATAATTATACACATCATTTCACAGAGTTAATTAAGATTAGCATAATGTTTTTCTAAAAACAGCTTGAAAAGATCTGTATGACACTTAACATACATCAGCATTGTAGTGAATGTGGTATATTGTTTTAGTTTTGGTACACAGAACAAACCCAAAGGAAAGTTATTACAATTAGCAAATAAAGAGAAAATGTATTAGCAATTAAAAGAAAAAATTTAACATTTACAATTTTGCATTTCAAAATTTCAAGTTCTTCCTAGGAGTTAATATGTGAAACTGTTTCAATTTATTTCATGCAAGAGATAACTTTTGTCACTGTGTCAAGTACACGCTAAAGAAATAATAGATTGGAACAGAATTTTAGATTTAAGAATGCAGTTGACACAAATAATTTTTTAAAGTGTGTATAATAAGTTATAACAGTAAATGGATGCTTAGCATAAAAAAGGCACCCTTGAGTAGACATTCAAAATAAATCACAACTCTTCTTACATGTAATGTAAAATTGATCAGACTAAAACAAATTTACAATAATTACATCTTGTAATCATAACCTAACACACACACAAAAATGAGAATATACTTAACAGGAAATCAAATATTTCTGTGTTTATAGTTATGTATCAAAGCACAATTTTAAGAGGTTTATAAATTATGGGAGCTTATGTAAATTTAGAATTGGTAAACTAAAAAACTACCTAAAATGATGTGTATGTGTTAACATAAACTAAATTCTCCAAAACATTGATCAGGCACTAGACATAAGAGAATACGGGAAAAAATAAATCCATTAAAAATGAATGCTGTGTCTTTGACATAAGGAATCACATGATTAGGTTTAATGCTAAACATAAATTAATGGCAAGTTAAGATATTTAGGCTTATCGCACTTGAAGGCACAAAAGAAATCAAACATACAGGAACTTCGTAGGACCGATTGTTTTGCATTGGTTGTGTGTTTTGATAAACAGTGTAATGAGTATATAATGTCTAGTATTATTGTTGGCTTGTTTTTCTTTCTGTAGCCTGTTAGTAACACCTGTCATATTCAGATAAAAAATTTAAATCATTTTTTTACAATAAAAGAGATATGACATTTATAAATTTGATTATTCTGTCACATATCTTGTTTAGTGTAAATATGATTAAGTAAACAAAGAGGTAGGCTTTATAATTTTGTTAATCAAACTTAAATTTCTAATGATAATGTGTGAGTTAAAATATAAAAGGATAACTGCTTTGTTAATTAACATAACACAGAAGAAGACATTTCAGTGAGAGTTATTTTTAAATAATTTTACCAACAGTAGAAATTATTTATTTTTCGCTGTGCAATAGTAAGCCTGCTTATTAGTTAAATATTTTAAAATTAAACAAAGTTTATATCTGTTTTTAATTCATAGTAGTTTTTTGGAGAACCTCAGTGAAAAATTGAAACTGAACTACACAATATGTTAGAATTGGTAACACCAAATTAAAAATATGCAGCAAAACAACAACTGAATAGAAAAATTTACTTTTCCAGCCCTAAAAATAATAAATTAAGCTAAGGTGAAAAAACATCTCATTATCAAAATAATACCAGTGTTTCAACTCATTTTTTTTTGTCAGAGTAAAAAAACAAAACACTTGTTTTTATTTTGGCACTATGGTAACACACTGATATTACTTTATTTCCATTAACTTAAGTCACTGAGTTAATTTTTTAAATGGTGGGAATTTCTACCATGAGGTATGTTTAGTAGAATTTAATGCTAAGAAAAAATAGTGTTTAAAAAAATACAAAGTATGTACATAGTTTGAAACAAAAAAAAAACCATCTGAAATAATAAGTTCCGACTAGACAAACTTAGCTAGGCTGCTCAGGGCAAAATTCTTACAATGAGATTCAAAAAAAGAGTAGTTTTCCACATTAAAGTGTAAGAACATAGTGTAATCTAGCCCTAAATACATATAATAAATTTAATGCTTGATATTTTAAAAACATCTTTCACTGTGTTTAGTGTACTAATAATTAAGATGACTATTAAAATGAAATAAATGTTTTATTTATGAATCTGCATAATGTTGAAATGTTTATTGATTTATTAATTTTTTAAATTGCTAAACATTAATTAATGATATAAACGGGGCTAACACGCTGAAGGTAAACTAGTGGTCTTTCATACAACAATTAAACCAGTTGGACTGTATGAACCTTTGTATTAGATTAACAGAAAATAAAGAAGTTTATTAGCACATGCCTCAGAGAAATAATTTGTATCTGCTGGCCCAACATTATTACCAATGAGTATGGAAGAAAACAAACCAAAGACCTATTGAAAATGAAATTTACCACAAAAAAAGGCGATAGGTCTATCATACACTTTATGAGAAAAATGATATTAGCAAGACAGTAAAAGCATTCATGTAACAACACTCTGAAGCATAATAACAATGGCAAACACACACAGATTTAACTTAAGCATGCCAACAATTATGGAAGCAAAAATTTAAGCAACCAATAGCCATTCAATCAAGTCTATGGAAGATATAACAATAGGTACAAGGATTCAATTATCTGTTCATTAATTATTAGTATTAGAATTTATAGTTCCAAAAATGATGTTAAAAAATTCTTTTACAATCAAATAGATTACTTTGAATCACTTCAGAACTACTTTAGAATATCAAGGTTTTAATCTTCTAGATACGGCTTGATGACATAAATTATAGCTAAGATTCCAAGCATTAAATATTATTATATTGCAAAACTTTTTTTTGCAAAAAAAAAAATTGTAAATGTTTTATAGTCCAATACAAGTATAAGACTTTCTAATTAAGAAAATATACAACAACAGTTTATGGTTTAATAGAGACTAAATACAACTATACGAAAAAACAACTAAAAGTACAGACAATGCTTCAAATCAACCATAAATTGATACTGTAATACTTTACTTGCATCAACAACATGCAACACTTTTATCTGATGAGAAACCTCAGAATAATAAAAATCTTATCACTTCTGGTATCTGGATTATTATTCTCCATTTAGTTTATTTCAGTATAAATGAGTATATATAAAACAGAAAATATAGACATGTCTGACTTAGACATAAAACAGTGTACCAAAGTAGTGTTACCCATGAGTATCATTTCCCTTGCTAAACCAATGAGATTAAACAATAGGTGGTGGTGGTCTCTTCAATAACAAAATGACTATGACTAATTAATGCAAGAGCTAATAAATATAAATAGTCTTTGGTTTGCAAAACCTCTGGTTTATGTATAACAGCATAGCTAGTGATAGATGAAGTAATGATGATGCACCTTGTGAAAACTGAATCAGTTAATGCAGCCATTCACAACATGCACGTTTAAACATTGTTATATATTGGCTATCATCCATCAGCGTTGATCCAAACACTCCTAGACCAACCACTTACAACATGTGTTTCGATGTGACAGGTAGTAAAAGTATGGTCAAATAACCAAATGCAACAACCAAGATAAAAGATAAAATTAATCTCTGGCGCTCAAACGAACATACATTGTTAACAGTTTACATTGCCATATTTATCTATATGTAGTTGAATATACAAAACTTACAATGTTGCCAGCACATTCATTCAGTATCAAAACCATTTCATTTTTTTACACTGAAACTCAAAAATACATCATAACAAATATGCTAAATGTATGCATATATATAAATACATATATGTATATAGGTGAAGTAGTCTGTTTTAATATAAGTTAAATCTAAAAAAAAACAGCTTTTACAAGGAGGAACAAAAACAAATAACAATAAAACAAAAGTAACATTAATTAATTGATTAATAAAATTATTAATAAAATCAAACTTTTACATAAATATACTCAGCTAGCTGACTTATAAAAAAGAACATTATCAGAAAAATTGTCATTTCTGATTGTCAAACTCAAATGTATAAAAAAAAAAGTGGGAAATTTAAAAAAATCTTTTAGTATACTATTCTAATAATTAATGTTAAATTGAAATAAAAAGATATGCTGGTAAACAACACATTAAATTGGGAAGCCAAGTTAGAAGAAGTAGATAAAAATTAATTTAGGAAGCAGCAGTGTTGAGCAAGGCAAGACTTTTAAAGCTTATATACATATAATTAGTTGGTTGTCTTACACTTTTTTTTCAGGTTATAGGTTTAACAGTCATTAACAAAGACACAGACAAATAGTAACTTGTATATGGAGTTATAAAATTAAATGACAATTAGAAGCATATAGAGTGAAAACTCCTTCATTAGCTAGACAAGAATTCATGCATGAATTCATGCAGTAATTCCCCAGCAGAACAAATGTATAAGATAACATACCTGGGAAGGTCCTATAGATTGACTAGGGTTAACTTACTCCTAGCGAGGTTGTTGTGACTATTCATAAATTAAAAGTGGAGAAGTAATTTAATACAAGAAGATGGTGGGTATGAACACGAATATTGCCAAAAATACTTTTCCTAAATTTGATCCTGTGATTATTGCAACATTAACGATCGCAAGTTATCATGCAAAATAGTGTCTTTAACATCTTGAAATACATGCTTGATATTTTCCGTGTCTATCGCTGTGGTAAAATGGTGAAAGAGGGGCTTGCTGCGTTCCCTCCTCCGTGAGTCAAACATGTTGCAAAGAAATCGCTTGACATCGTCAACGTTGTGAGGGTTGCCTTGAAACTCTAAAAAGTAGTCAGAAATTGAAACATGTTTAATTTTCTCTGACAACAGGTCCATCTTGTTGAGAAAAAGGATGACTGAAACAGATGTAAAGCTCCGATTGTTGATGATCGTCTCAAAGATGTTACAAGACTCAACAAGCCGATTGGTTTTTCTATCTTCCATTAGGACCTACAGGAAAACGAAAACAATATTTAATAAGGAAAAAAGATTGTGGTTTTGGTAAAATAAATACTGTTATTATAATTTTTCCTACATTGATTATAGATTCATATTAACAATGTAAAATATTAAAATGGTAGAGCACCAAATTTCTAACCCAGGTTAGTGTTGCACACTTTTTAAAATATAAGTGTCAAGTAAGTCTTCACAAATAAGTAGACATGAACCAGAAGCTCAATCCACTTTACTATATAGTAGGATCTTATTCTTAATTTTCGCTAATTAAAATAATTACAACAGTTTTCACCCTCAATATTAAACTATTAATATTGTACTTACTTGATCAAATTCACTAGCTGAAGCTAAAAATAATATGGAGGTAATGCCTTCAAAACACTGAAACCACTTCTGTCGCTGTGACCTCTGTCCACCGACATCAATGAACATGAAGGGAACACCTTTGATCATAATTTGGTGCTCGATTATTCCTTTTGTAGCTTTCCTTGCCAGAAGTATGTCTTGTTTTGATGGTGTATAATTCTGAGAAAAATTTTAAACAAATTCTATATTTAAAAGTTTTCCCACAAAATTAAACAAACGTTACATAGCAGGTAACATGCGAGCACATGGTTTGATGATAGTGTTCAACTGCAAACCCACAAGGTCTGATGCATATCTAACTCACATCAGGGAGGTAAAGGCAGCTGGGCATGGGCTGAACACACTATCCCTACATATGCCGAGGTCACTGAAACAGGTGAACTCTTCTTCACCTGCCACATGGACAAATAGGTTAGACTAGTACATGCTGATTTACAGAACTAAACTAAAAGTTCAAGTGAGCTTTAAGTATTAAGACGGTAACAGTAAAATGGATTGTTTTATCTACGGTCATAAATCTGACACATTGAACAAGTGTGTACTCCTCAGTACCATCATGTAATTCAGATGGGGACCATGAAAAATATTTTTTTAAAAACTGCAATAAATCTGTACATTGTGAGGTGGAGTTAGTGCTGACACTAATACTAAAACATAATAAAATAAGTTATTTTTGGTTTCAAATATATCATTTGGCAGGAATCTGAAGCAAACCAATGCTTAGTAGTCCAGTAACTAAGGTAAGGTTAATGAAGTGATGCACACATCCTCAAGAAACCATTAAATTTCTATATCTGCTACAGATAGTCAGCTTTCAACCTTATCTGTCCCACTGATTATATATATATATATATATATATATATATATATATATATATATATATATATATATATATATATATATATATATATATATATATATATATATATATATATATATATATATATATATACATACACACACTCAAACAATAACAGATCAATGTTTAAAATGATACTGCCTAAACATATAAATACACATATATTCCCAAAGGTAAAAGTAGCTTCATATTTGTGTTTGGTTGCAATATATATATATATATATATATATATATATATATATATATATATATATATATATATATATATATATATATATATATATATATATATATATATATATATATATATATATATATATATACACACACACACACTCAAACAATAACAGATCAATGTTTAAAATGATACTGCCTAAACATATAAATACACATATATTCCATTCCCAAAGGTAAAAGTAGCTTCATATTTGTGTTTGGTTGCAATAGCCTGCTCAGGATGCCTAAAATATAAATTAAGCCCACCCTGACAATACAAACAAAGCCCCTCATATTACTATCTGTACCAGTGAGTTATCTCCCTGGTGGGCACTGTTTACCATTCATTCATAAAAGTTCTCCCAGACCCGTTGAGTTCTATTATTACAGCCCATGTTGAGTTTATCTCTGGACCAAAAATAGACGGGAGCAGGACAGTGAGGTTTACAGCCATCTTGTGCAGGCTGGTAGCACATTCTTGGTAGTTAAGTTCACGTCAAGTTCAATGACACGGGTAATAAAGTGCTGGCCTTATCTCTACTTTATCTCACTGGCTATCGTTCCTTATTTTCTACATCATCAGTTGGCTTGATCTGTGTAAACACACAGGGCCATATGGATAACGTCCCCTGATGCTTGCAGGTACGCACATACTAGTTAGTCACTATCTTGAACCCCCTCTTCCCCCCCCCCCCCCCAACACACACAAAACCTCCCTGCTCCAGATGACAAGTTCACACGTTGTATACTGAGATACAAATTATGCAAGCAGTTAATAACGCTTCACAGATGTTAGCAAAACAATTTTTTTCCTACGAACGTTTTCTTTAACTGTATTACGTTTCAATGATTTTTAAAACCGTGTTGTTTTGAAGGAAGTAAAAATCGTAACATCCGCAACGATCTGTGTGTGGGGGGAGGGGGAGGAGGAGAGAGAAGGTTAGGGGTAATAAATCGACTTAAAAATAGCGTCGTCATTGATGGACGACACACATAAAAAAAATTGCCGACCCATAGACTAAGCCAACAGTATTAAAAAAAAAACATGTATGTTTTCCGCTGTGATCGTAGTTAAGCGGTATTTTTTTTAAAAAGCAAACCCATTAACATCAATCTGTTATAGATTTCAAAATTTAAACCCGTTAAATTCAAGTATACTGATGTGCTCCAACCAAACTAGTGGTGTGTATAATCCTTGGCCTTTAAAGGGAAAACCTCCCGCCCCCTATCATAATTGCAGTGTATATCTCTGACAAGAGCGACAGGTAAGCCTCGGCTACCACGAGTTATTGTCCGTAGGATGATGGCACTGATAGGGCTGACATTTAACTCACAGTAACTGTCCCGAGTAGCTGGTAAAACACATCAGCGAGTGAGCAAAGTTACGTCCAACATCAACACAATGTTGTATCGGGTGTCGGTCTGGCACCGTTTTACTGCTTGCCGCGATACCGTTGGACGTTTTCATCTCATTTCATCAGCTCTCAAGTTGACGACCCCCCACCCATTTAACGTGGAGACACGATCTCGCGGTAGTACTGCCCGCTGGATGTCCCTTTGGGCAAAATGACAGAAACAATAACAATGGTGTTTCCATTCGAGCTGCTCGTCTACTAAAGATATCAGATTTGACATTTACATAACTAACTCTCAACGGCAAAAAGTTACTTTAATTTAGAATGTATTTGAATTGAACAAAAAATAGAAGAAAGCAATACATTAATAATATTAATTGGTTTTACTAATTATTTTCTCCTTTAGAAAAAGTAAGACTAAAACTTTATTGCATGGGGGTTGGAACCTATTCCAGGTTCTCATAAAAACGTCGACAGGACAATACCACAGAATCGTGTCGAGTTTCTGTCTAACGTAGGCTACGAATTAGCAAACAATAATCGAATACCCTTTCTGGAGGCGTATTATTTAAGAATCCGATTCTGATATGTTGCTAGCAACAGTAACAACTACGAGTTCTAGTCTTAATAATAGCCCCCATACAATAAAACTAATCGAAGCACAACACAGATCTATAGGTCAGCAGCACATAACATGTTACGGGTGGATGCTGACACGTCCACCAACTGCTCCGTGTATGGCCCGCTAATACTGCAACTACTCTATCCTCTATCTTCCCGTCAGTTTGATGTCGTCACTGTTCTATTACATTTAACCTTTTCATTCAACTTTTCATTGTATGTTGCAACATGCGAATAAAGCGACACAATTTTCTTTTGTTAGACAGCACTGACTTCAAAGGACGCCCACCTCCGTTCGTGCCACGCAAGAGGATCGATCGAAAATAACTACAAACATGTACCGCTTGAAAAGGTTGGGTTTTACCACGAAGAAATATATAATTAGGCATAATAGGAATACGTGCGTAATGCTCAGGAATTCGTTTGCTTAAAAAAATTATCATCTTTTTTCTAAAGTTTCAGTTATGCGATTCAACAATTTATCCGAGCATTTTATCCTCCCGTTATAAAAAGTTATAAACAACGCTGTCTGGGACTGGCACGCTGAATTCGTTACCCCGGTATCATCGTATTGTAACAGTGACAGAGCGGATGCTTGCCTCCACGAGATGTATGCGCCCGTTGAGAAAAACAAGCTTCCATTTTACCTCTGTGTCCCTATCAGCCACGGGAGATAAGCCACGCGCTCCAGTCGAGATTGACCAAATAATCAGGCCCAGATAGAGCCGAGCGCCAAGAAGTCGAATTATTCAACACAGGTCATTGACGGCGTCTATATGGGGCTGTTGTTGGGGCGAAAATATACAGATAGGGGAGAGCTAGGGTAATTAATAGAGCGATTGTTCAGAGATAATGATGGCTTGTATGAGGCTAATCAATAAATCCACTGTTGCCACGCGGACTGTGTATCCTACTGGACACTGTTAACATCAGATTATAAAAAAAATATCCAGATCTACAGATGTACGGAAAAAGATACAATTGGTTTAACTGCACTCCGGCTTATTTTATATAAATGATGGCGGCTCTAAATATAACATTGTGGTGGAGTACGACCGCAGTAGTATGTGGTTACCTGGGTCCCGGGAGCCGCATGCGACAGTGAGCGAATAAGTGCGGTACTTTTCGGTTACTATGTAACGCTAAAGTCATCAGAACTCAATTTTACCTTGCGTTTGTCTCCGGAAATATTTTTCTTAGCAAAAAAGTCTCTTTAGGGCCAAGAATGACCCACTCAGCTAACAGGGATTACTGATTCGATGACGAGAGGGGGGGGGGGGATAGTGTGACATTGTATTGATTGCGTACAGTTACTTTTTTTAAAAGAACCTTTGTCAATGGCAAGTTGATGGGTTTTTGTGACAAGGTGTGATGATTTGGGAGGGGGTGTGAAATGGTGTTCATTAGTAATACCACGTCACTGACTTCGAAAGCTCACTGAACATGAGAACTGGTAACATTGGGAGGGATGGCGTTCGTCCCCAAGACACATAGGGCAGATGAAGTAGGGTCCATCTGTTTCACTAACCACGGCATGCAGTTGGATAAAGAGGTCAGCACCATGTCCAGCCGCCTCTGTTTTTAAGTCCGGTACCGATCAGAGCTGGGTGAACTCGAACTCGAGGATTTCAGGTTAGCAGCCGTACTCTCTCCCATCCGACCACGCTGTCCCCATGGGGTTTACAGGGTGGACTTATTACGATGAGAGATGTGTGTGGGGGGGGGGGGGGGGTGTTAATGACTGCAGTGATTGATGTTACCACAGAATAAAAGCAAACAAACCCAAATCGACTGATAATTATTTGTCCTGTCTAAACCCACCATCAATCGTATAATCCCTGTTTTTATTATTTGCGTGCTTATATTAAACAGTACAATCGAGATCAGACCACCATCAAAGGACGGTGGATGCGGGAGGGGTAGTGTCACGTAACATACGTAATAACTTTATCCTGTGTAGGAGTACTTAATATAAAGTGTCAAGCGACTATTTATTGTTTTAGTAACTTCCTGGCTTAAGTAGTCTTTTTTATCCTTTTTTTTATAGCTCACTGCTTAAGTGTTTGAAATATGACATTCACGGCCAAGAGAGAGGGGGGGGGGGAGTTAAAAGAACGTTATCATCCCATTAGTAAGGCCTACATACAAAGTAAAGTTAGCAAAAAAAAAGGACACAATCCTGGAGTTTAGTGGGGGTTTTTTTCCAGACATTTGTCTCGAGGACACAAGTTCAGTTATATATTTTATATATAAATAAAATGTCGTTTGGAGTGGAAGGGGGGGGGTGCTTCGAGAAAACGCTTGAAAGAAACTATTGGCGTTTCACGTCAATTTAAACAAATTGTTTGTTTTAATATTCAGTAGATCGAGGTTAGCCAAGCGATGTTGACATTTAAATACTGTATTATAAAAAGGAAAACAAATGAAATTAAAATAGCGTAGGCGATAGCTTTAACACTTGTTTTTATTTTTTTTACGAATCTATTCTTCCTAACAAAAACAACAAATTGCTCCAAGGGATGGTGGAATTAAAACAGGAAGAGGTAATGTATGCATACTGTAAAAAAATAAATCAATACCGGCCTGTTCGCGAAGTGTTTGATGCTTCATAGCGAGGCCAGGCTGTACCTGAAATTCTTAAGGCTCCTTTACAGAAAGGTCGCCATAACGGCTCAGCTAAGTTATGGTCAACCACATAGGTTTAGTCTTTAGTGCACTGTTTGACCTACAGTAGCCGTGACCAAAGGGCCCACTCGACTAGTACAAAGCGGCCGGTACAAAGTCACGTGCAGCTCTCGCGAGACATCTCGGGGCAACTGTCAACTTTTCGTGTACACATAGTTTTAGAAACAACGCAGATCTTAAAAAAACATACAGTTTTAGAAACACGCAGATCTAAGTTTAAAATACAGTTTTAGAAACACGCAGATGTAGGTTTAAAAAAATACAGTTTTAGAAACACGCAGATGTAGGTTTTAAAAAATACAGTTTTAGAAACACGCAGACCTAGGTTTAAAAAATACAACTTTAAAAACACGCTGATATTGTTTTGAAATACAGTTTCAGTTTTAAAAAACATGTAGTTCGTTTTAACTTAAACAGTTGTATAAATGTGCAGGTCTAGTTTTAAACACACGGGTATATCTTGTTTTAAAAACACGGGTATATCTAGTTTTAAGTATCTTGTTTTAAAAACAAGCTGATTTTGTTTGAAACAGCGGATCTTGTTTTAAAAACACGCATATTTGGTCTAAAATACATGGTTTAAAAAACACGAAAGTTTTCGAATACATAGTTTAAAATTTAAAACAAAAAAAAAACAGTTTTGAATTATGACAGTCAAAACACACTGATGAATATTGCTTCTTTGAACAACACCTGTTATGAAAAAAAAAAACCTCTGTCAAAAAGATAAACACCACTTTCATGTATCCTTTACCTGACCAAATGTCAGCTGATAAAATATATCACTACCGTGTACCCCCCCCCCCCCCTCCAGGAAATAATTACAATTTCTGCTCCCGAACTAACACTTCTCTCTGGACAAACGAGCTCACACAAGGCCAACACACAATGTCAAGCACACGTTTAATTTGAGCTACTTACTATTGTTCCAATTCTAGCAATGTTATCCAAAAAGTACTTCAATGAGTCACCCTGAAAAACAAAATGGTTATCTGTTAAAGATATGGTTTTGGTTAAGTATTATTTTTAGAAAGTATAATATATAAATACAACGAACCCAAAGTAATACTTCGTCTGTTGATTTCTGATACCAATGTTAAAAATGAGTTTTAAAAAATTAACTTTCTTTGTTGGTGATTATTATTTTAATTTTACTATGTAGAGCGTAATTTTGTTTGTCTTGTTAGTGTAGCACGCTCATGGCCTTGCTGTACAACTTTGGTTTACTACAGTTGTTTTGTTGGTTTCCAGAACATCGGGTACTAAACAAACGTAATTCCAAGGCGGACTGCTTGAAACATTAATTATAATAATCAATGAGCAATTCAAAGCTTTTTAAAAAATAAAACTACTGCAAGCGAAACAAAAGATTCTCTAGTTTACGTGGGAAATACTAAAATAACACGGACAATTACCATCCTAATCATAATGTATACATGTGAAAGAAAGATCACGATATTAATCATGGTGACAAAGCATTATTTATTTGGGATGGGGTAGAAGCGGTATTTCCACCCATAGGCCTAACTTTCAGAAAATTGCGAAACGAATTTGCCATCCTGTTCATTTGTGACCGTGTCGGCCTTAGGAACATAACATCAAAATCTGCACCAAAAATACTCATATCACCACGACAGAGATATACAGTACGTTCAAAGGCAACCCGCTTTGATGCTTCAACGTGTATTTAATACTAATCAGTTAGCATCTGGTACTTAGAGAAGTGTATAAATGATGCCACACACATGGGGAACAGGGTTAAGACTTTAGTGACGATGTGCTACATGCCGGGAGTAACGTTTTTTTGTGTTAATGTGACGTAACATTTATTATTCATATTTTAATACCCACATTTCTTTTCGTTGGAATTACAATTAATAAGGGGTAAGGTATCTAAATTGAGGCATTTTAAAAAAGAGGGTATGGGTTATTGTTACAATTGCGTGCTGTAATTTATAGATGCCCTCCATGACGAATGTTTTATTTCGCAACTACTTGAGGCTATAATGCAACTAGTCTGTCTGGCCTTATTCACGCAGCTTGGAGAAAACGCTACAATATGCTCAGTGTGTGGACAAACAAGATGAAGATAAAGACCCCCTTACAGTACAATATCCCCTCTTCTTTGCAGCATCAAATGAAGAAAGGTAACACAGAGGGGGTTGTTACGGGTTGTTGTTTTTACAGACATCTATTAATAAACTTAAGAAAAACAAGCTGATGAATGTTAAACTTGAAAGTTGCTGGACTATAATAAAAAAAGATACAATACGTCTATAAAATAATTTGCATTTTTTTAATCGTTGGCAAAACACTGCACACATACTGCAATAACAGCTAAAACATTGGTTTATGAGCAGCATAGTTTTATATTTAGACTGAAACAGAGAAGCGGCATTAGCGCTTTTCTTTATAGAAATTTTGTATCATACTGTCGTTTAATATTGAGACCGATTTCTAAATCGACTAGCTCGCTAGAGTAGACCAAAGCTTTCAATGGTGCCTGAATAGTTGGAGCACCTGTACTGATTTGACGATAGCGGAATTGAGCAAGACGGCTTTGGTACCATGAACTCTACATTATGTAGGGACAGTTTCAGGAAGCATTTCAAAAACATGAAGATAAGAAACCTTCACTAACAGAAATTTATAGCGCCAACACCACCTGACCCCCCCCCCCCCCTTCCCAACCACTACCTGCTCATAAAGCTCACGCCAACCCTACGGCACTGCAACCAGCCCGAGAGACGACCCGGCTAAGCACGGTACAGCTCGTGGGAACATACACAACAAATGTACACGTAGAATTTAAAACGTTTTTAACCAGTTGGGCAGATATAGTATGAAAGATGAACCCAACACTGCACCGCATTACACGAAATAAAAAAAAATTATGCGGCTATCAAAGAGGTAGGAGGGAGAAAGAGGGAGGCGCAAACGATAAAACGGTTGTTGCGTTCGTTAAAAGTAGCATCGTTTCTTTTCGTTAACTAAAAATATTCCAGACGCAGCTGAACGGTTACAAATTCCGGTGCCCAATTGTACGTCAACAAACATTTTTGATATGGTTCCCTGGCCGTCCCGCCGGCCGACAAGAAGAAATCCATCAGTTCAACTATCTACACGGTGGCTTAGGCAGGTTTCCACGGAGGGTCGGGTGATAAAAAGTTGCAGTGAGAAAAAAAAAGATGTGTCAGCTGGAGATATGGAGGAGCTGGCCGGCTTACAGAGTATGTTTGGAATTCAGGGAAAACGGGACACCTTTTTAAAAATATTTTAAAGCAGACGATGTTTTGTACAAATAAAAAAAATAAAACTCCCTTTCAAAACAAAAAGCCCCTACGCATTTTTTTTTAAACAGCTGTCTGAAAGCTACATAAAGAATTACGTGCACATTAGCTAACATATCCAAATCTTTAACAGAATTTGATATACTCTTAATATTTTTCAGCCACTTAGAGCACTGTCATCAGAAAGAAAAATTATCCTTGTCATGGAATGACAAGACAATAATTGAACGGGCACACCACCATCTCAGTGTGCTAGTAAATAGAATAAGCTGTGAATTCTAAGACAGATTTTAAAAAAAAACTTTTATCGTTTATTTTACTGTTAAGACTGATAGCAGCATTGAATGGTTTCTGTGCAGTTACCCACAGTCCGTTTAGAAAATACAACAGATAAACTACTTGCTTGTTTTTATGGAAACCATGTGCTTATATAACTGAAAATGTTAATACACAATATTTTTATAAAAGGCATGATTCAACATATATGTAAAACTAAAACTCACATTGTCCAAGTCATAAAACGCAGATTATTTTAGGCCCATAAGATAACTTATAGAGGTCTAATTTCCAGAGGTTAGTGCAAGTGTATTAGTGACCACTTTGATAAATTCTACATTTTGAAGAAGTATAAATAATTCGTAAATAAAAAGTCTAAAGGAAACATGAACAATAATTGGTTACACAATTTAGCAACAGTTTGAGGGAGTAGAAAAACTTCGTAATGGTAGACCTGGTTAGTTAAGTGTTAACTTACAGCATGTAGGATGTATTTGAAGTTTAATTTTTTTTTAACTTGATACTTATTAGACTGTTGGCCTAATAATAGATATAATTAAAACAAGGACAGAGAGTAAATGGAAAAATAGTAAAAAAAATTTTTTTAATCAACACAGTAGGCATATACAAAAGAACCCAAGACTTAAAATTCAATAATAAAAGAAAGATATTACTGAATCTAGACCTAAGTAAACTTTAATAATGTTGAATCATATAGGCCTAGGCCTAAGAACTAATATATTCTGTAGGCCTATTCTTTAAGATTTTAAATGAATAAAGTCAAGGTTTGACATATTATGCATAATTAACATCCTAAAATTAAGTGTAACATTATTTACTAGTTAATAGTAATTTACTAGGCCTAACCGTAACAAGAAACACTTTGAAAGTTATTCATTTTAATCAGCATCACCAATAATAATTAAATTACCATAAGCTATGTCACTTCTGTCACAGAACATAAAATATCACATCTAACTTCCTTTAAACAAAACAAGGACTCATTTACCATAATCTAGAATGTCCTCGCTCTTTATGAAATAAAATTTTAGGCCTACTACCTGCAAACTCAATTAAATAGTCTTCAGACTTAGCCAACTAATAGACCTAATAAAAATAACAGGCCTAATGGGTCAATAGTGATAGTAGGCTAATAACTTGACAGTATTGTTTACTTCAGATTTAGTAGATTTACTAGAATATAGATCTAGATAGGTACTAGATTAGATAGTGACTGATTGGTTGGATGATTGATTGTCACAGTCTTACTTTCATACTCAAGTAGTAAGTAGGCTAGTTAAGACTTAAGGAAGTCTTAGTCTTAACTTCGCATACATACAATTACAGCCACAGGTGTTTCTAGAACTTAATTTCTAGATATAGATTACCCTAGATTTGACATAATTACTAATTAGGTCTAGCCTACTAGATCTTATATTTTTAAAAAGCTTTAGGGACCTAGACTAATTTAGTAATTTTTACCTCCAAAGCGTAGGTAGTAGGTAGGCCTATTGACCTATTCACATTAAAACTTAAAACATTTTAAAATAAATGTATGTAGTATGTAGGCCTACCATATTTTTATAGAGCAATGTAGAAATGTAAGTCTCAACTGAGATCATCTAGATCTAGATCTAGAAACTTAGTAACTTACCAACTGAAATTCCCTTCTCCTATCGAATGCTGTGCGTATTCCTGAATCACCCCACAATTTTTTTAATGAATCCACATAATCACAAAAAATCGATTGGTCCAATTTTGTATTGCCATTAAAATCAAAGACTTGCACAGCGTCTTTAGCACACGTTTCATCCCCCCAAGGTATGTTAAGTTTCTGTCTTGCATCTATTAGAACTCGCATTCCTTTAAGAATGTTATTGTAAACAACAGTTCTAAATTCTCGCACTTGTTCATCATCGAAATCCTGTCCATGAATAATACGCATTTGTTTTAAAAACGTGCTTTTGCCGCTTTCACCGGCACCTAACAGAAGAACTCTGACTGTTCTCCTAAATGTCAATCTATCTTTATTTAGTTTCCGATCAATTTCTCTACTTCGAATCCTTTGAGTTTTTTCATGTCCACTGATACAGCAAGACATGATCGTATCCGCCATTTTCGAGAAATATACTCCACCCCTGACGTCACTCTGAAAACTTCCGGTCTCAATCAATACAAATGCGGATGCCCTAAATGCCTAAAATAACTAGGAAAATCAATAGTTGGAAAATACCAATAGCATTAATAACAAGATCTATACGCCCACAGTAAATAACTAAAATTAGTTATTAACTTCTAATTCTGCGCATTTTTGGAGCGAATATTTTAAAATATACATTGTTCAACCATTTTATTATAGTTAATAACTAGAATATAGATCTTAATTTAATTAGAAATGGAATTAAAATGTTATATTGGCCTACCATTATGATATTGAATAGATTCTAAGTGATTGGATAAGCAATTATACAAAAACAACTTGCTTAAAACGTAATTAGCGAACTCGCTACTCGCTAGTCTAGAAGAATCATCTTGGATGGTTTTATCGCGTTTGGGGTCGTCCATAAATGACGGGGGGGGGGGGGGCGTAATTTTGTGACGGTGTGTGATGAGGGGGAGTAGGGAAGGGGGGGGTTCAGATTGTGTGACGTCACACTTTTGCATTCTAAAAAGCAATTTTAGAAAACGAGTTTTAGCCGTTATTTCGCGTTTTACAAAACCTTTTTAATCAATTGTAATAGGAATTGATCAAAATACTCTATGTTGACATAGTTCTGACAAGATTTTGGAAAATTATCGATGCTTTTGGAAAAATTCAGCAGCACTTTTGAGGGGGGGGGGGGTTGTAGAATGAGGTGTGGCGTCATTTTAGCGGTGGGGGGGGTCTGGCTTTTGTGACGATATGTGACGGAGGGGAGGGGGGGGAGGTAAAAATCGTCAAAAAAGCGTGACGTCATTTATGGATGACCCCTTTACTTTAAACATAATTGGTGTAGCATCTTCATATCTTATTCTTAGTGTTCTTTAGGGTACGCGTTTGTATTCTCAAATGACCCGCTTTTAAGCCGCCCATCAGTCATTTAATATTATAGCCTAGTAAATTACTAAATATAAGAAGTATTCACTTTAGCTTTCAACGTGCGAGGCGTGAGAACTGATTAGGCCTTGCCCGTTTGTTAAACAAGGGAGATAAACATGTTACGGTAATATATTTATTATTTAGAATCTATACAAAAGAAACAGTATCATTAGAAAAACAAAGCATAACACTTTTCAGTGTTTTTTTTTAAGTAGCCCTATTATAGTCTTTTAAATGTATGTTTACAAATAACTTAACAGGCGTGGTCGAGTCGGTAAAGCTTATGGTTGCTAAACCGAAAAGTCTCGAGTTCGAACCCTCGGGGACAGCCACTCTTCTAGGAGAGACAACTCCAAAATCAAACAACTGCTGCCTTGTAGTTTTGTTCCAAAAAAGAAAAGCAGGCGGAAATCGGAGTCAATGGCCTCAATGGCACATAACCAGTTGACACGTTGGAGGCGTGGTCGAGTCGGCAAAAGCTCATCTCATGGTTGTTAAATTCGAAATAATAATCATTAAAAAAGTTTTAAAAAACCCACGTTTTCTGATTGAACTAAAAAGTAGAAAATAAATGCTATAGGCCCTACATCACAATAATGCAAGCGATCACTCTACTATAAGCGATCAAAAACGTGGGGCGCCGAAGTAAAAGTTATATTACTATTGATTAGATAATACTATTGACTTTTATTAGGGAGCTTGTAGAGAGTCAACAGTATTAGAAACTGTAAGAAAATCACGGCGCCCCACGTTTTTGCTCGCTTATAGTAGAGTGATCGCTTGCATTATTGTGATGTAGGGCCTATAGCATTTATTTTCTACTTTTTAGTTCAATCAGAAAACGTGGGTTTTTTAAAACTTTTTTAATGATTATTATTTTCTACTTTTTAGTCTTTGTCTGTTTGTTTGCATTAAAATCTTGCTATCGATTTTATCTTTTCACTTTTTTTGGGTAAACGAAGACAACTCGTAAAAAGACAACTCGTAAAAAGACAACTCGTAAAAAGACAACTCGTAAAAAACACGTTGTTTGAATACGTTACTGACTAGAACACTTAGATTTGAACCCGTGTCGAGTGGGATAGCAATCGTGTGCCCAACCACTCGACCATATCGTCTCCCCCAAACTGGCCTACCTCCTGTAAGTTTAAACTCGGTTCAAGCTAAATTCTCTGCCCCTAAGCCTGTGGCGACATGTGATCGTTCGCTTCACTGCGCGCGAGGTACGCGTCGCTGGTTTTTTTTCTAATGGCTAGCAGAGGAGAATTATATATATAGATTATATAGCGGTCTAAAATGCTCAATAAAATGTTTCCATTGATCAATTTAGTAACAATAACAATTGAATATTCAATGGTCATCCAAAAGAAAGCTTCCCTGAAAATTTCAGCGCGCTAGCTAACTGGGAAGTGCCAGAAATTTCGATCGCAAGATTTGATTGGAAAGACAAACAAACAGAGAAAGCAAGTTAAAGAAAACGTGGGAAAAAAGTCTCGAGTTCAAACCCTCTGGCCAGATAATGTTCGATCCCTTCCAACACTAAAAATTAAGAACGAAGAAGAAGAAGAAGAAATGACTTAACGTCTTTAAATCAGGGGTCTCCAAACTACGGCCCGCGGGCCGGATGCGGCCCGCGAGGTCCTCTTATCCGGCCCGCGGCGATCTTTTTGTCCACGGAAAAAACGTTTGTTGGTGATGGCTGAGGATCTTTGCCCAGAAAAATCAAACATTTTTGGAATTAACTGGCCCCCGAACTGAAATTTTATAGTTAATGCGGCCCTCGGACTAAAAAGTTTGGAGACCCCTGCTTTAAATAGTCAACAGCAGAAAGCGACAGAAGTGCACTACCGTCATCAGAGGCATAGCAGCGACCCTTCCCGGCGCCCGGGGACAAACTTTCGACTTGCACCCCCCCCCCCCCTCAAACTTTCGATTTGCAACCCCCCTCAAACTTTCGATTACTTTTTCCAACCCATTTTGGCGCCCCCTAAGGTCGGCGCCCAAGGACATGTGTCCCCCCCCCCTGCCCCGCCCCCCCCCCCCCCCCATCGCTACGCCACTGACCGTCATCAATTCTAAATTAGTTATTTAAAACATTTCCTAATCTAGTAAAATAACATCTATTATTGCAAGGAATATTCATCGTGAGACAACTAATCACACAAAAAATATGCTCTAACTAATTTAGGGGCTTTAAAAACGTCTATCTCATTTATACCCGTCAAAAATTGTGAAAAGAGTAACTTCATAACTGGCATACCGGTCAAATTTATTTATACACGTAAGTTTGATATGTGTAATGATGTTAATGGTTTCCTGTATTTGTTTTATTCTTATGTTAAGCATTTATATTAATAGTTTTGAAAACATTCATTTTTATAGCTGTCATTCTTTAGTATGCTTTATTTTTAATAACAATTTAGAGAAGAAATCGCTTTCTAATTAGCATAGTACAAAAGTATTAAATTACCTTTTTGTGTACCCATATTAGACTAAGAGGAGCGATAATTCAATTAGGAAGTGGTTTGAAAGTTTGCCCACCTTTCACACTACAGCTCATGTAGTTTTTTTTTGTCACTGCAATAGTGTGTGTTAGATACTGTAGAACAATCACTGCTGGTTTTTTTTTTTTTTACTAAACCATGAAGTCAATCAAGGTGACAAAACATTATTATGTTGTTTTTGGGCCCCCTAAGCGCCGCCCCCACCCCCTTGCATTGCGGGGTCTGGCGGTATAGTAGTTTCGCCCATGGGTAGGCTTATCTCGATTGTTTCAATAGTTCCATTGTCACAGGGAATGTGCCCTGGCAGTCGGTAAGGTAACACCGCGGTTTGGCGCACACAGTTCCCCAGTGGTTATCTTCGTACATGATTAGTACCCAGGGGCGGGTGCACTACTTGATTCAATTGTCAAACTACACTAGGACTGTTCTACGGCGACCCGGCAGTCTGGTGACCCGCAGTGCCAGTGTTTCTTCCAGACTTTTTTCTCCGGGGGGGGGGGGGGGGCACTTGATATTTTCGGGGGGGGGGCGGTCAACATTTTTCGGGAGAGCGGACACTAGTAAAAATGTATGTTTACTATATAAATTCCATCTCGTTCGGGGGGGGGGGTAGAGATGCCTAGAAGAAACTCTGCGCAACGCCCCGGGCTCCCCTATGAACACATATACCAAATTGTTTTCCACTGGGATTTGCAAACCCAGCCTATTTGATTTTTATGCCTTTTAAGATGCATATTTTGTGTTTGTCGTCGGACGAAGCGTGGATTGTGTCTAATTAATTATTAAATTACTAAAAAATAATTAAAATACTAATAATTAGGCTACCTTAATTTTAAATAATGTTGTACAGCTTGGAAATGCTGGGTACTTTTCGGTAATTAGTGTGACTATAAATAGATGTTAACAAATCAAAATAAAGTTATTAGATCTAGTTTACTTAACAGTCTACTAGAGTCAAGACTCAAGAGCTAGTCTACCAGTCTATTATCATTAGATCTCTAGACTAGATCTATATACTAATTACTATACTACTAAGCCTGCCCTTAACCTAAGAAGTAAGAAGTAATTTAGTAGGTTTATTTAGAATCTAGATAAGATTTTAGACTATTAACTATTACTATTACTATTAGGCTATAAAATTATATTTAGAAATTAGAAATGTTAGATTCTTGATCTTGATTGCCCCGGTAAAACTCAATTTTTAGCGAATTTTATTCGCCGCTTCAACTTCATGTTCACCTCAGCTCAGGTTGAGCGTCACAATCAAAACACACAAAAATCTTAGGAAAACACTAGATTAGAATCATTAGATAGATATAGAATTAGATCTAATCTAGGCCTACTTATTTTTTTATGAATGTGTTTTTTATAGTAATATATATTATATAGTAATATATAGGCCTATAGTTAAGTATTAGATCTATATAGGCCTAGAAGGTAGTAAAAAATATTATAAATAGAGAAGGCCTATAGACTTAGTAGTTTAGTAGGCCTATTATTATTAATAAATAGGCATAAGTAATAATATATAATAATAATAAATAAGAATTAGATCTACATTTTCAACTAAATAAATTAGCGTAAGTGTGTGATCGATGGTGTGAGAAAAATCCCTACATTACATGACATGGTCAAGGGTTCACTGTGAGTTCACATTGACTTTACTTATCAGCATACGTCATAGCACATGGTCATCTGCTTTAGAGACTTTGGCATATGAAGGGATAGTGTTGTCAGCACTATGCCCAGCCACCTTTGTTTCCCTAGTAACGTAAGTTAGATACCCATCAAAACTGGATGGACTCAGGGCCCAGGGACGTTCCACTGATTAGAATCCGGATTCTAACTTGATACTCTGGGGTTTGAAGTCTAGCTCTCTACTGCTAGGCCACGCCATCCCATATTTAATTATAAGTCCCACTCAAAAGATTTTAAAAGTTATGTTTCAGACATGAAAATGAATAAAACTCATGTGGATGGTGGTGTATTATGTCATAGTAAAGTCGGCTGAGATAATGCTAACCACACCATTGCTTCATAATTAATATGAGCTCAAGAAACATGAACTCTTCTTCATCTGCCCTATTGATCATTATTTATTAGGTCTGAAAGGGGAGCTTTACTTTTACTAATAAATTATAGTATGTAGACTCTATGTAGTATGTGATCTATCTAAAAAAAACTAGGCTCAGATGAATCATTAACATGCTACCAGCAATTACCTACTAGATCTATGTATTATTGTCTCAAACAAAACTAGGCAACTTTCTGTGAAAAGCAGAAAATTGCATAGGCCTAGTTTTGTTTATTAATATTTTAAAGGCTAGAAATTTTAATTTAAAATATTGATACATAACTTTATGTAATATAAGTTGAGATAATATTTATCATTTATCTTTTTTTTTTATGTTAACAGATGTCTCGCTTTGATATCAGTAATTTTTCTCCCCTTCCTGATGTGGAGTTAATATGTGGAATCTGTAAAAACGTTTTGGATAAGCCTATGGAAACTTCCTGTCGTCATGTTTTTTGTACTGAATGCATTAATCAAGCTTTGGATGAGCAGCTGAAATGTCCGCTGTGTCGTAAAAAATGCAGAAGGAGAAATCTGAAAGAGGTTCTACCCCTGGTTCAAAATATGATAAACAAACTAACAATGAAGTGCAGCAACTTTGACAAAGGATGTACAGATTTAATTTCTTTAGAGAGTAAGTACAGTTTAAAAAATATTAACCACACTGTTTCAATATAACCTTATCAGCATTTTGATTTAAATGTCAAGTACATGTATTTGATTCATGAATTTTAAAGGCATTGATTTAAACATGTTGATTGATTAGTCAAAGTTACAAAAAAAACTAATAGCACATTGTATTGTTGATTTGAACTTCTTTATTAAGAGTATTTGGACCACAATAAAATCTGTGAATATGCTATGGTTCAGTGCCGGTACAAAGGCTGTTCAAAGCTGCTTCATAGAAAGGAGGTTAAAGGACATGAAAAATTGTTGTGCCCCTACAGAGACAAAAAATGTGAACTTGGATGTGGATTGCTAGTCCCAATGACTGAAAGAGAATCACATAACTGCATAAATGCTCTCTTGTTGCTTGTCAAAGGTGCAGTATTACAAAATGCCTTTATCTAATTTAATTAATTTTCTTTACAAGTTTATAACATAATCTATAGTAAACCGAAAAGAATTAGAGATTTTTGAATTGCATTAAGATTTCCGGTAACATATTAACGGTTTAGTAATAAAAACATTAATAGTGTTATACTATGACTATGATATTGATAATTAAGAATACTTATGTGTATTTGATATTTTGTTGGATTAATTTTTTCCTATTTCATTCTTGCAGTTCTTCAAGAGAAAAATTCTGAATTAGAAAAAAAAGTACTTGATCTGTCTAAAAGGAATACAGCACCAATTTCTTCACAGAACCAAAATCTGTATTCAAGGCCTCGTAGTTATGACAGTGACAATATTGATCGTGGAATTTTTGATTACTTAGATAGTGAATATAGTTACAGTGAAGGTTCAATGTCTCCTTTCCTAGGTTATTATAGTGACACAGATTCTTTCAGCTCCATATCTAGAGAGAACTTCTCCTTCACATCAAACAATGAAGTAGATGTGCTGCCTACAAATGAACATGATTATAGTCACACTGATTCTACCATGTCTGATAATATTACCTTTGATAATTTGCCAAGCTCAACTGCTATTGGTGAACATTTGTTCACAGACTCCCCTTTAAGAAGAGAGACTGATTCCCAAGGAAGAAGAGGAAATCTTCCTGTTTTTTCAAAACAAAAAGGCAATTTGGCAAATGATAATCCATCAGGTTCAGCAACAAGAGGCTCCTCAAATCTTGATATACCTCAACTGAGTTCCTCATTGCTACCACGGCATATCTATACTGAAAAGAACGATTATAAAAAAAGAGTACTTGAAGATGACAGAGGTAATGAGAAAGAGTCAAAGAGAGTAAAGAGAAAAGGTAAAACGGCTACATTAACATCTGGTATGATGGCATCAACGTCTACTGATGTAGTGCCAGCAACATCTGCTGATATGATGCCATCAACATCAACTGATGTTATGCCTTCAACATCAGCTGACATTATACCATCAACATCAGCTAAAGCTATGCCTTCAACATCAACTATGGTTGATGTGGTTGATTACAAACAAAAAACAGTTTCTGGTATAAAAAAACACCCGCTGGGCCATAAGAAAATTAAAAAGAAGTCTACCCCTTCAAAATCTGTTCCATCCAATTCAAGACAAATGGATGCCACATTTACTCCTTTGGCTGAAGATTCTAACAGAGACCTGACCAGAGATGAAGAAAATGTCGAAGGTACCAGCAGTCTAAGTCCTATACCTCACAGCTCAACTACTTCAGCTAGGGTAAGAAAAGGTCCTCTCACACGAAGATCAGCTAAATTGCTCAAGAAGAATATCATTAAAGAAAGTAAAATTCCCTATGTGAGAGTTCCACCAACAGCTGCATATTTGCTGAATAAATATGGTGAAGAAGACTCAAGCGATGATAGTTCTTGGTCACCATCAGAAGAAGTTTAATGGTGAATAAGAGGCTGATTATAACTGAATGTCTTAATTTTTATTGCAAGACACACTATGTTAATTTTTATTAAAATGTCTGTTATTGAACTGCATTCATTTTTTTTAAGTAGTCTAAGTGTTTATTATTACTAACATAAACTTTAATGGTAATTTAAGCTGTGTAAACTTATGCATCAAATGCCTTGTAAATCAACCTCTCCTGAGAAACCATTTAAAGCTGATTTGCAAATTTTTGAAATATTAAAATCTACTAACAAATATGTTTCTACAACAGCAAAGGTGGTTGCATAAAAAGGAATCTATGAAAAAAAAAATTATAGTTCAATATTGAACATCTTCGATGACCTCAATAAAAACAGAATCTGATTCCATTGATGGAATCTGACAAATAATCAGTTGAGAAATAAACCCTGGCTGTGTCTTTTATGCTGAAACATTTTTATAAAATCTAGAAGTATGAAACCTAAGTTTATTGATATAAATATATACGACTGCAAGAAATGTCACAAGCTTCCAAGTAGTATGAGCACAGGTTAATCAAATTTTCATGTTAGTTACATAGTCTTTCTTTTTGACATCTGTTTATTCTGAATCATATTTATTCATTCACATTATTTTTTACCACTGTTACTTCAGTTTACTGTATTCCAAATTTATGCAAAAAAATAAACATTAAATACAAAAAGCTATTTTTGTTGTTATCACTGATAAATATAGGAAAAAGTTATTATGTGGTTGCAGTGGCGTAGCCAGGATCGTCTCAAGTAAAAAAGTAAAAACTTTCAATTTGCACCCCCCCCCTCAAACTTTCGATTTGCACCCCCCCCCCTCATACTTTTTATATATACCGAGGGGTCTATGGGGGGGGGGGGTTATGACCCCCCCCCCCCTAACCCCCCCCTGCCTACGCCACTGTGTGGTTGGAAGTAAGAAGATGGATGGTTGATTCGTCTTGGGGATTTAATTTAATACAGAGGAGTATTGTCCAGGCACCTTCATACAGAAACAACCAACACTCATCTTTCTACTTCTCTATTGCTTACAGCATTTTGCCATGATAGCTCTTTCACCTCTGACAAAATTCCTCACACAAAAACAGAAATGCATAGCTCATTAGTTGTCAAGCAGTGGTAAAGCATGAGACTGCAAGTAGAAAGATTCTTAAACACCTCTCTCTTTTAGTGAATGTTGCTGCTTGATAAAAATTTGATTAGTATTAGAGGAGGAGATAGTGCTCACCAACCCTCATTCATGTGCAGTGTAGAACCTTGTGTGCAACTTGTAGATCTAATGTTTTGAAATGAAAATGTCAGCACTGAAAGATTATTAATTATTAGCATACTGTATAATTAGATAATCAAGTATTTTTAAGTCTTCACATTAGATAAACATATTAACAGTGCTGAAAGCTTCTGACACTTCAGTTTTTCGTGTAATATACGGTCTGGAAGGGTAAGTAGATTGACCGCTTTAGAATCATTTTTACTTTATCAATAGTCTTCACAAAACATCTAGATCTAGATCTAGTCTACTACGGATTATGGATTATGCTTAGTAGCTTAGTAGTATTGCTTAGCCTACATTGCCCTACATACTACTACATACTACATAGATTCTACATTGCCTAAAGATTTGTTTAGATCTTAAATAAGTAATACTTGACATGATTGAAAGAATCAAGATGAAGATATCGATGCTGTCAGATTGCAGCTACTTTTAAAATTTCTTGTATGTTTGGCGTTGTAGTTCTTTATTTAAAAATTATTATTGGGGAGAATGTTTACACTTTACTTACACCGGTGTCCGATAATGGAATCTTCTTTAAATAAGGCATAAGGGGTGTTGGGTTACTGGTAGTTAACTAAAATACACACAAGGCCAAGGCTGGCTAATAATAAGTATTACTATTAGTATTAGTATTACAATACTACTAGATCTAACAATCCAACACCCCTTTTTAAAAAAAGAAGATTCCATTATCGGACACCGGTATCTAGATCTAGATCTATATTATTAATAAGCCCCTACTTTTTAAGCATGTAATCAGTATTTATATGAAAATCAATCTTTACAGTAAGAATAAAATGTCAGGACCAGGCAAGTTGCCATCAAAAACTGAAGATAACTTTAGCGTCAAAGAAACCATGCAGAAATTGTTTCGATTTGTAAAACCTTCTGCTCCACTCACAGTACCGAAAACTACTTCAAAAGAAGTTACTTTTACACCAGATATCCTCCGTGTAAGTCTGAGTTTTCTTATTTATGGCTCTATGTTGTGTATTGTTTGCTTATGTACTGTTTTTATTACATATCTTGTAGATCTATATATCTATATATATAAAAAGCAATGTATGTCTGTGTGTCTGTGTGTTTGTGTGTTTGTCCTTTATGCATTACTACACCTCTCATCACATCGCCGTGAAACTTTGGGAAGTTGTTGAGAATATTCCTGGGGAGGTTTCTGCGAAAAAAAAAATTACAAGTTCGCAGGGGTGGCTCCCCGACAGGGCGCGATTTGTTTTTTTCTATTTACGGTATATAAAACTAAAAGTCGATTTTGGTTTGGCATCGTTCATCCAATAGCCATGAGACTTTGGGGAGTTCATTATACCACTCTAGGGAAGGGTTCTGTAAAAAAAAAAATTTTTAATTTCGCAAGGGCGGCGCCACGGGAGGGTCCGATTTTTCTCTATTTACGATATATAAAAATAATAAAAGTGAATTGCAGTGACACCGTTTATCCGATAGACATGAAACTTTGGGGATTTCATTATAAAACTCTAGGGAAGAGTTCTGTAAACAATCATTTTTAATTTTGCAAGGGCGGCGCCAAGGGAGGGTGCGATTTTTCTCTACATACGGTTTATAAAAATAAGTCGATTTTGGTGTGACACCGTTATCCGATAGCCATGAGACTTTGGGGGAGTTGATTAGAACAATTCAGGGAAGGGTTCTGTAAAAAAAACCTTTATTAATTTTGCAAGGGCGGCGCCACGGGTGGCTGCGATTTTTCTCTATATACGGTTTATAAAATTTCGTTTTCACACCGTTCATCCGTGTACCATGAAACTTTGGGGAGATGATTAGATCACTCAATGGTAGGGTTCTGCAAAAAATATTGTTTAATATTGCAAGGGCGGCGCACCACCGGGGGGGGGGGGGGGGAGCTATTTTTTTTTCTCTATACACGGTATATAAAAAATAAAACTCGGATGCGGTTCATCCGAGTGCCATGAAACTTTAGGGAGTAGATGAGAATACTCCCGAGAATATTTCTGCGAAAAAGAAAACTAAAGTTTCTTACGGGCGGCGCCATATAGGGTACAACTTTCGTCAATACACGGTTTGGCGCCCAGAGTTTTAGATCGACTAAGTTGGCACTTGGCATCCGTTAATCGAGCGTCCTGCATAGCGAATAAGGGGTACTACTATATTCAGCGGTAAAACTACAACAGGCTTCTAAAAATAACTTTGTAACGCAAGGAAATCCTGTACAGTTTTGTCACCTTGCGAAAGATGAAAAAATAACTGTTTGAATATCAGGGACCTACTGTAGAGTTTCGTCACTTTGCGAATGATGCAATAAGCATCTATTATTAGACTGTCCAGGTCGAAATTGAGACCGAGCATCTAATAATAGACCATTAGTAACGCTAGCATATTGCATCAGTCAAACAGATGTTTAAAACATGTCAAATAATTTTTGTATGTGTTAAAGAAAAAAATCCTGTTCATTTGTGTCACTTTAGCGAATGAAGAAATCTGCATCATTGTTTACAGGATGCTATTTGGCACGCTGGGTTATCCTATGAAAACGATGGCGCCTGTTAGTTTTAAGGAGCCAGGGGCCTTACGCTACGCCTCTGCGGTAGTGTAATCGGGGGGGGGGGGGGTGGGTTGGGGGGGGGGGCTCATGAGAGCGCCCATCTACGTCCCTGACATATGGGTGGTCACCGAAGGGTGTTCTACCTAATTATTTCTGTGAGTGATTTACATTAATATACACTCAAGGTTTTCATGCGGTAGTGTAGGAAAACCCGTGTCCCGATAATTATTATCCAAGCGCAGGCATTGTTAACATTTAAATAACACAGTTTTAGAAAACAAGGTGACGCGTCTAAGAACATATGATTGGTAATGCATTGGTGATATCCTTCTAATATATTTCGTCAGACTTTATTCTATCCCCGCGGCAACGCGCGGGGGACGGGTACGCTAGTTGCATTATAAATGTGTAAAGTTTTTGATAATGTAGCATACTTATAGACTCTAGTTGATAAAATGGTATATATTAGATGTATTGATATATATATATTTCAAATTAATTATCATATTTTGTAATAAAATATTCAAATTGTATTTGTATGAAACTACTTTTAGTAATTAATTTTGTAATAAAATATTCAAATTGTATTTGTATGAAACTACTTTTAGTAATTAATAATAGAACCGATACTTAATATACTTATTTCACAGACATTGTTTTCTTTCTTAAAAGACATCCATGACATTGTTTTCTTTACTTAAAAGTAAAAGACATCTGTTTCTGAAGATTTGTTAACTGTTAATTGTTTCTTTTTTAGGAAATAGGGCCAGAAAGTCCAGCAAACAATAGATTAAGAACTATAAGGGAACAATGTGAGGTTGTAAAGCATAGACACCTTGAAAAGGTAGATCTTTAATTTATAAAGATAGAGTAACTATTTTTATATTCAAACTTTAATCTGAAATTTATCACTAAATCAAAACTTTTCTTCTAAAGAATGCTGTTGAAGCTGTCTGGCATCAAATTAAAGACCTTTTTGAGCCTCATGTGCTTCCTGAAAACAGGCAATTGGCTTTCACTTTTTTGCATTGTTTATTGGAAGGTCAAGTAAGTCCCTTTTTTATGCATTTATATCATTGTTTTATCATATTTATTACTATTTTATAATATCTAAAATTTCATTGCTTTAAACATTTAAAAGAATAAATATTGTTAAAATCAGAATGTAGTAAATGCAAATAGTTGATTGTAATGCCCTCAACGTTTTAATATAAAAGTAACTGCTTTTTTCTTCCATAGCTGCCTTATATGACCACAGTTCGTGGACACTTCTTTAGGATAATTCAGAGTTTGACAGATCCATCAGACATTAACCATAGGTAACTCTTCCCCACCAGCATTTTTTCCCCTCTATTTGCTGTTCTTTCTCAATACAAACTAAATGATGTGCCAAGTACTTGTTGTAATTTATCAATTGATATTTAGTTTTATTTAGATTTTTTTTTCTGATCTTTCAGTTACACTGTTTGAAAATATTTTAATGAGAAACTAAGTATTCTTGAAATATTTGTGTGTAAGAATCTGTATTTAACTTTATCCCGCAATCATTCTTAATATAAGTTTAAAAAAAATAATCATCAGGTTGAAGCTTTTACAAACTTTAAGTGAATGTGGGAAAAATGTGATCAATTTTGAAGATGAAATTGGTGAGTACATATTTTGTCTAGTGTATTATAAATTTTCTCAAATTTTTTATTAATATCACTTTTTATTTTGTTTTTTTTTAGAAAAAACAATGTGTCCAGTATAATTTCAATTGTGCTTCCAGGTCTTTTTTTGTTACATTGGATGCCAGATGTAATATCAAGAGGTCACATCGTTACTTTTTTACCTATCATTGTAAATGTTATCAAATACAATGCAATCTATCTTGATGAAGAAATAATATCTGGACTTGTACAGTAAGAGTTTTATTTTTGAAACATGCAATATTTTAAACAATTTTGTAATTGTTAATTTCACCATAGGCAAATTTCATAATAAAGTCCTTTTGAAATACTTTACTTTAAATAATTTATCAAGCACCTTCATATTTAATTCTTTATTGAACAAAAAACATTTTTATCCTCAGACAAACCTGTATGATACCTAACCAGATTCGCTCAGATGAGGAACTTACAGTTAGTAGCATACCTCATCTAATTTGAATTAAACTATATCAACAGGATATTTGACATATGTCAAAACAATAATTAATTTACAGTATCTTGTAAATACTATGATGATTTTTGTTCTCGTTCCATTTCTAGAAGTGTCTTCAAGTTTTGGATGCAGTAATATGCTACAGCTACCTCCCTTCTGATTCACTATATCATTTTGTTGCTGCCCTTTGCCACACTGTTGATAAAGCACCATTCAGTGAAAAGTCATGGGAGGTAATTAATTTAAAACTTTATTTAAAAAGTTAAAGCAAAAAAATTACCTTTCTTAATTAAATCTATACAATGGTATCTATTGACAGTTGATGAAGAAACTTTTGGGTACTTACCTGGGACACAGTGCAATATTTACTATGTGTGCTATGCTGCAGGATCAGTAAGTGATTTCATGAATAATTCTTTAACATTTGAAATTTATTCTTATTTTATTTCAAAGCTCAAAGATGTAAACTTATAAATGACCAAAAAAATAAGGCCTAATTTCAAACAGTGTTGTACTTGGTGTTTGATAATTAAGTTAGACCCGTAACAGATTCATTAAATATATATATATATGATTCATTATATATATAAATATTTAATCTTTTAAGATTCATAATATATGTATATAGTAAATTCTTTTATAAAACATGTATGTATGATTATTTTCTAGTCATCCTACATCTTTTAAGACGTATTAGCTTTTATAGAAAATATAACATTTTTGTTGTTAAAAATATATTTTAGGAGACAGCCTGTGGATGTTTTACTGTTGCGTGGGGCCATCTTTTTTACTGGAATGGCTTTGTGGGGCTCGCGGAGAGTTACCACACTCAAGTGTACTCATGCTTCTGTACTGCCTTGCTTCCTACAGGTAGGTGTTGTTCTTTTATTTAATATATTTTAAAAATATGTAATGAATATTGCAGTTATCTTGTTTGACAAAAGATTATTTTTTTATGAACCTGAAGTAACTTAAGAAGAGACTACTTTTTTTGTTATTAAAATCAGTTATTTCTTAAAAATAATTAAGTTGATATTTTAACTGTTTTTTTTTTATGCAGGCAAAATATTTTAGAATAAATTATCTATTAAAGTAAAAGCTTTCTTGTTAGAAGTTTTGTTCAAAATAATTATCTGATAGCCTATGACTTAGAACTTGTATATTTGTTTTTAGTTTTGTAATAAAATGGATAATTTTTAACTGTATTTAAATAATTTTAAAGGCTGTGTCTCATGAAAACAGTATTGTGGCCTATGAGATCACCCTCAACTTACAGCGATTAGTTAGTAAATATGGCAAAGACTTGCAGTTTGTAACATGGGAGATCATTCTGGATATTCTTGAGGCTCTGTTAAACCAAATAGAAGTAGGTGGAATAAATTAAATGTTGTCTTTAAAAATTTACTTACTTTTTTTTCCTGATGAATACAAATGAACTTAGTCATTTTTTTCCACGCCTATTTATACAAACAATAAGAAACGCTTGTAGATACATTGTATACGCTACATGCATTGTATTATTTTTTTTCTTTTCTGTCCTGCTAGAAATGTAAGTTTGATGAGAAACTCTCTGTGGAGGTTCAACATGTCATAACTGCTATGGAGACCTTGTACAGCGCCAGACAATTTTTTGGGCCCCCAATAAGACTGTTTAAAATTGTGGAGATGTGTGCAGGCAAAAGAGAAGTAAGAATCACAATTCTTTTTTACTTCTACCAAAATGCTTTCAGTAGTATTTATTTTGTGGCTACAGTTCTTCCCCTTTTGTTTTTCTAGACCAGTTCTGTGTGCGCTCTGATTGATTATCATACACAGTTTATCCACCCTGGCCAAGAAAATTGGATTGATGATCTACACAGCTTGATGGAAAAATATTTCAGGTAGTTTAGTTTTTTAAAAATGTTTGGCTTTTGTATACATTGTTTTTCATACTATCATAAAATGCTAATGAACTTTTCTAAAATATCTTTTTATTAACTTTAAGGTACCTTACAAAAGAGTATGTTATTTTTTCTTATATTTTTAAACAAGGTATTTGTAAAGTATGCATTATTTAAATTGAGTTTGAATTAATAGTCTAAGAATTTTTGGCTTCTCATTCAAGGTCAGTTAATAACATCAATGTGAAGCTCTAGCATCTGCTGTATTTAGTATATTGGTTTAGAGTTATAGACTTGAATTTGACAAGGTATGGGCAAAATTGGCATTGATGTAACCTATTCTTGATACAGGTCACAGACAAGAACAGAAGTCAGAAAGAAAACATTGGATGTTTTATCACTAGTCCTCAGTATCAACACACATGTCTATGAGGTCAGTGTGCAACATTTTCTTTTATATTACTATCAGTATAATTATTTAAATCAATAACATATCACAAAATGTAGTGGAGGATAAAATTCCAACACATTTTCCTGAGTTTATTTTTGTTTTTATTTTCTCTGTCTACTATACAAAGCTGATTATGATTTGTCAGATAAAAATCTTTACTTTTATAACCTACTACAAAAAGAAATATAGTAATTTAATGAAAGTAAATATTATTTTTATTTCAGAAAGAGCTAATAGAACGAGTAGTCATTCCACATTTCATCCACATCAACACAGACCCTGACCCTGAAGTACGCAGGAAGTCTGTTGAGCTCCTCCTGGGATTGTGTGAAGATTGCCATTCAAATGAGTTCTTTGAACTCTCTCTTATCATTGAAGAAGTACTTGAAATTCATTAACATTTTCTATGTAGTAACTAAATTGTTATTTACAACCAAGTTGTACAAGTTTTGTGCTGTATTTTGTTTTTTTTTAATTTTTCTGTAAAAGCCAGCTGTGTACATAATTTTTATTCCTGTTTTTTACCTTTGTGTGTCCTTTTAAACTAGGTCATCAAAAAACCACTTATCGGTGGTTTCCAGGAATTAGACAGGAAAGATGATATCAAAGGACTAGATGAAGAGAGTTTGGTTGATGTACGCACTGCCATTACAAAACTAATTGACCTGTTCAAGGTGATGACTTTTTTTTTATATCCAATAAATCATTGAGATTTAAACAACACTGATTGTATTTAGCTATACTAATTAATAATGGAGTTGTAAATAAGGCTAATTATTGTTTTATGTAAACTGTTTTATCAAACATCGCTTTTTTAAGAATATTAATTGATATCCAGAATGTTATAATCCATATTCATTTCTATATTGAATAAACTACATGATTGATTGACTTGATCCAACAGATATAGCTAAACTGTTTTATCAAACATTGCTTTTTTGGAATGTTAATTGATATCTAGAATGTTATAATCCATATTCATGTCTATATTGAATAAACCAAGAAAAAGAACTAACATGATTGATTGATCCACCAGATCAAGCTGTACACTGCACCAGGCAGCCACTGCCAGAGATTGTATGACATGTTGATCTCCCATCTCAAGCAGCACTACTCACAGCTTTACCTTGGTCGAACTGCTTGCATGATTCGCAAATCTGTAAGATACTCATTCATTTTTTTTTATATCACGGGGGTAGCTTTAATAAAAAGTTTTACTATTTAAAATACCTTATAGTTTTATGATAATGAGAGGTTTAAAATATGTATATAGTACATTATAAATAGTGGGACGGAGTGGTTGAATAGTAGAACATATGACTGATAACCAGAAAGTCAAGTTCAAATCTGGGTTCAAGTCCTTAAAATGTATCTGTGTGCACCCAACTGATGGGTATCTGACATGTTAAGAAAAGTAAAGGCAGCTGGGCATAGTGCTGACCACACTATACCTTCATATGCCAAGACACAGAAACAGGTGAACTCTACTTCACTTACCCATGGATCGACAGGTTTGAAAGGGAACTTTACTTACTGCATTATAAAAAGATACAGGTTTTAAAACATAATATATTTTAAAATAAGTGTGGTAGTTTACATTTAGCATTTTGAAGGGCTAATCTCATTATTTTTTCCCCCAGATTTTCAGCCTGCTGCTACTGTTAAGGGCAGACAGCAATACCAGAGTTGGATTGGCTGACAGAAAGCCTGGAGAGCGTCATGTATTTAGCCCATATGTTTTGTGTCAGCCAAGGTAAATTTTGCACTTCAACAAAGAATCATGGCATAAATAGAATTTTAGGACATTAAAGATGCAACTGTTGTTTCTATTCACTTTTAGTTATGATGTTGCATCTTTAAAATGTTCTTCAATAAAAAGTATGAAAGTATGGCAGTATTTTTAAAAATTTATGATGATTTTTTTTTTTTATATATGATATTACTTTTTACTTCTAGTGATGATGTTGAGTCCTTGTGTTTAAGAAGCCCATCCATACCAGGTCTCAATGCTAGCCAGCTGTATGCTGTTATTGAGTATGAGCACACCTTCAAACTTTTTTTGCGATGCCTTGAATCCGTAAGTTGACCTTTTTACTGTGTGCGTACACGCTGAGCTAAATATTACATAAAACATTTTTTAATCAGCCACCTTTTCTTTCCAGGAAAAAGACTGGTCCATTTTACAGATAGTTTTGGAAAACCTTCCTCTAATTCTTGAAAACAAAACACTTGTATTGTCAGCTAATGAAGAGCTTATTGATGCCTTATGTGGAAAGTTGTGTGCTATGGTAAATACTGTTTTCCACAATAATTTTTTGTTTATTTAGAACAAAGTGTTTTATTAGTATAAACATCAGTATAATTTGTTTTGTGTACATATCAGTACCTGATTTTAATTTGTTCTGTGTTTAAGGTTAAAGACAGAACAGTGGAGCAGTCCCAGAAGTTGATCAACCGTCCAGCCAACTTCACCCGCTCAGACTTCCACACTTTTGTGTTTCCTGTGCTTGCCTCTATAGTTACTTATCATTCTTACCTGGACAAGAGTAGACTGGTGGGTTAATTTAACTTGAGCTATTTGATAATAAATAAATAGTTAGAACCAATGTATCAATAAATATCTATTGACGGGTACAATGCTCTCTACAATGCCTAGTGGTACAAATATTGAGAATTTGAACAATGTATACAGTATTGTATGTCATAAGCACATTGTTTATTATGTTTAGGACTTGAACTATATTAACTTAATCCTCATGATAATAACTTGATCTTTGTGAACAGGAATTATTGATATAATCTTTGTGCTTATGAACATCAAAATAATAATTTTTTAATCCTGAATTATGATAATAAAAACCAACATATGATCATGAATGACATCTAGCTAATGTTTGTGTCACCAGAAAGAACTGGTGAACTGCCTGGAGTTTGGTCTGGTCTCCAAGTGTGCAAAGATCTGCGTCACCACCCTGAGAATCTGCTCTCTAGAGATGAAAGAGCTCATGATGAGGATGTTGCCATCTGTCTTATTGTCTCTCTCTAAAATATCAGCCACTATAGCAATGGCCATTCCAGTGCTAGCTTTTCTGTCTAGTAAGTCAAGAATAATAGTAAAAACAGTGAAACAAACTATATGATTAATCAGTCCTTTTTAACAAAATATGATGTTTTGGAGAGAAAACTACACAATTCATTTATCCTTTTTAAAAAAAAATAATATGATGTTTTAGTATTTCTGGAGAACTACTCTATCGGTGTAATGAATTATTAATTAGTAAATAGATACTTGTAAATGCAGATGCTCTCAGTGAAACTGATTACTATATGTTTTGTATTAATCATGCATTTAAACAACAATGTTGTTTCAGGTATTGTCAGGATTCCTAAGCTGTATGCTAACTTTGTAGAAGATCAGTATATGAGTGTGTTTGCTATTGCTCTGCCTTATACCAACCCATTCAAGTAAGGATTGATCTAACATGAAAACATTTCTGATTAAATCTTTGAGTTATTTATATTTATGTTCTATCAAACATTCTTAGGAGGTGTGATATTATTAAAACATAAATAGATGGAACTAGCTAAATCCTGAAGATAATTTAGTTAATTTCAAAATTATCTCAATGGTCCATTGACCTCACAAAGAAATATACCAACAAGAAAAAAGTAAATAAAATAAAACTCCACAATAGTTATCTGCAAATTATGAAATGTTAGTATCTGAATTTCCTAGGAGTTGTGGTGTTCATATCTCACTGTTTTCTATCATTAAACTACTCCACACTTATGAAATTCCCTTTATACAAACTGACTTATCATATACTTTATTAAACAGGTTTAGCCATTACACAGTTTCATTAGCACACCATGTTATAGGAATCTGGTTCATCCGTTGTCGACTACCATTCAGAAGAGGTTTTGTCAAGTACATCCAGCGAGTAAGTAGACACAAATAATATAACTCTTCAATGCTAAACTATATGTATATACTATATTTATTAAAAAATCTGATTTTTAAAACTTATTATTTTAACAGGGACTGAAGTATAATGTTTTGCAACTGTTTGAGGAAAATTCCATTCGACATCTCAGTTCTTTTAATCAAGATTCTAGTGACAGAGGGAGAACAATGTCCTTGAATGAAACTAGTCGTAGGTAATAACACTTTTTTTAATTTTGGGAAGGTGTAAATGTATTTAATCAGCACCACAATCCACATCTTAAAAAATATTTTATTTTTTCAGCCGTCGTAGGAATATGTCTGGCATTGAGGGTATAAGAAATGATGGCCGTATACCTATGGATGAGAAAATGTCTCAGTTTCATAAGGAGCTCACAGAGACATGTATTGACATGATGTCCAGATATGCATTTGGGAATTTTACAGCTCTACCTAAAAGGTGATTTAACTTTTTTTTGTTTTTGGTGTTTAGTTTATAGCACTAATTGTATATGGTTGTAATTCTCTCTTCTGATCTAAAATAAGTGGATATCGTTATTTGTATTGGTAATTTTAAAATGAGTATATATTATAAGTATAAGGAGATATTTTATGTTTATTTTGAATCTTGTGCAGATTTTCTTAATTTAAAAAAAAAAAAAAATTCAAATAGGTCTCCTGTGGCTCAGTTTTTACTTAAAGATGGCCAACGTGGCATGTGGGTTGTTGGAAATAAAGTAATCACAGTGACAACAAGTGGAGGAGGCAGCAAGTCAAGCAGCACTGGACTGTGTGAGAACTGCCTGGCTGTCGTTCAGAAGTCACAGAATAGAGATGGAGAATCTAAGGACCCAACACCAACAGTCACCACCCCTGCAAGCACTAGGAGAGACAGGCGCAGGCATAAATCTGTTGCTAGTTTAGGCAGATCACAAACACAGGTAAAAAAAAACATCAGTTTAATATAACTTCATTTTTATATATTTAAAAGTTTAAGCTGATGTTTAAAAGAATGTTTCTTTAATACCTAGATTGACTCCCTTGGGATTTCATTAGAATCTGATGAGTCACTTCGCCCCCGTCGTAGCCTTGATGACATGAGTTTGCCACAGGATTCCAGTAGGAAAATGCTAGGTCAGGACGATGTGGCTGTTCAGACTGGAAGCTCCTTAAGTAAAGAAGGAATGGATCCAATGCTGATTGGTAAAAAAAATAATTTTTAGATAAATGTGACATTTTTTATAATGTTTAAAATAAAAAAAACAATTAGCAGAACAGGCTCTGTAAAGTAACATGTATTCCTATGCAGAAAGTAAGCATCAGTTATCTGAACAGCGCATGTTCTCAGCCACACAGTGCAGCTGTTGGTGTACAAGCTGGGCGGAGGTGAACATTCGTGGGGCGAGTGGCGTGGTGTCCTGGATGATGAGGATAGAGAATGAGTCGAGTGGCTACAGCTTCTATGCCGACCCTTCAGTGCCAGACATCACGCAGCTGCTGGCACCTGTTAGATGCAGGCAAGTAGCACATTCTAATTGCTAGGGAAACTAGAGAATTGCTTGGTATCAGTGTTGTATCAAAACATTTAAGTGTTGTGCTATTCCTGGAATGTTAAGTATCATTGTAACGTATCTAAAGAGTTGCCTTTTCTCTGTTTTGTTAATGTTATAAATTATTAGAAAATGTCTAATATCATTATATAATGTGAGAAATATTTAAAGAGTTATATAGATCTTGTATTATCAATGTTATGTTTTTCTCTTGAAACATTTCTAAGCTATGACTTTTTGTAAATCTATTCTAGAACTCCTGACTCAGATAGTATTGGAAAAATTGACAGTGGCAGCCTGTGTGAAGAAGAGTATGAAACTTTACATTCCCAACATTTCTCTGAGGCAGAGAAAACCTGTGAGTTCTTTAATATATGTTGAATGTAATGAAAACCTAGGGCTGTAAATATGTTTTTTTTTAATTTGAAGTTGAGAAAATCTTTACCTGACTAGATCAACATCATATAATTATAATCTAACTTTGTTTGGGATATGTATCAAATTATTTAGAAACACTTATTTTTGCAAAAAATTTCTATCCTAATATGAATTTACTCATGAATCATTAATGTAATATTGATACCTTAAAAAATGTTTAAATTTTGACCTTTTTTTTTTTTTTTTTTTTCTGCTTGTGCAGTTTGTCGAGATGAATACCATGTCACATCAGAAATATCCACTGATGGGGTAAATATTTAACCACGGAATCTTGTATTGCAATAGTTTGTAGTTGTTGTACATTTTAAAGCACCAGTAGCATTTGAAAGTAAATAAAATCTTGAATTTCAGTCAGTTTCGATGAATTTTTTTACCTTAATTACTTGTCTTAAAATATCTTTTTTTTTTTAAATTAGGAATATCCACTTTAATTTTAACCATTTTCCTGCTGAAAGTGTTTAGGGTAAAATAAAGTAAAATTCTCTCTCTGACCAGATAGGGCAACTAAAAGTCATCTGATGAGCTAGAGTGGTTAGCACTATGCCCATCTGTTGTTATTTGTCTAGGGAGTATATATATTATTGTTTTTTTCTCTTAGATGGCCTCTCACACTGTCCCAGCAGATGACACCAACTCCCAAACAACCTTAAAGAGAAGAAACTCATCCCCACTGTGTATAAGTGATGCCCTATACAGTCAGCGGTTGATTACACCAGAGCCTGACTCCCATGGTATTGAGAGGATCAGAAGCATCAACACTGAAACATCTGTTGCCCGCCCTGAAGCTGAAGACTTCTCTAACACACCAGCATCTGTGGCTCCTGAGCCACCAGGACCAATCACCACAGTGGAGAAAAAATCTGATCTATCTATTCAGCTTTCTCAAAGTGATCAAAAAATGTTTAGCCAGCAGGAAGCCAAACCTTTGTTTGAATATAAAGAAAGTGAACTTCAAGCTCAGCAAGCATTCAGCAAGACCAAGTCTGAATTCAGAGGGCGTGCTGAAACAAGTTCAGGAGAAATGCAGAGGCCCAGAAAACTTATCCAGAGCATGGAATCCCCCAGTGTGAAAAGGATGGCTATGAGAAGTTTCTCTGTTGACCTGGAGGGAACCAAAAGACCTGAACATCTCCCTCTGCTTACCTCCCATAGTCAAGATATTCAAAACTTTGCTAAAGAATGTAAGTACTGAATTAACATCATTTGCTGATTTTAGTTAAAACTTTCATTATTATAATGCAGGAAACCAACTCTTACTCCCTAATAATTGAATGTCAATGTATTGAGCAGCTTCACCCAATGATGGATCTGCCACCTCGTCACTTCAAGATGAAGTTCCAGAGCTAAGGCAAATAAAGCGACGTGGCCACACAATCTCGGTCATTAATTCCTCTTCAGATGTGAGACAGAATGATGAGTTTGATTCTAGGCTGCAGGTATGTTGAAGGTTCGCACCTGAAACTTTCCTAAAGTATTTTAAATTGTCTTATTTAATAAATTGTAGTTTGTTGTTTTTCACTATTTAACTGTAGATGAGACATTATTTTATGTGTAATTAGATCTGGGTGTAGGTAATAATCAATATCAATATAAATTTTAAGGTACATATTCAATTCTACAAAAATGAATACAGATACAGGTATTATCTAAGTTTGTATGAATCATAGGGATCCAGCTCGGCTAAAGACAGCAAATCTGGACTAAATCCTAGCTATGTCTTTCTTCAACTCTACCACAGTCATCCTTTGGTTCAGAGTCCTGAGATCCCATTAAAAGTACCAGAAACTGATGTAAGTAGATGTTATGCAACCTAAAGTATCTAACTTCTACCTCTGTTTTTAAAAAAGATTGCCTCATTTGGGCATACAACTTTCTACATGTATTACATTTGTCTCAGAAATTTCGAAGAACAGTGGACATGTTGGATCACATCTACCCATATGAAACCCATAAAATTGGTGTACTCTACATGGGTAAAGGGCAGGTGTGTATTTATAAGATACAGTGCATATTCTTTAATTATGAAAAACTGCTGAATAGTATAATGCTCGTTAATTTTTTATGTGCTAGTTGTTATTTTTAACTTTTATTTGACAAGCAATATGATTTGAATTTAGGCTAGTGATGAAAAGACTCTACTCAGCAATGAGTTTGGATCACCACGCTATACCAAGTTTATCCAGGCTTTGGGAGAGATGATAAGCATTGAAGAGGCTGAGAAAGACAGGGTCTATCTCGGGGGTTTGAACCCCAGTGATGGCAAATTCACTGTGGCTTGGCAAGACGAGTCTCTCAGAGGTTAGTTACGCCAGGATTTCAGTTCTGGTGGGTGCCCAATGTTGGGAGAGGTCCTGGCAAATAGACTTATTAACCCCACATTTAAATAACATTGCATTATATAATAATCATTAAAAAAGTTTTAAAAAACCCACGTTTTCTGATTGAACTAAAAAGTAGAAAATAAATGTTACACATCACAATAATGCAAGCGATCACTCTACTATAAGCGATCAAAAACGTGGGGCGCCGTGATTTTCTTACAGTTTCTAATACTATTGACTTTAATTAGGGAGCTTGTAGAGAGTCAACAGTATTAGAAACTGTAAGAAAATCACGGCGCCCCACGTTTTTGATCGCTTATAGTAGAGTGATCGCTTGCATTATTGTGATGTATAACATTTATTTTCTACTTTTTAGTTCAATCAGAAAACGTGGGTTTTTTTTAACTTTTTTAATGATTATTATTTTCTACTTTTTAGTCTTTGTCTGTTTGTTTGCATTAAAATCTCGTAAAAGTTGTATAGCATTAAAGTCTCGTAAAAAGACAACTCGTAAAAAACACGTTGTGTGAATACGTTACTGACTAGAACACATAGATTTGAACCCGCGCCGAGTGGGATAGCAATCGTGTGCCCAACCACTCGACCATATCGTCTCCCCCATACTGGCCACCAGTTGTTACGTTCTGGTTGTTTGTACACAAACACCGCGTGACAACTATTCAGTAAGCAAAAAGAGGGAGAGTCCCGAACCTTGTTTTCATCAAGTTACTGGGTTATGTCCCTTTTCCCCCACGTTTTTGTACAATTATATAGCGGCCTAAAATGATCAATAAAATGTTTCCATGGATCAATTTAGTAATAATAACAATTGAATATTCTATGGTCATCGGAAACAAAGCTTCCCTGAAAATTTCAGCGCGCTAGCTAACCCGGGAAGTGCCCGAAATTTCGATCGCAAGATTTGATTGGAGAAACAAACAGACGCGAAAGCAAGTTAAAGAAAACGTGGGAAAATAAAAACGAGCTGACCTGCGACGTAGCATATGCCGCTATCTAGTTGTTTTATTTTCTACTTATCAACAATTCATAATTTGTGAATTCGACACTACCCCACCCCTGCCTCCCCCCACCCCATCCCGCCCAGTGAAAGCAGCCTTTTACAGACGACAATGAAAATATCAAGCAGAACTTATTATCTCCCCTTAGTTTCAAATCGTTTAAAAACTAAATTATCTGCCGTCACTTATTTGAACCGGCTCTACTATTGTAAACATTCGGGGTGAACCACAGCTCACCTGACAGGTAGGGATGAGGGTGGTGGCTAAGCTGCGTGGTGTCTTCTATGGTCCCCATGAAGAGAATTATATATATAGATTTGTCAGTTCTGCCATTATTTTAATGTTGCCTCCTGTGTAAAACTTGTGTATTTTTCAAGGTTTATTCAGTATGCTAAATTTGATTGTCAATTTCTCCCAGTTATTTTTCACATTGCCACATTGATGCCTAACAAACCTGGAGATACAAGGTTTAATAACAAGAAAAGTCATATTGGAAATGATTTTGTTACCATTGTGTATAATGACAGCTCAGAAGATTACAAAAGTGGCACAATATCTGTAAGTTTCTGAAAACTTTAAACCACTTCTGCCCAAACAAGTTTATCAATAGGTTATATAGTGTGTAACTTTATTTCTATAATTTCAAGCTCATTGCATTTTTCCCAGATCATTTCAACTTTTTCAGTATTATTATACGTCCCATATAGTGTTTACTTATATTTCAATAATTTAAGCTCACCTAATTTTTCCAGGGTCAGTTCAACTTTGTCAGTATTATTATACGTCCCCTGGACTATGAAAGTAATGCTGTCACACTGATAACAAAAGAAGGTATGTCTACTTTACACACAGACATTACATGATTCTCTTTCCAACTGTACTGTTTATTGTTTTTTTTTCAGACTGGCTATAACAATGTAATTTAAATTTGTATACAATTGTCCACGTTTTTTTTCTCACTATATCTGCAATGTTAGGTTGCTAACTAAAAAATATTTATAATTTTTAAAAAAATTCCGTTTATACTTTTTAAATATTAATATGCTTGGTTTTGTACAACCAACATATAAACAAGTCATAACTGCTTTAATCGTCACTTGATTAAAAAAAAAACACTAACTTAAAATAACTTTGAGATGTTAAGTGTTTGTTTTTATTTCATATTGTTTAAGTTGGGAATTGTTCATAATTTAAAAAAAAAAACAATTTCTTTACTAAAAGAGTTACTTCTAATTGGTTTAAAACGTTTAAAATTTTTCTTCTGTTAACTTTTGTTTAATCTTTTCCTAGTGGACTTCAAAGATCAGTTATCACCAGGTATGTCTGATGACCTCCCCTTTGTTTCATCATCTTGGCTTTAGATCAGATTCACCTATTCTTATTGTAATACTGTTCACTGAACACTGCTGTTGCTTCAGATGTTTTGCTAATGTCTAGGTTAGAATCTGTTAGTAGTGGTGGTGATTAGCCCAAAGTTTGAAATTAGTTCACTTCTTATTTTACATTCTGTGTTAGAAAACACACTTTATAAATTACTTGAAGCTTTCTGAGTTAGGAAGACTACCTTATATTCATATTAAAAGTATCTGTGAGTTTTATTTCTAGCTGCTATTGTAATATTTTCACTAAGTTTATTTCTAAGCGACTTCCCCATTTTGCCTTTAGGTTTGGGAACAATGAAGGGTAAGCTATCATCAGGGAATATGCTTGTTTGTATTTTTTTTTGCTTGTTTTTCTTATGTAGTTGCTTGCCTAGTAGATTTTTCTGTGATGTTGTATTCTTTATGGATTGTTGTATCTATCTCATGTGTCAAGAGTGCATGGGATTTGTGTGGTCTACTTAATATCACTATGCTCTTCATGTATCACTTTAAAAAATAGAAATATGCATGCTCTAGGTGCTTGGTATATTAATAAACTGCAGAAAACAACCAAAGAAATGTTGTATTATACATTGTAATATTTCTTTCCTGCATTGTATATCAAATTTATGCTTAACCCTTAGTATCAATGTAGCATTACTTTTTAGCAAATAGGATACAATTGTTTTAGAATAGTTAACATTTTACAAGGGAGACAAAAAATGTTTTTTTTTTAATATATAATTTGCAATAACAACAATTATTTCGGTAGTAACCATCACAATTTCAGTTGATCTGGGGTAATTTAAACTTTACTATATGGTATGATATCTCTAAATACTCTTTTTCTTTTCTAATTTTCTTTTGTTGTGCTCATTTATGCAGAGGAAAAGTATCTATTTACTTTATAGTAAATGAAACATTTAGCTTGACTGAATGAGGTGGTTGACAAAAACATATTAGACCATGTTGCAGTCAAAGAAATGGCTGATGGTTCTATATTAAAGTGTGTATTTTCTAGCATGTACATCTTTGTTGTGATGTAGTCTTTTGTTTTGTGAGGAGGACTTATCTTTGATTGCATGTTTGTGTGACTACCAGATTTCAATAGAATTGCTGTGACTTGTGATACTATTTTAACCCCAGGTAGCAGTGGCTTATAATTTGTGTTTTGATCAATTTTTTAAATTATTTGTCTAAAGGGCTGAATGTATTTTCCTTCTGCTTGTAAATATGAAATAAGATAGTCATTTAAGTTAATGAAAGAACATGTTGATGTAACATTTTTCTAATGATTTTAGCATAGTTTAACTAACTTAATTTCTGCAACAAAAAACTGCCTTAAATTAAACAGGTTGGGTCTCTGTTTTAGCCTAGTCTCCCATATATTCATTTTTCTCACTTGCTGGCTAATGCACAAAAATTTACTGATTATCTTTTGCTGCTGGTAAAAAAAAACTGCTTAATTGATATTCAAATTACACTTGGACTCAGTACAGCTATAGCACTATGTAATCTGACTCCCAAGTCAGTGGCTCCTGATGATTGATGTATCACATTATTTTGTATTTGTAGATTAGTAATGCTATGCTGTTTATTTTATTTTAGATATTGCAGACATCTTGGGCCACACCCACACAAAAATCATCTCAGATGTTAACCTTCCTCTTCTAGTCAGACAAATTGCCGTACACTGTAATGTGAGTATTTTTTTTAAAGTTTGTCAATTTATTCTTAAAATGGGATATTCTTCACCTCCTCCATTGTAGTTTCCTTGTTAAAATTAACTCCTAGAATGCTACCAGCATAAAAGTTAAATTAATTACAGCTTTTTACAGAAATGTATAAAAAATTCATGGAAAATATTTTTGCTTTAACTTAAGCCACAATCCTAGTTCAACAAAATTAAGCGTCATTCAATTTTGAAAATTAATGTTCACCTTGGCTCCAGTTATTTAGTATAAAAATACAATTAAAAAAACCCCAACCCTAGAAGTAGAAAACACAGGTAGCAGATAATATTCCTGTTAAAACTTTCAGCTAGCCTCCATGGTACTACAGAGACAGCAGTCAACTGTTGGGTGTCCTGAGGTGTTTGCATCTAATTGGTTGGAAAGACTGCGCCAGATAAAATTACTCAAACAACGAATACTTGAACATCAGGCAGAAAATACAGAGCCAGCTCCTCCATCCCCCATCTGGCCACCCACAGGAGCAAGTGGGGATGGTGCTTTTGGGGCATACGAAGACTTTACAGACTACTTGTAGTTTTGGAACTAGATTGTATGTTTGAAAGGCATTTCAGTATTGATAAGATTTTTGTTTTCTTTCTCAGATTTAATTTTATGTAATAATAGTTTACTGTAGAAGGTCCTTGAGTCCGCCCAGCTAGGTGGCTGGGCTCAAAACTGACCATACTATCCCATCATATGCAGAAGTCAGAGAAATAAGTGAACTCTACTTCATCTGCCCTATCTAATAACAGGTTAGGAAGGGCAGCTAACTGGTTGTTTGTTGTTGTTTTTTTTTTTTTACCTTAGTCCAGAATTTTGTTTACATTTTAGAGAAAGTTCCAATTATTTAACCTTAAAGGTTGGCTGTGTGAGGACTTTTTTTTAAAAACTAAATTATAATTCCTCCAGTAGTATTTATTTTAAAAATGAATTGGAAATTGATGTTTGTGGTGAGTGCAATTTTTTTTATCATCATTTTTTCACATACTGTATTTAAATTTAAACATGAAGTATTATCTTTAATCAAAATGTTACCATATCTTTGAATAAATTATTGTCACTCATCCCAATTTCAGTATTGTTGTATATCCTGTTAAATCAATCTTAAGAAAACTACCATAATAGATACTAAAAATATCTGGTTTATTTCATACAGTAACACAATTTTTTCTGCAAACATACATATCCTATGCTCCGATATATGAGCAGTGAACCATCAGCAATCTTTAAAGTCGGGTTGTCGTTTCTCAACAAATGCAGACATTCCCTCTTTTCTATCATGCTGTAAATAAATATATTGTTACAGTCAACAATCTATATTGTTTGAGCGTTAAGAAAAATTAATGGGTGAAAAGAATTGTACTTACAGTTGCAAATGTTGCATGGAACAATCTTTTCTCAAAATGGATACCTTCAGTCAGTGTAAGATCATAACCTGGGTGAAAATAAATGAATTGACAACACTATTAATAGTGACAGAAAAAGCTGCCTGATGGGGAGATACTACATTTCTAATTTTAGGCATAGCTAATGTGTAAAAAAAAAAATGATCATGTAATGTCTTACCAGTGTTAACAGCTTCCTTACACATGGCTGTAATCACTTTAGAAAAGCTAGCTATTTTTTCTGCTGTCTTCACAGCTTCATTGACTAGTTGATCAGGGGGGAAAACTTTGCTAACAAGGCCTAAAAACAATGAGGAATCAGGATTAAGGGTAGAAGTTATAACAACTAACACTAAACATTTGTAATTCTGGCCTAAAATAATCTGGCTTTAACAAAAACCGATATGATCACATTTGGTTGATTACAAAGGCTCACTACAACAAATAAAAAAATTATAATCTGATCAGTAACTTAAAACAATAATCATCTGCCATCTTAGTAAGTCAGTTTGAACACATCAGTGAATCACCAGAGTAATTGAAATTACTATTTAATTTTGTTGTCTCCCCTTTTGTTACTGAGTCTAGATCTAGTAATTAATTTTTAAAGACTAATTGAAATCAAACTAGATTGAAAATGAGATATTATTGTGCTGCCATCAGAAATATTTTTTTGGGAAAGATTTAAAGAAATCACTGCATTTAAAACAGGTCAAAATGTATTTATGAGATTTAACAACAAACTGAACCAGACAGGTGCTTGTAAAAAAAGAAATAAAGACTAACCAGCTTTCTCTGCTTCTTGGGCTGATATTCTATATCCAGTGAGAACCAGTTCCATAGCTTTAGATTTGCCAATAGCTCTCACAAGTCTTTGAGTGCCACCAGCACCTGAAAATAAATGTAGAAAAAACTAAATGCTAATTAAATACTTTTTTAAGTTATAAGTGTTCACTGTCAAAACAATTGAACTTATTTTCAGTAGCATTTACTTATGACATGTGTTACATGAATTCAACAAAGTATTAACTCAATTATCGACAATGAATTAACCTGAGTCACATAATGAATCCTACCTGGAATTGTGCCTAGTGTTATTTCAGGTTGGCCAAACTGAGCCTTCTCCCCAGCATAGATTATGTCACACATCATTGCTAGTTCACATCCACCACCCAACTAAAATATATATAGAAAAAATGTTCCAGGACAATGTAAACTTTTGATGGTTATGTACATTTTAGTTTAGTTTTAAAAAAATAATTGAACAAATAATTAATTCAAATGAAATTTTTTAAATGTAGTTACATTTTTACAAGAATACAAATATAAGTTACATAATCTCAGAAACAAAACAGGAATGGTTAGCTCTAATTGTTAACTTTATAATATTGGACGGATTTAAAAATTTCCCACGAAGTCTAAGGGACTTAAAAATAAGAATCAACTTTGAAAGAAGATAAGAATAAGACTGGATCAACAGATAGCACAGAGGCCACTACTAAGAAGACAAAAGCAAAATATGTTAAGGTAACTTGCAGTTGGCTTCCTCCAACAAAATAAAAGACACTAAAACAAAGGCTAGCACTCCAATACAACAAACAAAAGTTATCAGAAAATAACCTACAGCATGACCATTCACTGCAGCAATCAATGGTTTTCTACATTTTTCAATTCCAAAGACAGGAAAATCAGAAGTAAACACCTCGTTAAATGTCTTCTGTCTCATTTCAGCAATATCAGCACCAACTGTGAACACAATGTTTGCAACTTGCTAATTAATAAACTGCAGATATAAAACATTTTGACCATAATCCAGAGGAGATCTACAGGACAGGATAAAATGTCAACGAAAATAGGATGCCTTCAGCTTGCCAGAATACTTAAAAACTGAAGCTAGAAAATCTCCAGCAACTGTAAGAAAGAACTTCTCTTACAAACTAAACAATAAAAGATCAAACATACAGCATATCCATTTACAGCCCCAATCAAGACCTTTCTAACTCGCTTCATGGCGACATCAAATGTTGGGAAATTGCTGTTAAATACAGTCTGCATTGTCATCCCACACATTTCTTTAATATCATCACCCACTGAAAAATGTTTGTCATCTTTATTACCATCACCTAATGCAAATGGTATGCAATATATAAGAGAAATATGTGCAACTCCAGAAAAGATTAGAGCTCATGTTGACAGTTCCATCCTGCTAGTGCCTTAATCTCTGCAAATTAGTATTTTCAGGAGAAGTATGTCTTATTAAACCATCATTATGCATTCGTTCATAAAATCATATCCGCAAAAGAAAGCTCAAATAATTATAAAAAGGCAAAACAATAGCTTGAGTTCATACAGCAAATCCATTGACAGCAGCCAAAACTGGCTTACGGCATCTGGCTACTCTGTCCCAACCCATGAGGAAGTTACTGTTGTAAACATCAGAGAATGTGTTTATATTCTGCATCTCTTTTATGTCTGCACCAGCTGAAATACCAACAAGCCATGAGATTTTTTTTGTTTAATGTCAATTTAAATAGAGCAACAAAGGAAGATTTGATGAAATAAAATAAAAAATCCTATTAAATTTCAAGAATTCATAAAATTTGCTTCCAGATACATGACATAGACCTATCAACGTGAGTATAGTAGGGCTACAATCCTTCTGGATGAATATACTTTTACATAAGTGCTAGACTTGACAACATACCAGCAAATGCCTTTTCACTTCCAGTCAGGACAATAGCACCAACATTTTTATCTGCCTCTGCTTCATCGAGAACAGTGCTTAGCTCAGCAATTAATGCATCACATAGTGCATTAAGGGCTTTAGGTCTGTGGAGCTGGATCAAAACCACATTTTGTTTCTCTCCTCTTTTTTCTACCTTGAGATTCTCATACTGACCTACAACGCAGAACATAGACATATTTATTATTTAAGGAAGTAGGCCTATTATTATTAAATCATTTAAATAGATCTATATAATACTATTATTACTAAATATATAATAATTAGTTTTAGTATATACAGTATATAGTATATAAGTATATACAGTATATAGTATATACTTAGTATATAGGTAAAAAACAATTTGGAGGGGGGGGATTCATCCAGTGCCAGCTAATAAAAATTACTTTTACCTCCCCTCACACACGATAATATATGGATATGCCATTAGTAGTTAGAGTTAGAGTCTAGCTAGATCTAGATTGTACTAGCTGGCTAGTAGATCTAGTACTAGAGGTCTAGTAGTCTAGCAGTAGATTCTATATTAAAATTGAATGACAGACGGACTTGCCTGACGTATAGAATCTATTTGCTGCAACTATTGGTAATTTCACTTCGGCCTTCAAAACATTACAAATAACACTTTTGCTAAGAGAATTTAAAACACGGGTAACACTAGCCATAACTTTCGTTTGTACTACTCAAGTACTAGACTTTCTATTGTTTTTGTTCACATTCGACTTTGAATAAATCTTTAGCCTTTGAACTGGGTGTAACAAGTAACGAAAACAACCATTACAGAAAAATCAGGCAAACGCATTTTAAATTTAGCTAGTTTATGTTTTGATGTTAGCTCCATGTATTAAGTCACCCGGTGCGATCCTCACCCTGCTCCGTTAGTTTGGTTCACTGGTTGAGTCCATAAAACATTCCTAAGTGTACCTAGCAATGATGGGTACCTGAATCTGAAAAATAAAGGTGGCATGACCCATTACTGACCACATATCCTTCATAGCATAAGTAAAGGTCAGAGTGACAGATGAACTCTACTTCATCTGGCTTCTTGACCTTCTGGTCTGAGAGGATTCCTACCATGTATTTTTGCATTTCCCCCCCCCCCCCCCTCCCCATAAAACAACAGCCTTACTCACCTGCCTTTCTTATTACTAATTAGCATTTATCTGAAACCATCAATATATATAATGAGCATTAATTTGAAACCAATATAGAGAAAATGTAATTGGGTCATAATCTATAATGCTCAGTAAGCCTTAGTTATCATCTGCATTGGTCCACTTTTGTCTATATAACTATTTACATTATAATAAAATAATAATATGGGGGCATATATAAAAATTGAAAAGCAATTTAAAAAGAGACATGTACAGTCTTTAACAAAGCCATTCCTTGGTACTACAATGGGAGGTTTAAAATCCTCATACAGCTGAGAAATTTTAAAGCCCAAATAAAAGATTCTGGGTTCAGTTTCAAAGTGCTTGACATTATTTATACATACACTAAGGGTACAAACAGGACCCGGTTAGCCAATGACAGTCATCTAATTGGCTTTATGCCTTGAGAAAAAAGCCTGTTACCAGAGTGCAGATCAGGCTTGCTTTCTAGATTATGTTAGAGAGATTGTCATCCAGTTCTAGTATAGCCTGTTTATACTACATAGATATATTAAAAATGTTAATGTTTTGAAAACAGCATTAAGATTGTGGATTGTTCATAATATAAACTTTACTGATGTTTTTACAAGAAAGGAAACAACTTTAGTATTAGCTCTTGTGAATTTAAATGGACAAAAATGCTATTCCATTTTGTATATTATGCCAATTAGCAGTTGTCGTATACCAGTAATGCCAAGTGTCACATCTCTTTCCTCCCCCCCCCCCCCCCCCCCCCACCACAAATAACATTACAATGTTCAAACTCTCCCAATGAAAATTTTTTCAAAAGTTTACTGCTTCACAATTCTACATAATTCATTGAAAGTAGTCAGCTTTTAATCAGTATAAAAGAAGCAAAACCCACCCTCTCCCCACAAAATGTGAGATGTCATTGATTGACTTTCTCAAGAACTGATATTTTGAAATGAAATAGAAAATCTGCAGGATTCTCCAGAACTCCATTTAAGAGCCTGATTTTAGATACCTTCTGTTATAATATTTCTATGTATCTAAATAATTTTTGTAAAAAAAAAAAAAGAAATTCAATCACATTTTAAAATCTGTGAAACTTATAAGTACTTAAAATGATTTTTAATTACTTTTAACATCTAGAATCTACAGAATAGCACAAATATATCAACAAGAAAGCAACACAATAATTATAGTGTAAGAAATTATTTTATTTTAAAAATTCACTTATGGAGGAATGTTTATGGTAATAAAAAGCATTAAAATATTTATCCAACCTAATGATTTCTGAATGGAATGTACATTGTCAGTCTACTAGCTGCAATGACTTGTTTAAGAACATTACATTCAAAAGTTCACTTTAGTGCATCTGATTTACCAACAGGCAGAGTATGTACATATTAAGTTTATTTTATACATTATTTCATTCATAACTTCAAACCAGAGGGCACTTGTTTATAATAGGATCAGTAAAGTGATTAAAAATATTATTCAAATATAAGTTTAAATTCTTCAAAAAACTTATCCACAATAATTTGTTATAGCATTTCATACATTACAAATTTTAAGAGGTTTTAAATTTTACTCTTTGTTGTAATTTTGAACTTGAGTATCAAGAGATGGCATAAGACTTTAAATTATAAAAATTGTGAGTGATGTTATGGTTTTTACATAACTAAAAGGATTATTATCCAATAAACTATTGTGATCTGTTATTCTTCTATTGCCTTATGCAATTTATTTAAGGCACCAAAATAAAACTGTCAAGAATGACATATAAGAATATGTCAGTCTAATTGATGGAATGGCAAAATACAACCCAACACAAACTGTCACATCAAGGTTGGCTGTTAAATAACACAGCAATGTAGCCATGAGATATAAAAAATATGCCTGTACAAGGTTTGTATATTTGAATCATGAGTATACTACACAAGTAATTATATAGTTTATGTACAATGTACCGTTTCTAAAAATAAATGAAGAGAGGAATGTTAACTTTCAACATGAGTGTTAAAAAACAAAAATTAATGTCATAAGGCCATCTGAAATGCAAACATACCTCAGAGACATAACCCACCTGATTCATTCAAATGCTACACTACACATTTGCATGATGAACACATAGCATTCACACACTTGGCTAATTTGATTTTTATTATGACCACAATGATAGCTGAGATTAATCCCATTAACATACAGCTCACATAAACATCTATATTACATCTTTTACAATATTCATGCAGCTTATATCATTCACCTTTGCGACAAACATAATAATTTTTAAGAAGTTACAATTAAATATCTCTTAATGCTCACAATCAGGAGTGAATTTTTACTGATTTCAAAATTAGACACTTTCAACTCCAGTTAAAACTGTTTATTACATCAGAATGCAATTATTTATTGAGAGCATGTAACTAACATACATAATTCCGAGGTACTAAAAAATCTAACAAATGGAACCAGTATTAACAAAAATATCTTTGAACATAGTTATGCTATTCATCCCTTTCACACTAAACTTGCAAGCTTCACATTCATCGAATTTGTCTTAAAACATACACAGATATTGACAATAAAACAGGGAGAACTGTTGAGAGGCTTGTTGCAGGTCGGTGGGCACTGTTGCAACCATCTTGGTTATCACAGTGACAATATCTTACTCTGATGTTGTATGTACCGTAAACCTCCTGACATTCTCTGCCCTCATACCTGCCCACTGTACCACCTGCAGCACACTGGCGTAGGTAACGGACATCCCAGTGGTCATCCAGCCACACTGTTGGAGAAAGATTAATACAGTTACTTATTATCGATAAGTTAGGGATACAGATTTCTGTTCTGCAAAAGAGTTTAATATTTTTACTGCCTGCAAAAAAATCCAAGCAAGAGTAACAGTACTAAAAAAAAAAACAATCGCTCTGCTGGCAATCATAGAAGTACCCAAATTTCAGCACCATAAAAATTGCACACAATTTAAATGGAACAATACAAAATGTGATGAAACAAGGGGAATACCTTCTTGCACAATTTTTCTACACTTGTGCTGCCAGGGATCACAATTGACCAGATGTTGAGTGACGTTATCAAACCAGTCAGCACAGTCAGCTTGATGGTACGAGTTACACACAAAACATTTTATAGCCAAACCTGAGGAGAAGTTTAACAATACAATTAGGGTTATTTAATATGATGTACAAGTATTTAATAACTAAGGACTTAAAATATTTCTCCATTATTATGAAGAGGCCCGAAACTGAAAAAAAAAAATTAAAATAAATTAACTGTATGAACCATTCATTAATACTGATATTTACTCCAATAAGATTTGAGGATATTAATCATATGCTGTCTGTTTCAGGCTAATTCAGTAGGAAGCTATCGAGATTTCATTACACATCTCCATTTTTAGTACCCATATTTACTTTGGTTAAACAAAAAAATCTACAGTTTCTATAGTGCATTTCATATGAAATGAATGAGACACTAAAAAATAATATCACTCCAGTACACTGGTATAAAACTTTCTATAACCAGTGTTTCTTTCTGACTTTTTTCTCAGCCAAGGGGGGGGGGGGGGGGGGGGGGGGAGATGACAACATTGGTTAAAGTATATATTTTCTATATAAACTAGGGGTAGGCCTAATCTCTTAGCTGAACCAAAGCTAAACAAATGTCTTCAATTACTACTGACCTAGTGATGTTCTGAACTAACAGTTAAAAATAAAGTCTAGTCAAAAAAGCATATGAATTCAGCTCATAAGCAAAATCATTGAGTTTTAAAAACTCTTTAGGCTACTTATTGGAAAGTCTGTCAAAGCATGAATTTCAGAACTGATCAGATAGCCCTACCTTCTTAATCGGAGTTTCTTCCAGGCATTTCCAAACGTCTACCCCCCCCCCCCCTCAGAGAAAAATGACTGAAAGAAACACTGTTCATAATTTCAATAAATTTCATTATTTTTTGGTGTATCACTATTGTCCCAGTATTCTTGAAATTGAAAAGGTGTGTTCAAGGTGTTACATTTTTACCAGTAATAATTTTAATTATTAATTAGGGTCAGGGTTACTGTTGACATTACAACATTTTATATTGATTCAGTATTCAGAAAGTATGGTAGTCTCCTGTTTACCTTAATTACAAGACCTTAGTTGAAGTTTTATTTCTTTATATTAACTTTTTAACTCTCACTCTGTCTATGCCCCCCCCCCACTAGTAGTGTATTACAGTAGACTAGTAGGGTCTAAAAAATTATTAAATAAATAAAAGTAGTAGCCTAGTCACTAGTAGGCCCCTAAAGTAGTTTTGTTACTTGGAAAAATAAATGCCTGGAATCTGTTAAGTAGACAAAATGACTGTTCTGTACTAATACTATGACTAGACCTGGATTAGCTTATTCATAGATGTGCTAGGCTATAAATCTAGTAGTAAAGGTCTTCATTTCTTATTTAAAAAAATTATTTTATAGAAAACGTAGAGGACCGCCATATTCGTTAGTTACTTCCGCATGCAGTATCTTGAGAATGACACAAAAATAAAATGTGCTAGAAAAGTTTACCAAAATAATAACTTGATACAAACAACTGAGGAATGAAATATAATGCTTACTTTGCTCCAAAACCATAAATGCGGCCACCACAGTGACCACCACTACCACAAATTTATTCATGGTAGATTATGTAGTCAGAAACAAATCGCCAGTTCCACAAACTTTACAGGTTTCGGTACCAATAACAGACATGAAGTAGGTCACATACAGGTAAGAGTTCCGGAAGGGGACACAACTATTTAAATAATTTGTTTTTTTTTCAATAGAAAAATGAGATTTTTGAGAATATAAGAATAACAATTTAATTTTACGCGTTTAAAATGTATACATAAATGCCCCTTTAAGCTAATAATTATATTTTTTCTCTTCGTAGAGGAATATAACTGAATTATATTTTACAGGTGAGTTGAATAGGGGCAAGCACCTGAACAACGAGACAACAACGCCACCTGTGCTGCGGTGTGTGTTTGATTGATATGAAGCGCCGTAATGGCGTCCAATGTAACCTGGTCATTGGCAATCTTCTTAGTTTGCTGCATTTCAGGAGGTATTTTTATTTCCCTATGTTGTCCTGCGTAAATGTTAATGTAATGACATCCGTACATTTCTCTCTTTTTGCAAGAATACATTTTTTATCGTCTTTTAATCTTCTTGTCTACTAACTTAGTTGTGTTTACTGCATGTTTCTTGAGTTCCTTAACCTTTATTTCCGGGTGTCACCATTTAGTACGAACAATAACAGACTTTACAAAAAGATCTAGATCTAGCTTTTATTAATTGGGGTAATCTGACTATACTAATGTAGTTCTTTAGGTTTTATTGACTTTGGTGTTCAACCCTTTATTCAATTGATAAATCTGGGCTTTGTTGATATTTTCTAGAATCTAGAGCACTCAATGACTACGAAAAAAGATTCAAGACTTAAGTAAAATTTACTGAAGTCTTTGTATCTTTTAAGTCGCTTTAGTAGGCTTAGGGCATTTGGCCTATTAATTAGGGAATAATTAGGCCCCTATAGATCTCAGTATTATGACATCAACTGCATGAGTATAAGCTAATAATACTAGATCTAGTTCCTAGCAGTTTTTTGGGCCTGGATTTTCCAGTCTGCAAGGTCCAATTTATAACAAAAAGAAAGCACCCCAACACAATTTGACTATCCAAATGAACAATAGGCTTACCCAACAATTTCAATGGTCCAGGGAGGGTTTAGCCTATATAAAATAAAACACCTACCCAATGCACATTTGTGTATAACATTTCATTAACTAAATATGTATTATGTAGGCCTATTAAATTTTAAAATAGTTAAAATTTTGTCATGCCCCTCCCCCCCCCCTTTCCCCCAAGAAATGGCTGAAAGAAACACTGTATACTATTGCTCTCTACCTCCCACTATCCTGTATAACTTTTTAAAACACATTAACAATTAAAAAAAACCCATTACAATTGTTTATTTAGGTGCAGCCATCCAATGCTATCAGTGTGACAGTAATGAAGACTACACCTGTCCATCAGGGTATGAATTTGACAAAACAGTTAATGCTTTGATAGACTGTAATGGCTTTGAGGCTGACATCCCTGGACAGTTTTGTGTCAAGATATACCAGGAGAGCCCGGGGTGTAAGTTTTTATTTTTGCTGTTTACCCCCCCTCCCTCAAAAAGTATACCCTTACTGCATGACAATTTATTTTTATAATAATGTAAAACTTTTAAAATTAATATTTACATCTTTTACATTTTTAGGGGGAGGTTGGCAAAAAACAACCAGAAGATGTGGATTAAGAACCTCATTTGGTAAGTCAGGAATACATCTCTTAGTAAATAAATGCAGTAGTTGTAATAGGTTGGTAAAAGCAAGTTAGTTTCTGAGGCCAGTACAATATCCAGCAGTATAAAATTGTTTTTCACATAATGCCCATAACTTGCAGGGCTGGATGACCTGATAACTCAAACCATAGGTTGGCTTCTTGTCTTGCAGTATTATAATTATGAATTGTTCCATTAAATTATTTAAGATGCATCAAGCAACATGGAAACATCCTTGAGCTTGTCTGTCTGTAACATATATAGCAGGTTGATCTTTAAAAATGACATGTTGTTGTATATAATTCTATATCATTACATTCCCAGGTGTGGCTTGGGGCTGTAGGTGGTCCTGGGACTACACTGGTGTTTTCATGGAGACCTGCTACTGTGAAGATCAAGATGGCTGCAACAGCTCCACCTATGTGACTTCCAGTGTGTTGTTACTTGTGTTGTGCTCCACTTTATACATTCTCTTTAACATGTTGTAGCTCTAAAATAAATTTCCCATTCCATCACTTAAATTTACATTCTGGATATTTTTAATTTTTTTTTACTTATCTGAAATTTCTCCTTACGAATACATTCCATTTTACTCAGCCATGTACATAATGGTTCTGTCAGACACAAATCAGGTTGTGTACAATTTATGCAGCTATTTTTTAAAAATTGATAATGAGATTGTATACTAGTGAATGGTTATTCTTGTTTAACTGTGTTGTATATGAAAGTTTGTTAACTAGGTTATTCCTGAATTTGAGCTGTGTTTGAAAGTACTGAAAGATATAAAGAAGGTCTTGAACACTTTATATAGCTGTAGTTGGTGAGATGTATTTCTATACTTGTTTAATTGTCTAATGCATGAAGATAATGTGCCTGTTATTTGCTGGTGTATAAACTATGACTGTATAAAGTAACTTGCGGATTATCATCCACCACCATATGAAACATATCACTTTGTAACATATGAAGTTTATTTACATTAATGAACTGTAAATAATAATGTACATATTTCTTAAAAGTTTTTTCAAGATTTTGTCTAAAATGAATTAGTGAGTTATGCAAGGTTAGCTGTAATGAACATATTTTTGTATTACTGAAAGCATATTATACATGGAGTGATGCCTTTTTGCTTTTTAAGTTCATTTTTAACAAGAGATAAATTGGTATCAATGTCTTACATGACTCAGTGTTAAAGAAAAATCAAGGCCTGCTTTTATAACATCAGTTTTTTTTCTACTATTAAATCAATTAAAAAATAATCTAATGAGTCTGTTGTTTTTCTTTAAGGATTACAGAAACTAACATTCAAATTTAGGTTTACATTATAGGTAAATATTTTTATGTGTAAAACTAAAAAAAACTGGCTGACCACATATGGGATTTCAAACACAGAAGTTACTACATTGACATTTCCTACAGTACATTTTTTAAACACATTTAAAGCTTAATTTTTAGTCACCTGGTTTGTATGAATACTTGCATGTTATTTGCATCTTTCCCCTACCAACATAAATATAGGTACATAAGTGGCTTTCAAAAGGTGATAAAATAAGAGAATGAAAGTGTCAGGGTGTAAATTTATATCACTTTATTGAATTCATTTATCATCACACAGTAAATATCACAGCTTGTTGTCAATACAATGATATCAAATAGAAGGATATAATATAAAAAAGCAGTCATTTGTATAAACAGTCTAGTTCAGTAGGGTATCACTACTATCTAGAATTTATCATGAATATATTCAAATATATCAAAAGTAGCTGAAGAAATAGACTTTCAAAAGATATAAATCATTGGGATACAGCAGTAAAACTTGAAAACAGTTTGAATAAGTCAGCAGTGATTACCACATTAAAAACATGCTTGACTGCCTTAAACACAACCTATGTGTTTCCATCAGTATAAAATAAGGCTCTGTTTTGATCATTTATAAATACATTATGTATATATGGACAACATTATTTAACACAGTATTTCTGAACTAAAATAACGACTCGCCAACAAAATAAAAATACTGAAAAACCAAACAAATGAATGCTGTTTATATGCTAATATGGATTACAGTCCTGATAAAATATATATAAAATAAAACAGCTTTGACAAACATTGTCAAATGCCACAATACTGTCAAATGGCACAATAAAGCTCTCAGTGCTGGAGCTCCAATCTTACACTGATATTATTCTGATTAACATAATAAAAAAATATACCACAACAAAAAAAAATAACGTATTCACAATATGTAAAGAAAACAAATATCTCTCATTTTGTCAGTAATTAATATCTGTAAATTTCTCTTATAAAAAAATATATCGTCAATCATAAATATTTCAAATGGCATACTAAAAAATTGCTTTGTGTACTGACTGTTAAAAAACAACTAATATAATGTTAATCAAATTATTCTAATGCACATTTAATTACATGATTTTTTATTGAAATCATTTAAAAAAAATTATATTTAGAGCAAGTATTAGAAGATTATACAACATTGAATTCACATTTCCAACATGAGGATGTTGTAGTTAAAAGCACTCAAGTGTGAAGATTTGCACAAGTTTTCATTAGTCGTCCAGCTGACAAAGGCAGGCAACTCCCCTGTTGATCCAATGGTTCTCAGGTTTGTCAGACGGCAACAATATATACATAACAAAGTTGGTCGAGTGACCAGTAGTGGACAATGTGCCACGTCTGGCACTTGTCTTGTAGACTGGACATGTGTAGCTGGGAATTTTCTTAAACAGGTCAATCCTGTTGGGTACCAGCCAAATCTACGACAGTTCAGGAAATAATCAAGTACACACGTTTCAATAAAAAAAAGGCTATTCCCCTAGCTAACCTGGCTCATCTGTTCTGTGTTTTCAATGTCAATTTGAATTAGGCTGCACCTTAAAAACCTCAGCACTTTGTGCAGAGAGCCCTGAATGCATCCTCTTTAAAAAAATTCATTTGATACTATATAAAAAGCCTTATGTAATATTGTTAAACTAAAAAAATTAAAATAATTCTATCTTTAATTAGAAGCAATTATAAAATGTTCATGATTAGAGCAAATTTATGCTTTTGTTGTCATTTAGAATTTGAAGCTAATGCCTATTAAGACAAATATCTATTTGTGCTAGTGTCAATTAAAATGTAAAAACTCACCTGATATATTAATATTATTTGTACATCCCCATACAAGTAGCCTACATATCTAGCCTATACATCTAGTTAAAACATACTGAGTTGATGTGAATAACCAGTTGACCAATAAAAAGGATACAAGTGGCATGTGGTCAAACAATATTTTGGGGGCAGACTCTCCAATCAACATTTTTTCTCTGTCCCACTTTGCTCCCTCCATAAAAAGTCCCTAGAATTATTGTATAAATCAGAATTTTTAACATCCAAGTTAAATTCAAAATGCGAAAAACTACAAAACTGGGAGTAATCTACCAATGAAAACTGAGGGTATTAATAAATAAAAAAAAAAGGCTTACGTAAACAAAAGCACCATCTTCTGGTTTGGTTGTTTTCGTTTCTTTCAAGACTTCGAACTCAAAACCCACAAGGTCAATGGGTGTGGTTGTTTTTCTGGCATAATTCTGTGACACACCTGTTGTTTATAAAAGTAAAATTCCATTTGCTTGTAGGAAACTATCAAACGGCTCACAGTCACGTTTAAAACTACCTATGTGTAGCTATGAAACAAAGGTAGTGAAACTAAAAAAAAACTTAGATAGTTTACCTGTGAGGAAAGACTGAGTGAAATAAAAACCAGACAACCAGAATGTTGCTGGTGCTCCATGATCAATCCAGTCTTGGAAAAACTTTAATCTGCAATAGAAAAGGTATTTTGAAATATACAGCATCATGAGTTCTGTATTATTGTGATGGCTAGATTATTAAAAAAACATTCACTTAAGGGAGATAAGTTCCACATAAGTTAAATTAAAACAAAATTTTTGTTCTTACTTGAAACACATTTTATGAATGAGGTGATAAATCAGCCATAAACAATAAAATCTTACCTGGCCAAAAGGTCAGCAACATAACTACCCAGAGGTTTAAGACTAGGGTAAGATTTTGATGCCCAGGAGGCAGGTACTTTGCCAACGAGCATGCTGTTAAAAACTTCCTCTAACTCCGACGACATTACAACAAGACCTAAAGATAAAATGTACCATAGGGCAAAATTTAAAGATAAATAAATTCGCTATTGTTGAAATATAGTTTGCCAAAATAAAAAGACACATTAATTCAATACTATTTAGATATTGTTTGCCAAAATCAGAAGATTAATGAATTCATTGTTATTTAAATAAAGTTTTAAAAATGCTATGTAAATTATTATTAAAGTGTGAATATACACTTTTTACTAGAACTCACTCTAAGCTGAATCTAAATTGCAATTATCAGCACCTTAAAAATTTACTCCTAGCCTCATGCTATAAATGAATTTATATAGTTCCTCTCTACAAGAAGAAATCACAAAAGACAATCAAACTCACCCTTTATGGCTTTCTGCATGTTGACCAAAGTTTTCCTCACAACAGAAGTGAGGCTGTTGAATCTGATCAACTCCTGTCTCAGTACGGTGTTCATGGACTCATCATACACCACAGGATATTTATTCATTACCTACAACACAGGAAGTATACATTACAAAACTAATACCAAGGAAAATTATAAAAAAACATCATTTTATTTACTAAGACTGTTTGTACTGATGTCGATATCTTAATATATAAACTTCTATAGGCATCTCTCTAAGTACAAATATGTGCATGTATGACATTCATGAAAAGCCACAACATTCTATTAATAGAAAATGCCAGTTTGTTAATGTGTGACTTACAAATTCCAGATCAAAATTCTTTGGTAACTTGCTGAGAATATCAGAAGCCAGGTTTTGCATTGCATCACCGGATGACTGACCACCTCCTCCAGTTTGTCGGGGCAGAGTGAGTAAAATACTTTCAAATAACTGCAGACATTTTACATAGTTTCATTAAACCATTCAAAATATATTTCAGATATATCTTTTCAGTCACTTATAGGCACAGTAAGTAAAATACTTTCAAATAACTGCGGACATTTTACATAGTTTCATTAAACTATTCAAAATATATTTCAGATATATCTTTTCAGTCACTTATAGGCACAGTAAGTAAAATACTTTCAAATAACTGCGGACATTTTACATAGTTTCATTAAACCATTCAAAATATATTTCAGATATATCTTTTCAGTCACTTATAGGCACAGTAAGTAAAATACTTTCAAATAACTGCGGACATTTTACATAGTTTCATTAAACTATTCAAAATATATTTCAGATATATCTTTTCAGTCACTTATAGGCACAGTAAGTAAAATACTTTCAAATAACTGCGGACATTTTACATAGTTTCATTAAACCATTCAAAATATATTTCAGATATATCTTTTCAGTCACTTATAGGCACAGTAAGTAAAATACTTTCAAATAACTGCGGACATTTTACATAGTTTCATTAAACTATTCATAATATATTTCAGATATATCTTTTCAGTCACTTATAGGCACAGTAAGTAAAATACTTTCAAATAACTGCGGACATTTTACATAGTTTCATTAAACCATTCAAAATATATTTCAGATATATCTTTTCAGTCACTTAAAGGCACAGTAAGTAAAATACTTTCAAATAACTGCGGACATTTTACATAGTTTCATTAAACTATTCAAAATATATTTCAGATATATCTTTTCAGTCACTTATAGGCACAGTAAGTAAAATACTTTCAAATAACTGCGGACATTTTACATAGTTTCATTAAACCATTCAAAATATATTTCAGATATATCTTTTCAGTCACTTATAGGCACAGTAAGTAAAATACTTTCAAATAACTGCGGACATTTTACATAGTTTCATTAAACTATTCAAAATATATTTCAGATATATCTTTTCAGTCACTTATAGGCACAGTAAGTAAAATACTTTCAAATAACTGCGGACATTTTACATAGTTTCATTAAACCATTCAAAATATATTTCAGATATATCTTTTCAGTCACTTATAGGCACAGTAAGTAAAATACTTTCAAATAACTGCGGACATTTTACATAGTTTCATTAAACTATTCATAATATATTTCAGATATATCTTTTCAGTCACTTATAGGCACAGTAAGTAAAATACTTTCAAATAACTGCGGACATTTTACATAGTTTCATTAAACCATTCAAAATATATTTCAGATATATCTTTTCAGTCACTTATAGGCACAGTAAGTAAAATACTTTCAAATAACTGCGGACATTTTACAGAGTTTCATTAAACTATTCAAAATATATTTCAGATATATCTTTTCAGTCACTTATAGGCACAGTAAGTAAAATACTTTCAAATAACTGCGGACATTTTACATAGTTTCATTAAACCATTCAAAATATATTTCAGATATATCTTTTCAGTCACTTAAAGGCACAGTAAGTAAAATACTTTCAAATAACTGCGGACATTTTAAATAGTTTCATTAAACCATTCAAAATATATTTCAGATATATCTTTTCAGTCACTTATAGGCACAGTAAGTAAAATACTTTCAAATAACTGCGGACATTTTACATAGTTTCATTAAACCATTCAAAATATATTTCAGATATATCTTTTCAGTCACTTATAGGCACAGTAAGTAAAATACTTTCAAATAACTGCAGACATTTTACATAGTTTCATTAAACTATTCAAAATATATTTCAGATATATCTTTTCAGTCACTTATAGGCACAGTAAGTAAAATACTTTCAAATAACTGCGGACATTTTACATAGTTTCATTAAACCATTCAAAATATATTTCAGATATATCTTTTCAGTCACTTAAAGGCACAGTAAGTAAAATACTTTCAAATAACTGCGGACATTTTACATAGTTTCATTAAACTATTCAAAATATATTTCAGATATATCTTTTCAGTCACTTATAGGCACAGTAAGTAAAATACTTTCAAATAACTGCGGACATTTTACATAGTTTCATTAAACCATTCAAAATATATTTCAGATATATCTTTTCAGTCACTTAAAGGCACAGTAAGTAAAATACTTTCAAATAACTGCGGACATTTTACATAGTTTCATTAAACCATTCAAAATATATTTCAGATATATCTTTTCAGTCACTTAAAGGCACAGTAAGTAAAATACTTTCAAATAACTGCGGACATTTTACATAGTTTCATTAAACCATTCAAAATATATTTCAGATATATCTTTTCAGTCACTTAAAGGCACAGTAAGTAAAATACTTTCAAATAACTGCAGACATTTACAAAGGTACATAGTTTTATCAAACCTTTCAAAATATAATATTTCAGCAATATATTTTGAGTAACTTTTGGAATAATAAACAATATTTAAAATATAACAGTTAGGGCAATGTTTTTAAAATTTCCCTTATACTAAAAACATTTTAGAGGTATTTGGGTTAACCACACTTATAGTAATATTACTCACCAAGTTAGTTTCCTTATTATCTTTGGTAATATCAGCATTCTCATGCAGACCAAAAACCTCTGGTAAAGCAATGAAGGGCAGGCTACGCAAGTAGTCAACATAGCTTTGGTATGAGCCTTCTGGTGGTGCGCTGTACAGGCCACTAGATGACAGTCTGGATTCAAAGAAATCATCAAGTATATCAGCCTCTAGAGTTGAAATTTGCTTAGCTACATACACTTTTAAAATCATAATCTAAAACCAGTGACTGGACTATATTTAACCAATTATTTGACTTTGTGATACAATTTTTAAAGAATTCTTACTAATTTATCTAATAGATATTTATCTACGTACTTGTATTTGTCATCATTGACAATTTTTTCGCAGTAGAAAACAGAAAGCAATGAGGTAAGCAGACGTCGATCTTTATCATCTGTTACACGACCTCCATAATTACATTCGCCAGTTAAATAGGTCAAGGCTGGCAAAGGGAGGTCATCATAGTCATTAAGGAACATCTGAAAAAAATTACGAACTTATATTTGAGAATGGCTTCATCAAGAATACAAAAAAGATTTATGGTCCCAACTAAAATAGACAAAGATTTATGATAGCTGAAGCTAAACACAATGTTTTATCTTAGGTTAGGCTGGTAAAAGAAACAACTTTAAACCAACCTGCATCTGTCTCATACTGATCCTAAGATCAGATTCATTAAATTCATAAGGGATGTTCCATCCTAGTGGTCCAAACTTGCGCCTCTCTTGAACTAAAGCATGGAAGAAGCAGAGCCCAAACAGCATCTTATGCCATGCTTTAGGCTGTAGGGGAACAAAAAAGAGTTTTAAAAATTATTTAGTTATAATTTAACTTCTATGAGTTATAATTTAACTTTTATGCATATTTGGTTTATTATCTTATCACAAATAAATAATGAATTACTTTGTTGCAGCCATCCCAGAAGGCAGGGTCTGATATTGGATCATTGAGGTAAGACCGAATCAAATTCGCTCGCAACCCTTTTGGTGGTTCATTGGTCATTTTGACTCCTAGGATTGAGAATAATATTCATGGTATGTTCTTACTTACTTACTTATATATATATATATATATATATATATATATATATATATATATATATATATATATATATATATAATTTTATAGTATTAGAATAAATTATGCTAATCAGAAAAGATTATTTTTAATTCAGTTCTTTTTTCTCCTAACATAGTGACATACCGTTTTGTAAAATGGAAACTGGGAAACTATCAGACGGATAACTTGTTAGCCAAAGTCTGAAGTCTTCATTGGTTGTTTCAGGCACAATCACCTAAAACATGTGGTGTAGAGATTTTAAAAGTCATTTCTAGAGACATTTTAAAGATAAAACTCCTCTATACCAGAGAATCTCCACTCATACACTTATGTTTATCTGTAGACTAACTTTACCTCCTCACAGATCTTCTCCAGTCTTGGCATCCAGCTGGTTGCCAGGTGACAGTTCTGAAGGACGACCCAAGAGCCATCACTGATTGCTCTGTCAATCATTTTAGAGGCGATTGGTCCCTACATATGAGAGGATACATACATTATAGCTGAGAAATGATTGGTCCTTACATATGAGAGAATACATACATTATAGATGTGAAATGATTGGTCCTTACATATGAGAGAATACATACATTATAGATGTGAAATGATTGGTCCCTACATATGAGAGAATACATACATTATAGATGTGAAATGATTGGTCCCTACGTTTGAGAGGATACATACATTATAGATGTGAAATGATTGGTCCTTACATATGAGAGAATACATACATTATAGATGTGAAATGATTGGTCCCTACATATGAGAGAATACATACATTATAGATGTGAAATGATTGGTCCCTACGTTTGAGAGGATACATACATTATAGCTGTGAAATGATTGGTCCTTACATATGAGAGAATACATACATTATAGATGTGAAATGATTGGTCCCTACATATGAGAGGATACATACATTATAGATGTGAAACAATTGGTCCCTATGTATGATCGCTGTGAAATGATTGGTCCTTAAATATGAGAAACAGAGCTATTGACCAACACAATAAAAAAGTGAGAAAATGTACCTGTCCTTGGCCCAGTGAAATGGTCTGGATCATGTTGCCCTTGTAGCCCTTGTCCTCTCCAAACTTCAACAGGGCCATCATGGGGTCAGCCCCAGGGGAGAGAATAAATATCAATGGGGCACAACAGTTGGAGTCAGCAAACGACCCTGGCAGGTCAAAGGTCGGAGGCTCAATGAAAGACTGTCCCATGTTTTCCACAATGAAATTTTGAACAGCCGGCACAATTTTGTCAGGCCTGAAACACCTGAGGATGATCATGGAGTCCAGGCCACCGACTGCGTCCCAGGGGCTGGGGAGTTTGTAGTTGTGGGGGGTGGAGTTGTCGTAGAATTTTTTCCAGGCATCTGTTTGTTTTGTCACGTCTGAGGATTTAAAAAGATATTATCTTGAAGACAAACACCAAAAGAAAAAATGTAATCCCAAGCTTATTTTATTTTTTTCTTCCTTTAAGTAGTATTTTTTGCATGCATTTATAGCTTAATCCTGGCACAGGAACTAACTAAAAATAGCAGAATAAAATCTCACAATGATATGATATTGTCATAACTGTGATTTATAAACTATTTTTTTTACCCCACAGCAGTTGTCTCATTATCAATATGAAACTTAATCATGCTTATTTAATCCAAATCCACTATATTGTGTTGTCTCCCTAATAAGTAATTTGGTATCCTTTACCTTGTAAGGATAACTATACAAAGTCTATCAACTTTTGTAACTCAATATGGAAGACTTACGATCATGTAGTCCATGAAGGTTTGGTAACTTTGATGCTCTGACAATCTCTGACCATGCTTTGTCTGACAGCCAGGTAGGGGCTGGGTTGGGCAGCAAATTCTCAAGAGCAACGCCACCGGTCAGCAAGAAACGCCAGGCATTTTCATCAACTTTCCCTCTGAAATACAGCACAGACATGATTTAAAAGGCGCCAGCGCTTGAATAAAAAGAGTAAAACGTAAAATGTATTCCTGACCTTCACTATCAAAATACTTCACCTGTTCATAGTTACATATACTAGGCCCCCCCCCCCCCCCCACCACACACACACACACACCTCCACTCGTCATTAAATGAACCCACTCTAATGAACTAATTTCCATGAAATTAAATCTCCACCAGCTATATACTCCCTCTCTATTAGCAATGGGATCATTCCCCTCCTTTCCCAATGGAATCACTCCCCTCCTGCAAACTAATCACTCCCGCACCTCAACTCCCATGATGTACTGAATTCCTTACATTAATTTATTCTCCTCCCTAATAAATTTAACCCCCAGCTCCAATGTACTCACTCCCCTCCCAAGTGCACTCACTACTCCCCAAATTTACTCCTTCCATCCCTTCCCCAAAACCCTCACTCTGCCACAAATTTACTCCCCCCACATTCTCACTCCCCTTCCCAATGCAATCACTACTCCAAAAACTACTCCCTCCCTCCTTAACACTCCGCTCCCAATGCACTCTCTCCCCCCTCAACATATTCACTCCCCTCCAAAATGCACACTCCCTCCCTTCCCCAATCTACCCCCCCCCCCCCCCACCTGATGAATGTACTTACTCTCCCTTCATAATACCAATACACAAGAGGAAAGAGAAGAGCAGTTTGTCTTTTTCAAACAGCGAGCGGCACACATTGTTGTAGATACTGTTTGTAAAGTGGTCATTCAAGTTGCTGATTCTTTCATTCAGTTCCTCAGAACGTTTGCTGTTGATGATGGACTGAAACAAACATTGCAACAACATTCAACTCACGTCATCGAGATAAGATAACTTCATTATTATTTACGTAAACGGAGTGGTCTAGCGGTAGAGAGCTGGACTGCTAACCCGTAAGTCTCGAGTTCGAATCTGGGTTCAAGTCAGTAGACCGTCCCTGAGTCCACCCAACTGTGATGGGTACCTAACTCATGTTAGGGAAAGTAAAGGCGGCAGGGCATAGTGCTGACCACACTACCCCTTCATATGCCAAGGTCACAGAAACAAGTTAACTCTACTTCACTTGCCCCATAGAACGTCAGGTTTGAAAGGGAAACTTACTTTTACTTTAAACAAAATAAACAAAATATTTTATTGAAAACTTAGTCTTGTTTTCTTTTTTTATGGTGATATATTTAAAATCTATTGACAATCTATACAAAATTTATTTACAATCTATATATAATTTAATTCAAATCAAAGTTTAAAATTTTTAAAATCTACTTACAATCTACTTAAAATCAATTTAAAATAATCTAAAAATCTATTTAAAATTTATTTACAATCTATTTAAAGTCTATTTACAGTCTATTTTAAAAATCTCTATAAAAATATAAAATCTATATAAAAATATAAAATCTATTAAAAATATAAAATCTATTAAAAATATATTTATTATCTATTTAAAATCTATTTGAAAATCTATTTCCAATTTACCTGTAGATAAAGGTTAATAAACCAGGTAAGTGAGTACTGGTACATGGGCTCTATGTTTGCCAGTTCTGAGATGCAGAAAAACAAGATGGAGGAGTGTACGGCCACAGGCTTGTAGCCGTTTCTTGTTTCATCAATTTCTTTTTCAGTGGCCACGGCAATCTCTTGCTTGGCACTGATTTCCTCAGACAGAACTTTAGATGATGAGAGAACTTTGATGGCAGTTTCATCTTCCAAAATATTACCCTGTTTTAAAAGATAAGACAATTTTAAATACATCATTGAACTATTATTTAAAAATAATTTTATATAATTTTTAAAATAAAATAAATAAAAAAAACTTAACCCATTACAGTTATCCCCCTTTAAACATAAAAGTTTTTTTTTTTTATTTAAATTTTTTAGCAAATTAATAATTGATGAATAAACATGAAAAATTTAGAAGAAAAAAAAAGCAGGAGGAAAAAAATAGAACAGGACAAACCTGTGATGATGAGAGAACTTCTAGAATTTTGTCTTCAATTTCTTTCAATTGTTTTCTGTTGGCAGCGCTCTCCAGGATCAACTGATTTTTCTTTTCTTCCAGATCTGGTTTCTCTTTAGCAGCAACAATACCCAGGAGCTGGTCCTCTAGACCTTGTGGGGTTATCATGAAGTTGAGCAGGCACACTTTGACGGACACCTCAGGCAGGTAGTGAGGGTTCCTCAGACCAGTTGTGATGTACATCTAAATACAAACATCCACCAGAGTAAATAAAGTGCACAAAATAACAACTCATATTGCTGTTTAAAAAAAAATAAAATCAAGTTCTTCTTTTGGACCTAATGATCCATAGGGCAGATGAAGTAGAGTTCATGTTTCTTGACCTCAACACATGAAGGGATGGTGTTGTCAGCACTATGCCCAGCCACGTTTACTTTCCCAAACATATTTTCCCAAAGTTAGGTCCCTATCAGGACGGAGTGGTCTAGCAGTAGAGAGCTGGACTGCTAAGTCTCGGGTTCAAGTCAGTAGACCGTCCCTGAGTCCACCCAACTCTGATGGGTACCTAACTCACGTTAGGGAAAGTAAAGGCGGCTGGGCATAGTGCTGACCACACTATCTCTTCATATGCCGAGGTCACAGAAACAAGTGAACTCTACTTCACTTGCCCCATAGACCGTCAGGTTTGAAAGGGAAACTTTACTTTAGGTCCCTATCAGAGCTGGCAGGACTCAGGGACATCCTGCAGAACTAATCAAGATCAAGATCTAAACTATAGACTTTTGAGTCAGCAGTTGAGCGCTCCACCACTTGGCCAAGCCATCTCATATATTGTTATTTAATACTAACGAAATATTTTTCAGGCAGAGATTAAAAAAAAACGTACCTTAAATTCATTAGAATATTCCACAACATTGTCACCAAGGCGAATGTAGTCTACACCCTGCTGTTTGAAGGTCAGCTTTTGTAGAACAGGTTCTAGAATGGGGTCAAGCTCCTCCGCCACGTTCTCCAGCAGGATGGGAGTTCCAAACTGGATGCTGTTCTCCAGGGTGCGCATGTAGTTGGCGTCTGAGAGTTTGATGATGTTCAGCTTGTTGGCTTTCTCCATGTTCTTCACCCACTTGTTGGCCTGACCTGATGGGAAAGTATGGTTAAAGGCTAGTTATACATGCTCAACTGATGGGACAAGTGTTGTTAAAGGCTAGTCAAAGCCTTTAGAACAACAGCTTTATAAAGGTTTGATTTTCTGTGCTATGTCAGCTAAAAATATTGGTATGTTGGCCCATTGGAATACATGTAAGAACTAAAAATAGTGCCTAAAAAAATGAGTGTTTTCAACTTGTGCTTATTAATAATAATCATTAAAAAAGTTTTAAAAAACCCACGTTTTCTGATTGAACTAAAAAGTAGAAAATAAATGCTATAGGCCCTACATCACAATAATGCAAGCGATCACTCTACTATAAGCGATCAAAAACGTGGGGCGCCGAAGTAAAAGTTATATTACTATTGATTAGATAATACTATTGACTTTTATTAGGGAGCTTGTAGAGAGTCAACAGTATTAGAAACTGTAAGAAAATCACGGCGCCCCACGTTTTTGCTCGCTTATAGTAGAGTGATCGCTTGCATTATTGTGATGTAGGGCCTATAGCATTTATTTTCTACTTTTTAGTTCAATCAGAAAACGTGGGTTTTTTAAAACTTTTTTAATGATTATTATTTTCTACTTTTTAGTCTTTGTCTGTTTGTTTGCATTAAAATCTTGCTATCGATTTTATCTTTTCACTTTTTTTGGGTAAACGAAGACAACTCGTAAAAAGACAACTCGTAAAAAGACAACTCGTAAAAAACTCGTTGTTTGAATACGTTACTGACTAGAACACATAGATTTGAACCCGTGTCGAGTGGGATAGCAATCGTGTGCCCAACCACTCGACCATATCGTCTCCCCCAAACTGGCCTACCTCCTGTAAGTTTAAACTCGGTTCAAGCTAAATTCTCTGCCCCTAAGCCTGTGGCGACATGTGATCGTTCGCTTCACTGCGCGCGAGGTACGCGTCGCTGGTTTTTTTTCTAATGGCTAGCAGAGGAGAATTATATATATAGATTATATAGCGGTCTAAAATGCTCAATAAAATGTTTCCATTGATCAATTTAGTAATAATAACAATTGAATATTCAATGGTCATCCAAAAGAAAGCTTCCCTGAAAATTTCAGCGCGCTAGCTAACTGGGAAGTGCCAGAAATTTCGATCGCAAGATTTGATTGGAAAGACAAACACACAAACAGAGAAAGCAAGTTAAAGAAAACGTGGGAAAAATATGTGGTTGTTGAAACTAATGTCTATTAAAAATATCATTGTGTTAGAACCATTCATCTATATCAGTAACCTAGTCAAGGTCGACTGTTGTGGCATTACAAATGTCTATAATCATCTTCCTCCATTCCTATAAGTCCTTTGTCAACTTCATTACTTCTACCAGTGTTAAATGCATCCATTATTTGACTTTGTTGTCTTTCCATCTTTTCTTTTGTATCTGTTTTGTTTCCCATTTGGCTTCCAATATACATTATTCACTGTTGAATTTAACATAATGTCCACACAAAAACCCCCACAATTTACCTTGAGGATCAATCATGAGTGGCCATCTTCTGGATTTGGACACAATGATGCCATTGTCAACACTGAACGCATCCACGGGTAACCCAGCGATGTTCCATGCCCTGATCTTGACTGGCTCACCGAGCGTTGAACTAAGGGAAAACACCTTTGAGCAAGGAATTTTCCTCTTGATACACTGCTCGTGCCATTCTTTCATCATCATCTAGTGAAAACATTTTTACATCATCATCTAGTGAAAACATTTTTTCATTATTATCATAAGTGAAAACATTTTTTCATTATTATCTATTGAAGACATTTTTTCATCATCATCTAGTGAAGACATTTTTTCATCATCATCTAGTGGAGACATTTTTCCATTATTATCATGTGAAGACATTTTTTCATTATTATTATGTGAAGACATTTTTTCATTATTATCTAATAAATATATTTTTAATCACCATATATTAAAGACAGTATTTCATCAACTATAAACGTCATTTATCATCATGATCTATAATAACATTTATCTCATAATTTTCTATCAATCAATATTTAATCTTTAATAAAAATTTGTTCTGGACAATTTGAATTTATTGAAAATGCTGCAATTGTTTAACTTTACTTTCAATTTGTTCTAAACATTGTAATCAGGTGTGCAATTTTCTAGACCAAAATAAACAGCATAAAATAAACAGGCTGTTTTCCATTTAATTTATTTATACTAAAACCAATAAAACACTGTTATAAAATGAGGCCCAAACCTGACGGAAGTCGACAGTGAAGGCGCCGTGGTAGGCGACCACACCAGATGAGATGAGCACATCACCCGTGATGTTGATGTACAGGTCACCCAGAGCTTTGGCCGCCTCGGTCCATCTGTCTTTCTCCCCACCCAGACCCCCAATCAATTTTTCTGCTCGGTCAAGTTTCTTTGAGCAGAGGTCAATGTTGCTCTCCAGGTCTTTTTTCTTCTGAGTCATCACTTCAAATTCATCATTCAGGGCTTGGAGTTTGTCTGTTACCTAAGGTTGGAACAATGTAATCGTACACATTTTGCTCTGAACTTGTTTTAAAATACATACAGGCCTATTAGTAGGTTTATACATAAGTGTTGAACATTTTAATGATAGATAAACACAATAGACTTTTGCACTTATACATCTTTAAACTTGAGCAGACAGACATCCAGATGTAGATCTACATGGATTCAGATTACAAAAGATTTAACCAGATTTAACCACAGATAAGTGAGAACAGAGAAATGAGGTGGTAACATACTGCTTGCAGTTGTGCTCTCTTCTCATTTAATTTTTCCATCTGGACGGCCAGTTCTCCTTCTGCTTCTGCCAGTTTGGCCTTTTTAGGGGCCACAACTTTGGCAACTTTATCATAGATGTCCATGGCCCGCACCCACTTGCATAGGCCTTCACACGCCATTGAGGCATTCCTGATCAAGCTTGGGTCAAACTCAGGATTGGCGATGTATCTGAAGTGAACGCACAGCAAAATGTCAAAAAAATGTGGCAAAAGATTACACTGATTGTCAAAAAATATGGCAAAAATTTTAAAATATGCCTAGGGATAGTGAAACATTAAAATTTTGGCCAGATTACCAAAAAGGGGCCAGATAAAAGCAGAATCTTAAAACTAAGTTAATTTTGGTTGCACTAAATCCTTCATGATAAAGCCATCAAAAGTATTTTTTAACACTCACTTGTCTCTAATTCTTTTGATAATTGGTGGCGCTATATTGTCCTTGTCATAAGTTTTCAGTCGATCCAAAAATCGGAGATCCCCCAAGAGTTTCATGGAGGGACCCCAGTAGTCCTCTATCATCTTCCCTGAGCCAGATGGGTCTGGTTTGCGCTCAGACTTGATGCCTAACATTACACACACTGATTCCATGACAAGCTTTACAGCAGGTGGGGGATTCTAAAAGGATGAAGTAATAAAAGGTTTTGAATTGTAGTTAAAGTGTTCAACACAGTCTATAATAATAACAAGTTTTCTTAGTTGCTTACTTATTATCACTAACAAAACAGACGTATAAGAAACAGCTCCAGATAAAGAAATGACTGTCTCACCTTCATAGCTTTGACTGTGGAAATATCAGCTGGTTTGAGAGTATTTAAAGCTGTAATAGCAGCTTCTAAAGCTGGAATTGCCTCCGCAAGGTCACCTTCACAGTCATCTTTAATGGCTTGAGCAGCTGCAGCAGCTTCGTTAGCTACGGCTTCATCAGCAGCCACAACCTGTCAATAATCAAATTATTTTAAAATTACATCCAGCAAAGTAAAAAAATAAATTCATACAGGATTAGCCAAATGATGGATAATTATATAAATTAATCTTTTCAGCACTACAGATACCACATATCACTATGATTTTTTTTTAATTATACAAATACAAGTTACTTTATGCTTTTGAAACTCTAATATAAGAGACTGACTGTAAAATTATATTTAGAAATTTGTTGAAAGTTATTTAATATTTCTTTTAAAAAAATACACACTCACTCTTCAGTATGAAAGTTAACAAGTTCTCATGGGAAGATTACTTACCTCTTTCTTAGCCTCCACCTCCACTGTGTCTTGTTCAATCTTCACCATCAGCTTCTCCGTGTCAGCCGACGTCTTGATCAACTCAGGCTGCAGGTCAGTCAGTTCCTGCTGCATTACGGAGACCTGCGACGCGGCAAAGTCTAATTTCTCCAGACCCACCAGGTAACGGTTTTTCATCATCATCAGCTCATCTCGCTTGATTGTTAGCAGGGACTTGAAGGTCAAGATCAGCTCCAGATAGGAAGTTGGTGTCACGTAGTTATGGCGCCTCAGTGTTTCAAAGTATCTGAAGTAAAACAAAAAAGAAAGTAAAAACAAACATTTTACATTTGACTCATGAGGTCTTATATATATATATATATATATATATATATATATATATATATATATATATATATATATATATATATATATAATATATTCAAAAAGATATAACATTATTCAAAATAGCATTTGAAAATTTCAAGTTAACTGAGAAAAATATTACATGAACTAAACAATGGAAAATTGATTTGACTGACTTTTCCGAGGCAACCCTGACGGATTCGTGGAAGTGTTTGCACATGCTGACAGTCTCCAGCTTGAGGGTATCTTCCATTTCAATCTCTTCCAGGAATTTGTTGGCTACCATCTCAAGGGCATCTTCAGGCCACGCCTGCAATAAACAGTGAGCTACAGTAGCAAGCCAGGGCAAAGTTAAGCTCAATGAAAATGTAGAAAGTGCAAAAGTAAGCTCAATGATAAATGTAGATAAAATAAGCTCAGTAATATCAAGTCATTTGGAAAATGTAGATAAGTTAGATAAATAGAATCTTTTATTGTACAAACCTGGAACCAATCAATGGTGCAACAGTTGATGAGAGATGGGAACATCCTCAGCCTGTTTCTGAAGGCATCTCCAATAGGTGACATTGCCAGCACAATGTGCAAATGCTGTTTCACGCGGTCTATAAAAAAGTTGTACATGGCAAGCGGGGTCCCATCCATGTTACGACCCTAGAGCAGATTGTAAATCACAGTGTTAGTGTTTTTTTCTTCTGATAACAACAGTGTTAAGTGTTTGTTTTTACTTGATAACATCAAGAATTAGAACTGGTAACAGAGTAGATTTTAGTTTACAACAATGTTAAGTGTTTGTTTTTTCTTGATAACATCAAGAATTAGAACTGGTAACAGAGTAGATTTTAGTTTACAACAATGTTAAGTGTTTGTTTTTTCTTGATAACATCAAGAATTAGAACTGGTAACAGAGTAGATTTTAGTTTACAACAATGTTAAGTGTTTGTTTTTTCTTGATAACATCAAGAATTAGAACTGGTAACAGAGTAGATTTTAATTTACAACAATGTTAAGTGTTTGTTTTTTCTTGATAACATCAAGAATTAGAACTGGTAACAGAGTAAATTTTAATTTACAACAATGTTAAGTGTTTGTTTTTTCTTGATAACATCAAGAATTAGAACTGGTAACAGAGTAGATTTTAGTTTACAACAATGTTAAGTGTTTGTTTTTTCTTGATAACATCAAGAATTAGAACTGGTAACAGAGTAGATTTTAGTTTACAACAATGTTAAGTGTTTGTTTTTTCTTGATAACATCAAGAATTAGAAATTAGATACCAGTAACTTTTAAAGAATTCTTTTAGAAAATTATTTATTACACAAAAGAGTGACAAAAATATGATGAAATTAAAAAGATACCTCATTCCTCGCCACGCTTTGCATTTTCTCAATGACATCAGCTTTCTCATCACTGGCAAAGATGTTTGGTACATCTCCCGTGTTCAAGATCATACTGATGTCCTCCATGAAGGATTCGTCTTTAATTTGGTTGTCAGAAAACAGGAAGACTGTTGGTTTTCCTTCTACTCCTGTTTTTCGCAGGAGCTGATCAAGACAAGTCATAACAAGATCACACATTTAATTTAAATACAAAATAAATACTTGATAAACATACTAGAATTTGGACAGTCATGAATAAGGAAAGATTTTGTTTGAATATTTTCATTACATACCAACTACTACATCAACTTTTTGAGCTATATGAATACTAACTAATTGAGGTGAATAATGTTATGAATGGTATCTTAGTTATTGCAAGGGTATGAGAGTTTGAGTGTCATAGAATGATTTATATTAATAAAAGATTGGGACTGTATAATGAAGAACGTAATAATGTGACATATGAGAGTATGATCTTGTTGTTAGGGGAAATAAATTAGATAAGTCTTCATCATGTTGTGCTAGGGTGTAGAAGTATTTGTCTGTCGTTGTAAATAGTCTTTGTATACGTTGTGTATTTAGCCATGCAATATACCACGTAATGAACCAATGCTGTCCTGTTAGTCATTCATATTAGATCGTCATTGTTTATAGATATTTGTTGTCATACAAGCTCAACTCCCTCTCTAAAGTCGCTGGGTAAAAAATACCTTTTTCAGATCCTCTCTCCAGTCAGTATTGCTGTAGTTTTTGGTAATTTCAATTTGGAAGAGCTCAAAATCGGCCATGAATGAAGCCAACTTGGCAGCACTTTGACGGCCTGAGCCACCAATACCTGGTCACAATTTAGAAAATAATGAAGGTCAAGGGCTGAAGTGTGTAATACAAAGTTAATGTTTTAAAATAGAAGATTTCCTCACTCTACTGATATCTTAATGTGGGTAAGGTAAATTGTGCTACCCGTTCTTTTTCTGGGATAGGCAGATAAGAGTTATGGATAGAAATACAGGTAGGGATTTAAGGTTTAAGGGTTAGTTACAGGTTTATGGATATGTTTAAGGATAGGGTTAGGTTAAGGTTATGCTTAGTATAGAGATCAGATTAGGGATAGGGTTAGGGAGCTGGAGATGGAAAGAGGGATAATTATAAATATAATCTACATTGTTAAAGTGAAGGAGTAATTACCCAGAGAGGGGAGGGTAGTTGACTGGGTATTATTGATGACTGGGGGATATTGGACAGGAGTATTTGATCGGGGGTGGGGGTGGTAATGACTGGTGGGGCTGAGAATGGTTAATTATCTAGGGTGGTGGTGGGGTAACATCCTGGACCAATTTATTCCACTAAAAATATTTGGATATAGGACAATACATTTTTACTTTATTGGCAGTTTAAGCTAGGCAAGAATCTTAAAATTATTGTAAAAATGACACGTTATTCCAACTTAAAAAAAAGTTTTCTACTTGAGCATCACAGCTTCGTATCCAAAACTTACAATAAAGGGAATATTTGTGATAATTTCAATTTTTTAACATGGTCTGGGATCTAACAGGATAAGCCAGTAACAATTGGGATATGTCAGCTACACCTGGACCTGCTAGTACCATCAGGGCAGTGGTGTAGCTGTGACCTTTGACTCACCCACAAGTAGGGCATGCCCATTGTCCTGCAGCAGCACACGACTCACGCGAGACATGTGCTCAATAGCAAACTTGAACATGACTAACTTCATGGGGGCTTTGCTCACTATGTTGTACTCATCTAGATAACTGTGAAGGCAATGTGACAGTGGGGGCGTGACACAATAGTGACATGTGATGGCAAACATCAGGTGTGATATGACAATGAGATGTCAGACAGTGAGGTCATGTGATTGTAAACACTCAGTGTGACAGAAAAGTGACATTTAACATCACAAAGACATGTTGTCACAAACATTAGCTGTGACATAAAAGTGACATACAACATCACAAAAACATGTCACAAACATTAGCTGTGACATAAAAGTGACATACAGCATCACAAAAACATGTCACAAACATTAGCTGTGACATAAAAGTGACATACACTGTAGCAAAGACACATAATCACAAACATTAGGTGAAACACAGCAGTAATAAGATCATAAACACTAGCTGTGACATGCATGTGACATTAAGTGTAACAAAAAAATATAACAGCAGTAACAAGGTCACTAACATGACATAATGTGATAGAAATTTGAATATTTATAGACGATTGTAATTATAGTATGACCCTATCAATAGTATTAGCAGTTACTACTGTGTTATATGAGTTAAAATAAAACTAAAAAAACAACTTATTATTTTCAATGAAGAAAAAATGTGGTTTTTACTATTAAACACTGAGAGCTTTTAAAATTTAAACCAGAGATTTACATTGCCATGTGATCCTTAAAAAAAAAAATTAAAAGCCATTATGTAAAAAAAATTTAAAAGTTAGTTTTTTCCATAAATATGTTTTCCAATAAAAAATGCATGTGTAAATTAACAATAGCTATCATAATTTTAATACAGATAGAATATAGGCCTACTACTAGGCAACTTATACACCACAGGAAAGCAAATAATTTAGATCCAAATTAATATGGTCCATCCTTGTTTTTTATTCACTTTCAGCAGACAGTACTTAAAACCACTTCATTTAAAAATCCATGAAAACATGCAAGTGAGAAGAAAAAGGACTATGTGATCTAAATACAGTGTGATTGCACGAAAAGATAACTCACTGCTCCATGACAACAGTCAGCTCCTTGAGATCTGTGATCTCTGTGTACACCCTGTTCTCTGGGTTAAAATAGTCCCCAAAGAAAAGACTTCGGATGTCAGCATCAGTTACTTTGCCACTTTTTGACAGGTGTCCAAGAATTTTGTCAATGTTTTGCTTGAAACTATCTTGACAATTGTTTTTTACTATCTTGAAAAACATGTTCCTAATAAAGTTAAAAATACAAATAAATTTAAAATATTTAGAATTTTAAAAAAAACCTGAGTTTATTTAATATATTTACAACTTTTACAATCTTTTAAATTAAAAACCCCAAATATCAAAGATAATAAATTAATTCAGAATTTTTTTTAGAATGCTGAATGAATTATGCCAGCAAGTAGAAACATAGACTAATAGCCTTTTACAACTTGACCTACCTGTCATTATCATCAATGAGACGATCGTAGAAAACCCTGTACACTTCATGGACCCACAGCCTCAGTAGTTTATCCATCTCGCTCATCTCAGTGGCGGGCACCAGTAGAACTCCTCGGATGACTCTGGCAAAGTCTCGCAGGTTGAAGACGTAATGAGATTTGGATGGCGTGGGCAGGAAGTTGGCGATGGCATCTTTGTAGACCCCCATGGTGGCAGACACCAGGAGCTGAAATAGCACAGGTAAAAATTTTCAGGCTCGGACATACAAGTGGAGCACATTACTACATATCTAGCAGGTCAGAGTTCAAATCCTGGTAAGGATTCTAATTTTATATTCAGTCTTTAAGGTGTCTATGGATTTATTTCCAGTGGCTCTTTAACAGTATGGGACAGAAAAAGTAACTAAGTATTGTATGAGCTATACAATCCCAGTATACTATAGAAACAAGTGAACTGATGGGTATTTTACTGTATTTGTGGTTAAGACCTTGGATGAAATATAAAACAAAAAAAGGTAATGAACAAGTAAGTAGTTCTAGAGGTTTCTTACTTTTCCATTCCTGACAAAACTGGCTTCAAAGCCATTAGCAAAGTGCCAGTCAGTGATGGAGGTAAATATTTTTGTCATGATGTTGTCTTCAAATTCATCAATGGCGATGATGTTGAGATGGCGAGTGAATCTGGATGTGATGTCATTCCTGCCTCCACCGGGAGGGCCCATAGCACTGACAAACAACTACAAAAACAAAAATAATCTGCCATAATTATAATACTTTATGCATAAAATATAAAATAATTAGGCTATAACTTTCCAGATTTTAAAAACTTTTATAAAATGCAAAAATAAATTGTGTTTAAAAGCGATTTTATAAACACTTTTAAAAAAATCCTTCAGACAAAAAATTGGTTTTTATTTTTCTTCTGAACGAATTACTTCCCCTGTTTTATCAACCAGTTACTTCCCTTGTAACAAGTGCCTACTTACCACATCTGTCAGGAAAAGCTTGGATGTGTCCTTTTTGTCATACCAATGCCCATGGTCAATCCATTGTCTTAGAAGCTCAATTGGAGGCTGGGCTCCATACTTTTCTTTAGCTGGCATGTTCAGGTCATCCACAAAAACTACAGACTTCTTGCCCATTGGAGGACCAAACACACCTTTACGGCGCCTGAACAACAACAGACAAACTTTACTTTGTTATTCAGTTCATTTTGATCTATCTGATAATTGAGTTATCTAAATCTATCACAAAATTTAATTATATTCCAATATAAAATTATTAATTGTATAATTGAAAAGTATTGTAAAAAGAACCTTTAAAAAATTACATTATGAAAGTAGGTACTTAAAAAACTTATTATTAGGATTTAGATAAAGTAGGTTAAAAAAGATATAATATTTAGAGATATTAATCTGGAGAAAAAGCTAAAAATCCTAATTCTAAAACCTTTTTATCAATGTAGTTGATTTAACTAAAACAAGAGAAATATCCATCTTATTCATATACATAACTTGGTAATATTAATAATGGTAAAAAGCTTTGCTTAAAAAGTTTTTTAAAACACAACAATGATTAGTAAGTTAAAAATGGTGGTTAAATCTTATATCAATATAAGCCTTAATTGTTTGACAATTTAGAACAGTTCCAAATGGCTTACGCTTTTATTGTTTTAAATAAAAACTAAAAGCTTTTAAAAAATTTTCTTCTTTTTATTTCCTGGTAAAAAGAACTGGGAATTTGATTCTTCTATATCACACAAACATGTAGAAAGTCAGTGATAAATTTTATTACCTGTCTAACTTAGACATGATAATATCCTGTGTCTGGTTGGCTGAAGTTCTGGCTGAGAAGTTGATGCAGTTAGGGATGTACCTATCAAGCGTGTACAAAAATAATTCTTTTGTTTAAAAGTTTAACAAATGTTTCCCTAACAAAATTCATAGCTTGTAAAACCATAAACTGAAGCAAAAAAAAATCGAAGAAATTCAAAGCCTTACGATTCCTTAGGCAGAGCCAGCAGGTAGCTGTTGGTGATGGCAGACTTGCCCGTCCCCGTTGGACCAATCACAAGCAGGGGAACCTCGTGTGTCATGTACAGGTTGAGGAAATATTGCTGCCTCGCTGTTTCTGCTGTAGGAATTGTTAGTGTGCTCACCTACAAAATATGTGGTATAAGTAGGTAATAATTGAAAGATATTGGAACTGACTTCTTCCTAAATATTGATAATAAGAGATTTGAGAACTATTTGTCGCAATTATCAAATTCTAACCTTTGACCCTGGTGGTATAATGAGGTGTGACTTATCAATGGTGTCCATCCAGTCAATCCAACCACCCCCACTTTTCTTTTGGAAAGCAAAATCAAAAACTGTGTTTCTCTCTGGGAAGGTGTTGCTCTGGAAATAAATTTCTATTGAGTCTATAAAGTTTACTTACATTTTTTTTCTTGAAATCACTTAAATATACAGTGTGGATCAGAAAGTACTCTAAGACGTTGTCGAAAAAAACATTATATTCATCTCTAAGTGCATTTTTAAATAAAGCATTACATTTTTGAAAAATTCAATGCTTGTTTTCTAATTTTTTAAATTGTACTTTTTAAAAAGTTTGTAGGTATATGTTTTCACCTTTGTGATTTTGATGCTCTTGGGCTTTGGGTGGTTGTCATCCACTCCGCTGATGAGTGTGCGGAAAAACTCATCAAAAGCTTTCTTGCTGTCAGCCATGACAGTACCCCCAATGGTCCAGACTATACAGAACAGGAACATGCCTTGCAGCCAGAGTGTTATCTGGGATCAATTATTAAAGTAGTGATGAGATTAATGTATAAACAATTCAGATATATACAAGAAGTTATTTCATTAATTGAAAAAGGCACTAAGGGTAAAAAAGCATTATATGGGTTTGTTAAGGAAGGTTATTTAAAAAATTTTTTAATTATTTTAAAAAAATTTTGGTAATATATTTTGGAGTTGATTGAGCAGAAGTATAGTTATGGTGAGATAATCAAATAAAGAATTAAAAAAAAAGAAATATCATAGGTTCAACTAAGTTGAAGAAATTAGTTGCATTGTCTTTCACAGTTAAAAATTAAAAGAAGAAATATCCGAGGTTCCAATAAAGTTAAAGATTACCTGTTGCTGTGTTAGGTGTTCAGGGTTGTGTTCCTGGGATTCTGGGGCACCTTCGTCAGGTAAGGCTTTACAGGTCTCAATAATTTCATCCATCATCGAGGTGTAGAGATGCATCAGCATGTGAACCTGGTGGATTTCTGAGGTGGGAATAAATGTCTTGCAGCTGCGCTTGACAAAGTCAAGACAAGGCTCCACCTGGTCAAACATGTAACTCTTCAGTTAAAAGGTAAGTAAACAAAATAAAAGTAAGATGTTTCAATTAAAAGGTCCATTTTAAATAATATATAACTAGAGCTTTAACTAATGTTAAAATAAAAACAACAAAATATCAGTCTTCAGTCAAAATATAAATAAAAAAACAATAAAATAAATGCCCTCCTTAAAAAGTAAATAAATAAAAACACAGATAGTTTACTATAGTTGAAAAATGAAACAAAAACCAATACAATAAATAATTAATTTTAACACTTCTTATGAAATGAAAATTCATAAACATCACAGTCTTTGTAATATATAAAAAAAATATATTATCTTACTAGTTTTTAAAAGTAGTTAAGATATTTAAATGTTCTTAAACATGTAAACAAGACAGCTCAACTTACCAACCAATCAAAAAGATCTTGGACCAGCTCCTTCTGCTCCTGCCTGAGCTTCTTTGGCAGCCGGTACATCATGTAGGACTGCACGCTGGGCCGCCAGCCCATCTGGTGGGGCTCTAGGTACACCATGCCACAACGGCTGACAGTGGCTGGAGAAGCCTGTTCCAGATCAGCAGGCTCAAAGATCAGGTTCATCTTGTTGTTCATCTGGATGATCTCACCACTCATCAGGCACAGCTGCAATCAAACTTATTTTGTACTAAACACACAGTGGATGGTGATTTAACAAAAATTTCAATATATATATATATATATATATATATATATATATATATATATATATATATCATCATCATCATCATCATTCCTTTGTGGCCCCTGGAGAGCAAAGGGCTGCAACCACACATCTCCATCGGACTCGGTTTTGGGCTGCCCCCTTTATCTGTGCCCATGTGTGCCCAGCTGCTTTCGCCTCTTCTTCAACCGTTCTTCTCCATGTCTTCCATGGCCGGCCCACCCTCCTTTTTCCCTGGGGATTCCAGTCTAAAGCATGCCTTGCGATGTTTTCTTTTTCCTTTCTTAATGTGTGTCCGATCCATCCCCATTTTCGGGCCTTGACGCACACCATCGTTAAAAGCATCTTTTAAAATCCAAAGATGACGGGAGGAGGTTCTAAACACCCCCTTCCCCCCCCCCCCAAGTCACTGTATACACACATGCATATGAACAATATATTAGATTTTAGATTATCCAATGAAGTGATTAGGCTCTTTTAAAAATGCAAGCACGAACATTTATCTGGCAATTTTTTTATTGTCATCAATAATCTTAGATTCAGTGAAAGTGTCAGAGATAGAGTCGGCTCTGATAACATCCAGTGCTTGTGTTAGTGACAGATGAAGATGATGTGTAAGGTCCTTGTAAGGGTGTGGGGCAGGGGCAGTGCTAGGATGGGGATACCAGCAAACAATAGCCTAAAATACATCTGGCCGACATGTCAATATGTGCAACTCATTCAAAAGAAGTGTATGAGGAGATTACCTTTTTATTGTCATCCAGTACGGTGTTCATGTTTTCAATCCAGACAGCATCCACAGGACCATCAAACAGAATCCACTTCCTGTAGCTGTCCTGGTTGCTGGCATACTCTCTAAACGTGTTGGCTAGAACACCTGGGTTAAGGTGAAGGTTGTTTTGTAAGAATAATTATCTAAACTAAAACTCTAAGCATGCTATGTAATCATATGTATATAATTTTATGTAAACAAACTAATCAAAGAAATGTATAACAAGTCATGCAAAAATAGAAATTAAAATTTTTTTTTTTAAATTATCATTTATTCTAGAACTCTATACATATTATGTAAACTTAAGTATTATATTTTACCAATACCAATTAAATCAGCTAAGCAAAAATAGAAATCATCTAAACATTTAAAAAAAAAATTACCATCTATTCTAAAACTCTGTAGATCTAAATATTGTAAACATCTATTTTACCTACATTAATAAACAGAATACGCTTAATGAGAATTCTTCAAAGAAAAAAACTTAAAATTACCATCTGACCACTCATGGGAGACTGGATCAAAGCAGCCATAAAGTTGTCCCATGGTAATGGCTTTAGGATTAATGATACGGTATACAGTGCGGAACTCTTCATACAATTTGGAGTCCATCAGGTCTCCCAGAGTATCAGCTAGAACTTGATATGCTTGTGTTTTACCACCCAGTGGTTCACCAACAATCATCATTCCATGGCGCACAAGAATCATTTCATAAATCTATACAAGGGGAAACAATCGCAAACAGCATGTTAGGGGAGATAAAAGAAAATTAATTTCAGGAGAGATAAATAATTTTACCCTTGCAGAAAGTAAAGGGGAAAAAATGTGTTCTTAACTCAATAATCCCTTTTGATTTTATAAGATCATATGTATTATTTTTACTAAGGTTTAATAAGCTGAGCACAACTGATATTAAACATCAAATAAGCCAGTTGTACCTGGATCACTTTGCTAATGAAGAACTCATTTGGTTGTAATTCTCTTTTGGCAATCACTTCCTTCATGGTGTCAAGGAAAACACCGTAGTCAGGCTGGGGCAGTTGAACCCCAGGGAACAAGTCAGAGATGATGCCCTCAAACAACGGGACATCCTGGTGGAAAGATCAAAGATTCAGTTATTGTACAAAAATATGTATAGTGATAAATACTCTTTGAAATAAAATCCGACAAAAATTAATTTAAGTGGAATTATTGACTACCATATCATATTTGCTTTTTGGGTGCATTTATACTGTGGTAATATTGTTCTTTAATTAAACCTTCTCTCAGTTTTTTATTTACTTTGTAAAAACAAAGAGAAATAACTCTGTAGTTAAACTAAGATGGTTTAGAAAAGAATCCACCTGTATCTTATCAAATAAAATACCTGAGCCAAAAATTTGGGTAAGTTGACATCACTGATGGCCTTGAGCAGCAGGACGGCCTCGTCTTGGTTGGGATACTTGAGCTTCAAGTTGCCAGCTGCTGTCAGTACTGACTTGACGGCACGCATGCCGTAGTCGTAATGGTGCTGGGAGGACAGCTGCTCGGAGCACAAGCGGTAAACGGCAACAATTTTGTTGGCCAGGCTGAGGAAATACAAAACAAGTGAGTTTAACTACTTAATAGTTCAACTACAATTTATAAAACAAATAAGCTAAGTTTTTAGTTTATAACAGTGAAGTTAACTTTAGTCTTAATTTAAAGCTATAAAACTAAATTAACTAAGGTTAAAAGAGCATAAAACCAGCTGACCTTCTAGCATCTACAAATCCCATGGAGTAGAGCTGTATTTCACCAATCATGCCATAATCAGGGACCATCATGGCCACTGTACGGAACAAAACCTGGCAACATCACAAGTAGAATTTAGCAATAAAGGGAGATAACAAAAAAAAGTGGGCTAAAAAGTTAATTTGTTAGTTTTATTTATTTGAAACAAAACAAATCATGAAATTTAATATTCAGAAATGGATATTTTATAAGCAATATTATATACATTCTACATCAGTTTATGTTTATTTGGCTAAACAAAAATTTACACCAAAATAAACATAAAAGTGGGCTTTAGTCAGTAAGATATCCTTGAGTCCACCCAGTTCTGTTGGGTACCTGACTCACATCAGGGTAAGTAAAGACAGCTGGGTGTAGTGCTGAGGTAGTAGAAACAGGTGAACTCTACTTCATCTGCCCCGATGACCACTCGGTTGGAAAGGGAAACTTTACTTTTAAACACAAAAGTAATATAAAACTACACTGAAACAATCTTCAACCTACTTTAAGATTATCTGGCAACTCTTGTCGGCCAGCATAGCCAGGATTCATGGTGATAAATATAGTGCAGGTTGGGTTCAGTGAGAGTTCAGTCCCTTCAAATATAAACCTCTTGAGATGGGCAGCAATGGCTTGCTGGATGCTCTGTATCTGCTGGGCAATGACAGACAGCACCTCCAGCTCGATACGATTGAATTCATCAAAACAAGCCCACGCACCGGCTTGTGCAAGTCCTTTGAAGAACTTTCCCATAGCCTTGTAGTCCAGGCCATCTGAGCAGTTGAACACAACGCACTAGAGAAAACAGAAATCGGTAATCAACTATATGAATCCAATAAATAAATTTGACCCATACATTTAACATGTTAAACTACCTTTAAGAGAAAAAATTATAGTAAGATTGTGTACATTCTTTGATTATAAAATACACAAAATATTTGTTATTTTAATTTTTTTTGGTCAAATTTAAAAAATGTGTTGTATTAAATAAAATGCAATTATTGAAATTAAAAAATCTCTCATATCAATTAGGATTTTAAAAAAGTAAAATGGAAACTTGCCTGTTTGGCTACAGCTTTTGCCAGATCTTTGCTGGTTTCAGTTTTGCCTGTACCAGCTGGTCCCTCAGGTGCACCTCCCAAATTTAATTTCAAAGCACCCATCAGTGTTCTGTGTAATCAATGCATTGAAAGGAATTTTTTTTTTTTAAATTACAAATAAAATACATGAATAAATCTTAATTTTTTAAAAATCAAGCCCTCCTACATTGGTGAAAACTTAAAAAAAAAAGTTCAAGATATTCTGTGCATGAGTCAAACCAAACATGTTCAAGTAATTTCAATGAATCAGTAACAAGTGTAAACCTGAGCTCACCTGTAACACCTGTCTGTCAGTGGGGTGATGACGAGACGTGGTGAGTTGCCCAGGTACTCGTAGCCATAAGCTATCTCTGTTGTTATCATGTGGACGAAGATGTCTTTGTTGTCTGTGTAGTATCTCATCTGTGAGATCCAGTTGAAGTCCTGTGGACTTCTGATGTTGTTCTTGGTCAGGTGGGCCAACACATCTCTGGCTATAGAGGAGAAAACAACAATAGGTCAGTTTCAACACACTTTATTCAAAACCATTATTTATATTGATAACTATCATAGTAGGAGTGTGTGAGATAATGAAAGTATTTTGAAGTAATTATAACTTTCCATCACTACATACAATATAATAAAACATTTCCTTAAACAAACATCTTAATAAAAATATTCTTGAGCAAAAGTTAATCCATTAAAAAAAATCCTATACAAAAAAATCCCAAAGTAAATAAAGACATTCTGTCATGAAGATAAAAAGAAGTATTAAAGTTTTAAATAAAGAAGTTTCAGTTTACAGGTTGACTGGTCGTATGTAGAATCTCAAGGGATTCCCAACATAACTAGCAATGCAGGAACAGCTTACCATGTACATCAATGACAATAAGAGCCCCAAGTGTCACTCTGGTCCCACTGTCCAGTTTTCCTCTGACCAGTTCAACGATCTGGTCAATCTGCCGATTGCAGCGCTCTAAATAAATCTAAAAAAAATTTGGATTTATTATTGAGCGTGCAAATGAGTAACCAAGTCATGCTAATAGAAATCAAAGAAAAAAACAAACAAAGACAGAACCAACAGAAACACAGAAGCATAGAATCAATATCACTTAGACCTAAAATATTACTTCTGATTAGCTGCAAGTTGTAAATAGTTAATGTATTTTTTTTATTAATATAAACTTTAATTCCAGGGGCAGAATAAAAGATTTGTTATTTTTGTAGCTTATTAAATTATAATTATAGATATGTACTATTCTAATAAATTTTCTGCCATACAAACATGTTAAATTTATAACTTCAGACATAGTAAGACGAAACAAACCTTTAGACCATTTTCATTTTTCATTGAGTCTGTGACCTCTGTTGTCCAGTATAAACTGCTGACACATAAGACTACTTGACCTGCCCATTCCACCACCCAACGTTTGCGATGTGTCGTCTTGTACGCAGATATAGAATCATTGATGACTTTTCTTAAACTGTTTATCATGACATCTTCAACTTGAAGCAGCCATTTCTCTACCATGCCCTTTTGGTTAATTGAAAAAATTGAATTGCATAATAAAAGAAACAGAAAATCAAGAAATGTTGGGCATTTTTTATGAGTGATAAAATGTTTCTTTAATAGTTTGGAAATATTAAGTTGGGCGTATGTTTTTTTAAGATAATACAAAGAAAATTTTGGTTGTTTTACAATGTTTTCAATATACTTAGAAAATTTTTTTGCTTTAATAATTATTAAATAAGCTTTTATTATCAAGAGAAGTATTATACCTTTAAGAAGCATATAAAATTCAAGTAATTACCTTTGCTTTTGCTGGAAAGATGGATGTACAGAATGGAACAGTTTCATTTTCAGCAGAAATCATGCCAATGATTTCCTCATTTTCTGTGAACTCCAGCTTGGAGATTCCCTCAAAACATTTCTTCAAGTGTGGCTGTACTCTCATTGGATCTTTGGTTTCAGACAAGATCTCCAACAGCTCATCATTTGATAGGAAAAAGAACCTGAACAAAAGTCATATAAAAACTAGTTGAACATGTTTTTAGGTACACAACCATTGTTTAGATATGATATGAAACCTTTTGACGTTATGTGTGTGTTAGGAGTGGCAAGTGTTTTTGTTAGTTGCTATTACGATTATTATCGCAGGTCAGTAGGTTTTTAAAATTTTTTCCTGGAGTTTGTGAATAAATGTTTGTTAAAAGGTTTAAATAATGAATGTAGAGGGCCATTTTCATACAAGAATGTTGTGAATCAACCTTGGCTGGTAGAGCTACTAGGGAGGGGTTTTTTAATGAGAGAACTTCTTAAAACCGTTGATTGCAGTCGACCAACTTTTATAAAATATTTTATTTAAATCATTATTTATTTATCAAATTGTCTTTAGCTTATTCTTTGTTAATCTTTTATTTATTTATTTAGCTTGGCTTAGTTTAAATTGCATTGTCCAGGCTTGTTAAACCTTCTTGTTCCCAAGAGGATACACAGATGAGTGAACAAAAAGACTTGCTGAAACTATTTAAGTTATCTCCCTTTCAAGTGTCATTTTTTTACTTTCTCGTATATATACGAAGTATAGAGAAAGTATTGTAATCGTGCAAAAAAACAAAATCGAGATTTTTACAAATCTCGACGTTTTACACCTCACTGATACGGAAAAACATAATTTTGCAATCTTGTCCGTATGTCTGTGTGTGTGTGTGTGTGTGTGTGTGTGTGTGTCCGTGTGTAAACACGATAACTTGAGTACCGTTACAGCTAGGTTGATGAAATTTCATATATAAGTGTTTTATCAAAATCGTAGATCCGTATCAACTTTTGAGCGATTTCCGATAACCGGAAGTGGTACTTTTTCTACTTTGAATTTTTCAAAAGCCTATAACTTGAGTACTATTTCAGATAGATAGATGAAATTTCACATGTAAGTAATAGATCTAATTCTCTACCTTCTGTTAAATTTTGAGTAATTTCCGTTGACCGGAAGTAGTAATTTACGCTACTTCCGATTTCTCAAAAAACTAATGTAAATTTTTAAAGTACTAATAATATTGCGCACTATTATGCACTTTTTTTATTTGGCGTTCACTTGGTGTGCAATTAATTTGTCTACGAGATTTTATTCTATTTTTAAAACTTTAAGTATTTAAAATGGATTAAAAATCATGTCTATAGCCAGAGTTCCCATCCCCTGTTATTTTATATAAGAATATTCGAGAAAGTTTAGGGGAGATCACTCCCGGTTTATTTTTTTTAATTTGGTTCTGACCTATTGTAGGCTTAAGCATGTAGTAACTACAGGACAACCTTAAGAATAATTATACCTAAGTTTATAACTAGATTTCAGGTTAAAACATAGGTTCAGAGTAGGTTTAGAAGTTAATAATCAAACAATGTGAGACAGCATTTTATGTTTAACGTAAGTCACAGCTATCTGACACACCATTGGAAGCCTACGTACCTTGGGAAATACAGCCTCTTCTTCTCCAAGTAGGCATTAAGCCCCTTTTGAATATCTTCCAACAAAACATTAGCCTCACGCAAGCGACCCAACATGTTGTTCTGACCTGTGGCTACTAGACAGTTGGTGTCCTACGGATAATTTTAAAATAGAATGCAACAGTAAGTTGTTTTGTTTTTTTGCTGGAGAAAAAAGTATACATGTACTGTCAGTTTAAAAATGAAATTAGAAGTTGGAAAAAGTCTACCTGACTGGTTTCTTTCATGATGTCTCTCCAGTAGCTGTCCACAATACCAAACTTGCGACCCTCTTCAGGCATTTGGGCCATGATGTCTTCAGAGCTAAAAATAGGCTCTAGGTATAGCCAAGTTGCTTGCACCTATAAAAGATAATTTTTTAAATGGTTCCATGTGGCCAAAGAATTGTTTTTTTCTAACTTAATTTCAATATTGATTATTGATTGATTAAACTCAAGCAAAGCTAGAGTTGATATTTATCAATACCTTCAGCCACTCGTCAATGATGTCTTGCATCAAAACCAGTTTTTCCTCCCATTGTCGCATTTCACTTTCAAAAGGTTTGATAAACGGAGACCCTCTCATGGTCTGGGCTTTGACGATGTTGTCATCAAGCAAGGCTTGTATGTCATCCAGTGCACTGAGGATACTGACACCCTGTCAATAAATTAATTGAGTGTACTGACACCATTTGAGTAAACAAACAGAAGATTCTTACACAATAAAAGTAAACAAATTGAGGATATTGGCACCCTACAAATAAACAAATAGAAGATACTGACACCATACAAATAAACAATCAAAAGATACTGTAAATGTGCAATGTGTATATATAGATCATGTTGCGAACATATACATTAACAAATCTACATTTACAGAAAAAGACCAAATTAACAGGTTTTCTATTCGTAGAAAACTAACTCACAGTATCTCTGTATGCCACAAGTTCAAACTTCAAATCTTTCCAGTCATCTTTCATCTTGGTCAGGGCTTTCTCCAGAGAATATTCTTTGGCTGCACTTCCACCAATTTCTTCCAGCCTAAGTAGAGAATCAAAAAAAAAACATGTGCTGCATCTCACCAATGATCTTCTTTTAGAAACAAATAAAGCACTGAAAAATTATATTAGCTGATTAACTCTAAATGGTTTAGTCTCTTTTGTATAAAAAAGAGCTTTTTAATTTTATTAATAACAGATTACATTTAAAATTCTGATTCAAGCTTAAAAAGCAGGTGTGTATCATTCTGATTGTATAGGACGAAATAAATTTGTATGCAGGTTCCTTACTTTTCAAGATGTTTGTGAAGGCCATATTCCAACATGGTTGATAGCGAGGTCTCTTCTTGTGGTCTGATATCAAAGCCAACAATTTCACTCATCTACAAAACATTTGTAACATTCATTTATAAATCTGAGTAGAATAAAGCCAACAATTTCACTCATCTACAACACATTTGTAACATTTATTTATAAATCTGACTAGTATAAAGCCAACAATTTCACTCATCTAGAACACATTTGTAACATTATTTGACTAGTATAAAGCCAACAATTTTTTCTCATGTAAAATTAAACTGAAAGTTTATATGGGCCATGGAAATTTATTTTGCAATCTTGTTTGGACAAGGAATATTATTTTCAGACATTTCGCAAAATAGTAAAAAGAACTAATGATATTTTGCTCAAACTAAGAAAAAATTAACATTATCTATTGTATTAGAACAATGAAAAAAAAAATAGATTCACATTTTGTCTGTACAGTGAACATTAATTTTTGCAGCTTGTAAAATAAAAAAAAGTTTTTGGCATCTCTGAATGAAGAGTTTGTGGAATGAAAAATTGCAACAACTGTAACACTGGGCCTCACCTGATCCCAATGCCTGCCTCTGATGCCAGGGTTACAGATGGTCTGCAGAATGGGCATGTTAGTCTTGAACTTGTCAATTTTTGTCTTCACACTGTTGGCAATGTGGCGTGGACCAGGCTGGTCAGCAAAGGCTTTGGTCAGTTTGTACATGGTGCGCCACATTTCACTCACTTCATTCTCAATCTCTTCAGAGTTCAAGTTCTTGAATGGTCCTAAGAAATAAAACAAGGGAAAACATTGATTTTGAGTAACCCTCACTTCAATGTTCAGCAGCCTATAGAATTTTTATATTATTCTATTTATATTATTATTATTAATTTATTCTTTTTAGATTTTTGAAAATTTAACTAAACATGCTGAAAAAGGAAAAATGGACTGGGGGTGTGATTCATTGAAAAATTTTAAAGTGATAAGTGTAAATAAATCATGTATGCCGGCAACTAAACTTATAGGCTAGAGCAGGGGTTCCCAACCTTTTTTTACTCTAGAGCACATTCTTAAATATCAGTAGGGTGGCGGGCACCACCTATTTTAAATCGACAAACTCCTTCCAGAGGCGTAGCGACCCTTCCCGGCGTCCGGGGACAAAACTTTCGATTTGCACCCGCCCCCCCCCCCTCAAACTTTCGATTTGCATCCCCTTCAACCTTTCATTAATGTTTATGAAAAAAAATCTGTCTCTGTCGAATAATGAGAGGCGGGCACATACGAATCGTTCGGTGGGCGCCATGGCGCCCGCGGGCACAGGGTTGGGAACCCCTGGGCTAGAGTTACCTACCATGTGTCCAAAGTTCATTTTTGAGATAGAAATTGTAAGCAGTTCTCCAAAGTTTGTCATAGGGCTCCTTAATTTGAAACATGGAGGCCAGTTGTGGGAATTCAGTTATCTCCCATTCCAAGAGTTTCTGTTCATCTTGGAGCCCTTCCAGCTCAGTCCGAGCTGCCTCAAGGTTTTCATGGAGGTGAGTCAGAGTTTCAACATTCATCTTCATCTCCTCTGAACTCATAAACTGAAAATGTACACAATAATTCAATTAGTACTGCCTTTAATGAACTAAAATATACAAAATAATTTAATAACAGCTGCCTCTAAATTTTATGGATATTAGTTTTTCAACATGCATCCGCAAACTAATGAAATGAAAATGTACAGAATAATGTACTTAAAGCTGTGTCAAGATTTTCCTTTAAATGAGTTTCAGCACACATCATTGATAAACTAAGGAACTTAAAATTTACAAAATAATTCAGATCTCTGACTAAATATATAAAACACTTTTCAGGTTGATTTCTTTTCTTATTTTGAATGTGCTCCGGATTCAAAGAGTTTTGTTCTATTAATATATGACTAGTGTTGTAGGAAAAAAAAATGTTACAAAGACAGATTTTCAGAATAAACTCTACTTGAAACCCTGATTTAAAAAAAAGTTATTTTTACCTCTTTCTTTTTAAATGATTCAACTTCCTTGACATAGCTATCAATTTTAATTTCGAAGGCAGCCACTCGTTTCTTGAGCTCCTCTTCGATCTGATCTCTCTTGTTCATGATCCTACCCTGGCTATGCTCCAACACATTTGTGATCTGGGCTGGCCAGTGAAATGTTACTGTGTTCAGTTTAATGTCCTCATCTGTGGGATATAGGCCCTATCTGTTAGTTAGTGTCAATGATTGAGTTTAAAAAAGTGAACAGAATAATTTTTAATAATTTTACTTTTGGAATTATCTTGCATTTATTCAATATTTGATGAACCAAAAAATGTTTTTAAAATATATAATTAAAATGGGACACAGTTGAATGCAAACAGCAAAGACTGATTAAAGAAATTTTCTGAGAGTGTGAGTAAGAATCATTAGGATCAGGATTAGAGTTAGGGTCAGGCCAAGATAAGGGCTTGGGTCAGGGTAGGAAACTGACAAAAACATAGCTTCAACATGATCTACCGGTATCTTTATAAATAGCAAAATATTTCACAAAAATATACTTACAAGGAAAGTCAGCATAATCTAGGAGGAACATCAATCGGTGGCTGGCTTCAGTTACTCTGTCTTGTAGTTTGTAAACTGTTATGTCATTGGACTGGAACAAACCAAAAGTTCACATTTTTATGAAGCTCTTCTCTGTTAAAAATGTACATTTGTTGCACAAAGCTGTTGAAAAGGTACCTACAACTTTCAAGTAATCTTGGAGGTCTACAAGGTCTTTTGTAGACTCTGGTATAATCTGAACCCTCTCCTGTATTTCTTCATAGCTTTTGTTCAGTCTAAAATGGATCGTTTAAGCAAAATTAATAAAAACAATATACTGTTCTTTAAATTTGAAGTAATGTGAAAACAGTATCTATTTGCTGATTAATTATTAAAAAGTAAACTTTTAATGTACAGTGAATTAAAAACTATACTTTATTTCAAAAGCAAACTTAAGAAAATAAATGAGACTTTACGCTTTGTTCAAATCTCTGTTCTCATCCACAACAAACACAACAAGTCTTTCTCGCAGGCGCTGGGCTCGGTGGCACAGGTCATGGTTTAGGTTGACACAGTCCAGACAAAACATGCTTAAAGGGGCAGTTACTCTCATTGAAGCAATTTCATCTTTTAAATCTTGATACGAATCAATCTTCTGCAGAGACATTAAACAAGTATTAGAACAATTTTACAAAGTGGTATTGCTAACATTAAAATATTGACATAGTAAGGGTATAATTGATTTTCAGCAAGTAATGGTTAATAACTAAAATATATTTGATTTCTAATTGAAAAAAACGTTAAAATTAAAGTTTCTTTCAACAGCAGATCACCAGAAGGCAAGTAAAAGGAGATTAAAAAGATTATGTGACAGAAAAATATTGTGTAGAGAACACATGAAACAGAAATAAAATAAAACAGTATTAAAATCTAACCATTTTGAAAGCAGCTATTGAATGTTTTTCTCTCAAGAAGGATGAAACATCCTGATCTGCTTTGTTGTTCAATAAGTCTGCAAATCTTTTGTATTCATTCAAATATCTAGAGTGAAACAGATGTATATATTAAATTAGGTTACACCCAAAATATAATTGGAAATCATTCACTATTACACTAAAGTAATGCATTTTTCACAACAGTCAATTTCTCCTCATGCTCACTTATTTGTTAATCTTATTTTACTAGAAGTAAATAATATTGTACAAACTTTTGTGGTCCAGCGATGTTTAATCTAAATATATCCATGGCCTTATCCACATAGTCTGTAACAAGACTTTCATCAATTCTGACAGAGCGCAATAAAAGCCGTTGACCTCTCATGTCAGGAAAAAGTTCACATTCCACCTGAAAAAGCAGCAGACGTATAGACCTTTTAATATATACTTAAAAACTTGGGGCTCCTACCAGAAAATATGCTACACACCTTGTGAAGTCTGAAAAAGTTAATCCAAACAATTATGAGACAAAAAAGAACCCTACAAATCACAGAAGGAAAAAGCTTTCTTACTCTGGAAATCCCTTCACCGCTGGCGATGATCTCGGAAAAGCACCTGAGAATTATGTCCCTTAGTTCTCTGAAGGTGGGCTCAAAGATTATTTTTGGCTCTTCTATTTTTAGCCTGACAATCATAATCTGCTTTTCAATGTAAGCAAGTTCATCATAGTTTTCTCCAAAGTCATTGCCAGCCTGAAATATAAATGTACACATTTTTAATTTTTTAAAAAAATTGAAGAAATAACTATCAAATTTTTAAGTTACATAGTTACTATGCAACCTGTCGTCACCTGCAATGTTTTAATTAAGCAGTAAAAAGTATGTCCATAAATAGTTACACAGTTTTAGCCCATTTTTTACCTTCCACTTCCACCCCCTCTATAACACAAAACAAAATGCTAGACCACATCCCCTAAAATAACATCAAGAAAGTTCCATCAAACTTGAAATATCCATATTTATGAAAAAACTTATAATTTTGCAAAACTGATTTAAGGAAATACAGACTACATTCTGCATCAAACTTTTTAACACCCACCCTCCAACATATAACACATTTTCACTAGACTGGACCAGCCTCTCTCTGCTCTGTCATACGAGTGTAACACTACCAGTGGGTTGTTTAAATGAGCCTACAAAAAAACCGCTACACACCTCATGACGTCTAAAAAAGTTCAAAAAGTCAGCCAGCGAGTTGATGACCATTGAGCGCAGCTGTAGAGACATCAGAGAGGAAACACAAGAGAAAAACTCCTGGATCATATCTGTGTTGTCGTACTCGCCAGGTGGTACTAAATCCTGCCACACCTCCTTGTAATCCACAAACAGTTTGGCGCATGTCGGGATCCAGCTGAGGGCCAACAATAAAAAAACCATAATAAAAAAATAAATATGACAATAGAAAAAACAATAGAAACAAATACAATACTAGGAGCAAATAAATATAGATAACTATAGCAATAGAAACAGCACATACGTTTTCTTGAGAAACTCGTGAGCTTCCCAGCACTGCGTCTTGACAAGAGACTCAAATTCCGCTGGCAGAAGTGGTAGATCCGCTGCTAGCAGGCTGTCTACGTTTACAAAGCGCAGGTGGCAAAATCTGGCAAACAAAGTGGAGATAATGAATTGAACATGTTCTCAATTAAAAAAATTATAAAAAAAGGGTAATAAATATTCACTTTATTATTAATTATTAATTAAAAAATAAAGCTACTATTTCATGTGGAAAAAAACACAATAAACATGACAAAAATGACAAGTTTAAAAAAATTTAAAAACACATTTTTTAAAGGTAGTTAATGTATACCTACTCATTAAACCACAGGTTTTGCAGCTTCAGCATGAGCGAACAAGTTGTAAATAAATGCTGCTCATTAATGGCTTTCTTTGCTGCATAGGTGGAGTGCCAGGGTACAGGTGCACGAATCACCCTGAGGTCAAAGAAATGTTTTTAAAGTTGTAAAGGTGTTTGACACATATTTTAAAAAAAAGAAACAAAAAGTTGTAAAGGCGTTTGACACATATTTAAAAAAAAAGAAACAAAGATACTAAAAAACCTACTTTTGAGGAAAGGACTCTGGTATCCAATCTATATGCAGTCTTTTTTTCTCTGATTCTTCTTGTAAAATGTAGTCAACTAAAAAATAAAAGTATTTTTTTAAACAATTAGGAAATATGTTAAACAAATGTATGCTTCTATAGTACATTTATCTCTGATGTTTGGATGTCCACTAAAATACTTAAGTTTAAATTTATGTCTGATTTTTTAAGAATAAATAAAATACATTTTTGTAAATCAAAAAGTGTTTTTTTTATACCTATACTTTTACGTGCACTCATTTCATAGTCATTAGCTATTTCCAGCCTTAGTTGCTGGCACATTGGTTGAAGGTGTTTGGCTAAGAGAAGATTTTGAGGAACCATTCTTTCAATATGTTTCAACTGCTGGCTTGGCTGTGGTGCCAGCATGTTTGGGGAGATTCCTTTGCGGATATAATAGTAGTAGCGCTGGATGGAATAAAATTTCTTTTTTATTATAGGCCGTGTGACTGAGAAAAAGATGGAGATGGCTACAGAAATAAAAATTAGAAATAAGTTTATTCAAGTCTTATGAGACAAGATTAAGGATTATAATTTAGATACACTAGAGTGTATATCTAAAGGTTTTAAGAAAAACAAGTTATAAAGAACTGGGGTAAAGTGACTAACTTCTAAGTCTCTTTGAGTTGGTTCTCTAGACCTTTTTATTTTCTCATTTTGTACTGCCATCATTACATCAATTTGTTCTGTTGGGGTTAAAGGTCGGCTGGGTGCTGTATTTTCTTGTCTGTAAAAATATTTGTATTGTTATTGACAAAAAAATTATTTTATTTTATTTTATATTATTTGGATGTTATAAGCTTACATGCTAAGATTAGTAGCAGAAGTGTTTTATATTAACACCTTCAGTACTATTGTTATAAGAAAATATTTCACAAACATGTCTAAAAAAAAACACTCAACTCACTCTTCAAACTTTTTAACTTTAGGTAAAGGATGCAGTTTTCTTGGACTGTTTAATCTTTCCACTAAAAAAAAAATGTAATATAATTCAAATGCAGGCAATCAACAACTTAAAAAACAATGAGGTTTTTATTCTGTACTTTCCAATATTTACAAATTACCAACAATTAATTTACATTTGCAGTAGAAACAATTACTTAATAAAACATGCAAATAAATATGCATAAGCTTTTCTGTCAGTCAAGACAGAAAAGGTCCTAGACTCATGCCATTTTGTAAGCAAATTCACTTTTAAAAATATTAAAATTAACAATGTTGACATAAAGTTTTAGTAATTATTCATAGTTTATTGTTAGAGTTACTATATAAAATAAATAGGGAAAAAAATTGTAAGTAGTTTCAAGCTATACATTAAATATACACTTCCAAGTCTTAAATATCACTACAGAAAGAAAACATTTTAATTTAGCAAAGACTAACAGAATATTAGTATCATTGGTATAGGGTAGATGCAGATGTGCTCAGGGATGTCCTACTCATAATTCTATTTTTAAAAGAGCATAACTACACAACTTATTATTTCCTTAATGTTAATGCATATTTTAATACTAAAAGATAATTTAATAAATGAAAAGCAAACTTAAATACCGGTAACTGACAATTTGTTATATACATGTTGAACAATAAAAATATATTTGTTAAATAATCCCTGAAACACATGTTAGTATTGTTATCACACCATAGAATGGTTTTTAACCTACCACTTTCAACAACAGGTAGATTTTCAAAGACTGAAAAATAAGATTAAACAGTTACCAGTATTTGATTTTTTTTTTAACCGCTGCTGTTTATTATGGGGATCCAAAATTAAGAATGATGAATACTATATAGCAGCATTTGAATGCATGTCATTAAAATTGACTAGAAGTATGTTATAATAAAGCTTTGTGTTTAGACTTTCAAACAAAACCTACAGTTAAGTAGTCAATTTGTAAAATATATTGTTTTGACACAGTTACATAACTAATATATAAGATTTGTTATAATAGTTATGTGATGAAATTTAAAGCATTTTATTGTATTTTTCTAGCATGTCTTAGTAACACAGGGTAATTTAGCTATTCTTGCAAAAGTTATTTCCCTTGAATGAAATTTTGGTATTTGGATTTCCAACTTTACATGCTTAAACCTTAGGTTGACTTACTTATAATACAACCTTAAGTTATTATTTGCATTTTTAGAATTATCAAATTGAAAAACAAATACATCAGTAGCCGTTGTAGATTGCAATATTTAATATTAGTAGACATACTGTATAAGATAGTGCAACAAATGCGTCTAAAATCGTCTTAGTTGTAAATTAATCATCTATTTAATTAAATATCTTTTTCATATTTTTCACCATCTCCTAAATGATTAATATAGAACAATTGTAGGCTGGAATCTATAACATTTATAACTTTTATTTTTCAAAAACAAAAAATCATTACATAATAACACAATATAGACATTTCACGATTATAACTAGACAGTCAAGCTTAAAACAGGTAAGTTCCATTCTGGAACTCACCCTGGGAGGTCTGCAGAGAGCCCAACAGCACAAGAACTGTTTTTTCTCCACTTTTTTCTGGCGGGGGGGGGGGGGGGGGGGTGCAGTTGAAATTTTCTGGGGAGAGGGGGGACTATGTCGTAAAGTATACTCATTGAATTAGCAATTATTTCAATAGAATGTGATTACGCTTGCAAACTGGAATTGAAGGAATTAGTACAAACTTTTGCGATAAAGGAGGCAAGTAAAATTTGATTTTGATGTCTACTTATAACGTGTATGCAATTGATAATAAATTAATAAGTCACTTTTAATGGTTTTCTTATACATATGTTTTAGTAATTAATTTGTATTAAAGTGGGCATTTTAATAAGTTTTGCCAAGGGCGCTAAATAGCCTGGCACCAGCACTGTCTACAACATACTTTATTTAACTATATTGAAAACTAGCTTTATGATATTTATGATAAAGCTGTAATTAAATTGTTCAAAGTAAAACTGCATTAATTATGTAATATAACAATGTATTACCCTTTGACCTTGTTCTGTACAACTTCGGCAAATCTTTCAATTTGAGATTGCTTGCAGTAGGTGTATACACATTTGCTATAGATTCACTTGGTGTTCTGTCATACTTTTGTTCTTTAAATGGTGCTGCTAGCGTCCAGGAGGTACTTTTCATTAGGGGAGGATGTTCACTGTTGCGTAGTACAATCTGTAATTTGTGTCACCAAAGTGTTAGAAATTGAAATATCCAAATTGTTTTAAGGTAAATTTCTTAACCTTGGTTCAAAAGTAGTAACCGTAGTTTAGTAATTCTGATTTCAGCTGAAGATGTGCATGATCATTAAGTAAACACATTTAAAAACAAATCAGAAATAAAAACTTACTTTGTACAAATCAGATGGTTCCCTACTCCCTTCTGCTGGCAATGGAGGGAGGCCTGGAAGCCCCCTAACTTTACTGCTGCTATACACAGGTGTTTCACACAACTAAGATATAAATTCAAATTTTCTTTGAGGTAAGAAATATATTATGAGAGAAGGGTGTTATTTATATACACAGACCATATTTTTTTTGTTATTGAATCATAATCATTATACTATTATTCTCAAAAAGGTTCTAGTTGTTGATTATCCAAACCATAACAAATGTTAAACAGGTCCTAGACCTAAATGAATTATTTTAAACTTTACTTTAGTTAGTGTAATATTATATAGGCCTACAGCTAATCATTAACCAGCCTAATCAACAGGCCTAATTACTAGTAATTATTAATTATAGTCCTAGATACTAGATAGGCCTATTTTACTACTTTGTGGAATTACTTAGAAAATTTAAAGTATTATTTAATTTATTTTCTCATTACTTGATTGATACTAAACACTAGGTTATTACTAGATCTATAATAATTATACTTATACTACTTATAGTACTAAGGTATATGATTAAAAATTAAAGCTTACCTTTGCTCTTTCTAGAGCCATTTTAGAAATAATTTACTGATGCTGATTCAACTAATAAAAAAAGTTTTAAAACACCAAAGTTGAACTGTGAGGTGACTGATTTTGGAAGTCACTCACAAAATTAAAATAATTTTATTTAGGGTAGATCTAGACTCTAGTAATTATTGTAAAAAACAATTAAACTGCAATTTTAATAAAACTGCAGTTCGATATAACTGATACAATCTAAAATACAATAGTAAACACGTTGTGCTTCTGCTGTTTGTTTTTCAGCAGATGCCTAGGCAAACATGATGTTTGCTCCTCCATTTTCAAGATCCAGTTGCTAAGCAAAATGACTCTTTAGCTCATGTCGCTACTTCCGGTTTCAAAAATAGTTATATTTTTAGATATCTAGAGACAGATCTAGATCTATATTTTAAATTTAGATCTAGATCTATAAATTTTTAAAATTTAATTAAAATTATTTCTGTTTTTAAAGATATATATCTAGTTTTATAATGCATTTTGTCATTATACATTGCATTTATTTAGTAGAATTAAAAAAAAAACTATATTAAAGGGAAGGTACTCTAATAATGTAAACACATGTTACCCTGGAGACAGTATACGAGAAAATGGATCTAAAATGACTGACGAGACCATACCGAGTATTTTGAGTATTTATGTAAGGTTAATAACAGCACAATCATACGATTCTCTTAATTTACACGCAGTGAGTCTAACTTTGCTATTTGCATATATTATATTATGTCATAATGACATATGTATACTAAGTTACTAAGTTAGGCCAATAGGTTTAGATTAGTTTAGAATTTAGATTTATTAGGAAAAATATTAGGGGCTTATTATTCCATTCCAAATTCCTGCTTTAAACTAAAGTATTTTTCTCAGAGATCCAGTGGGGAAAAAAAGCTCCTTCATTTTATTGCACTATTTATCTGTTATCTATAAAATCGACATCACTACATACTACTTACAATTGTACACAGCCTAAAACTAGATTAATTTTAAAAGTGGTGAGTTCATCCCTCCCCCTTCCTCAATGTGCATACTTCACCTACCCTCATGGGGAAAAAAAAACTAATTTCTTAATTTTTTTAAAAAATAGAGCATTTGTTGATTATATTCTACATATTAATTCAATTGTTCCCCTTTCATATAGGCAAATAAAACACAGACTGTCACAGGTTACCGTTAAATGTCTAGTTAATAACATGTTAGTACATACTAACTAGATCTAGATTGATTTAATTTAGCCCTTGCTGAAAACATTGTTTCTTTAAAGTAAAGTCAAAAACTAATGAATTAGCCAGTTTGATCAAGTGAATGGTTTTAACAATAAATAATCCGTAAAATATACAACAAGTAATTTGTTTTTCTGTTTTGTCATTATGCATACGCAATTATTAATTTGAATTAACCAACTTTATTTATTGACATTATTTTTCAGATGAAGGAAACGTTTTTTTGACCTACAAAGCTCAGAATGCCGGACATAATGATGACTATGGAGCCCAGTCCACCAATCCATCCAATTTCTCAGTCCCATAATTCATTTATATCACCTTCAACTGTGTTTTCTGAAATTATGAAACATCCTTCCTCTCAGAGTGAAGAGCAGGAATTTAATCTTGGCAAAGCGCTTGAACTCAGATGCATAAACATTTCCAAGTACACATCTTGTGGTGTGTGTGACACTTGCCTTTTAAACACTAAACTCAGGGAAATCAAAGAATGGTTTTTTAGATTTGGCGATCACTCTAAAAAAAGGTTCATGCTCGGATTGTTTAGAAGAATAAAAAGCACAGACCTGTTGAAAAACTTGGTCGTTCTACTACAACCAGTACTTAACAAAGATGGGATGTACGCTAGAGCGAGAACACAGCCTAGTTTAAAAACTGACTCGGCAACCGTGAGCTCTGACAGAGCCATCAATGCAAACAAAGTGGAGCAGCTGATGCTGGGTACCTGGGAGTGGTTCGCTCACACGACGTACTGGACCAAAATGAACTGCACACTCAACCTGCTCCAGCAGTGTGACGCTCATCTTTTACAGGAGTTGTACAAACAGGCTCGCACCATGCTGGCGTCTGAGCTGAAAGCTGCTGAATCACAAATAGGTAACTAATACTAATAGCTTGAACTATATATCAAATAAAAAAAAAGTAAAGTCCTTTTGAACCTGACAGTCCATGGGGCAGGTGAAGTTAAGTTCACCTGTTTCTGTAACCTCAGCTTATGAAGGGATAGTGTGGTCAGCACTATGGCTTTACTTTCCCTAATGTGAGGCAGGTACTCACCAGAGTTGGGTGAACTCAGGGACGTACAATGGATTTGAACCTGGGATTCAAACTTAAGAGTCTATACTCTACCATTCGACCATGCTGTCCTACACTATGTCATATTGACTGAATAAAAATACTATTTAAGAAACATGAGAAAGATTAATAATATTCCTTTAAACAAGTATTTGTTTAAAAAAGATTTCTTGACATTCTGTATTTGTTTAGTTACTTGTTGTTTTATTTATATTCAAGCTATTTTGTTTCCTCTACACCATAGCCAAATTAATTATTTATGCAATGTACAAACGGAACAGTAGCATAAAAAAAAACCTGATTAAGCCTAGATCTAGTAAAAATTAAAATAACTTCAATATATATGACAAAGCTAATTTATTAAAGATGCTTTTTGTTAAAGCCTTTAATTTTATAGCCCATAAAACAAGTATACAAAGTGCATCTTTTATTTGTAGATATAGACAACTATGAAGCCGCCTCAGTCATTTCAACAGAATATTCTCACCACACATCAGAACACCCAGAACTAGACCTTATGCTCATGTCACACTCTGGCTACTCAAATATTGTAGAGAACCCATTCACAGGGGAGATCATCCCTTATAAAGAAGACAAAAAGTATGCACACAGAAGCAGTGATAACCAATCAGTGTCTGGTGCATCCCTCAACAGTGTGGATCCTCTGCTCCTTGTCATACCCACCTCAGCTAAGGCTTATTCAGGTGTTTCCCAGCATAAAGACTTTATAAGGTGTTTACCAGTCCACTTGGCCAAGATGATTCTCAGTATGTTGGATATGGTTTCCCTCTACAATGCTCTCTGTGTCAGTCCAAACTGGCGAAAGTTGGCTGAGGAAGTCAAGGTGGAATTTGCCGTCAGTCAGCAACTTCGTGAGGAGGTGATGCTTATGCAGGTAAATTGTTATCTCCCTTGGTTTATTACCAAAGAAAAAAAATTTAGCTTAAAAGTGGGAAAAACTATAACAAATTTGAAATACTAAAAACAGGCAACATTCAACTGCATTTTTAAAAATGTTATACTTAACCTTATAAATAAGGACACATTTAGATAAAGGTTGGTGTGTTAAAGCTATTTAGTTTTACTGAAAAAATTGACAGCAAAATCACAACAAGAGAAATCATAGCATGTAAGTTGTCTGCTAGGCATTTGTCCAATGAACAGGCAAATGCAACATATCGGCCTACATTTTCTAAAAAACCTTGTGGTTTGTTACTAATGAAAGTGATTTATAGAACTTAAAAACAATATATTCCTTTCCTTATGAAAATGTCTGTATATTTACAGTATTAATAAATTTTAAAGTAATATATTATATTTTTTAAAATTTTGAATCAAAATTTTCATTTAATGCTTGTTTTTAAGGTAAATAAAAAAAAATAAATAAACATACTTGCTTCACTACATATTACCCAAGGGAGCAGCGGCACATGGAGCAAACCCTTTCTATGCTAAGGACATTGATGTCCTGGTCCCCAACCTTGACCCCAATACCCACGATGTCATCTACACCAATGGTAATGTAGTTGAGCCCACCTTCAAGAGTGAGATCAACTATGAGACGGCTTACAGCGGCATCAGCACAAACAAGGTCATCATGGAGGAGAGGAATGTGTACTGTGGAGCTTACAATGTCATGGTGGTTGTTGATGGGTCAGTACACTGTGCTCTATACTGTTTGAATCTGTTTGTTGATGGGTCAGTACACTGTCCTCTATATTGCTTGAATCTGTTTGTTTATGGGTTAGTACACTGTGCTCTATACTGCTTGAATCTGTTGATGGGTCAGTACTCTGTGCTCTATATTGCTTGAGTCTGTTTGTTGATGGGTCAGTACTCTGTGCTCTATACTGTTTGAATCTGTTTGTTGATGGGTCAGTACACTGTGCGCTAGACTGCTTGAATCTGTTGATGGGTCAGTACACTGTGCTCTATACTGTTTGAATCTGTTTGTTGATGGGTCAGTACTCTGTGCTCTATACTGCTTGAATCTGTTTGTTGATGGGTCAGTACACTGTGCTCTATACTGCTTGAATCTATTGATGGGTCAGTACACTGTGTTCTATACTGTTTGAATCTGTTTGTTGATGGGTCAGTACACTGTGCTCTATACTGTTTGAATCTGTTTGTTGATGGGTCAGTACACTGTGCTCTATACTGTTTGAATCTGTTTGTTGATGGGTCAGTACACTGTGCTCTATACTGTTTGAATCTGTTTGTTGATGGGTCAGTACACTGTGCTCTATACTGTTTGAATCTGTTTGTTGATGGGTCAGTACACTGTGCTCTATACTGTTTGAATTTGTTGATGGGTCAGTACACTGTGCTCTATACTGCTTGAATCTGTTTGTTGATGGGTCAGTACACTGTGCTCTATACTGTTTGAATTTGTTGATGGGTCAGTACACTGTGCTCTATACTGCTTGAATCTGTTTGTTGATGGGTCAGTACACTGTGCTCTATACTGTTTGAATCTGTTTGTTGATGGGTCAGTACACTGTGCTCTATACTGTTTGAATTTGTTGATGGGTCAGTACACTGTGCTCTATACTGCTTGAATCTGTTTGTTGATGGGTCAGTACACTGTGCTCTATACTGCTTGAATCTGTTTGTTGATGGGTCAGTACACTGTGCTCTATACTGTTTGAATCTGTTTGTTGATGGGTCAGTACACTGTGCTCTATACTGTTTGAATCTGTTTGTTGATGGGTCAGTACACTGTGTTCTATACTGTTTGAATTTGTTGATGGGTCAGTACACTGTGCTCTATACTGCTTGAATCTGTTTGTTGATGGGTCAGTACACTGTGCTCTATACTGCTTGAATCTATTGATGGGTCAGTACACTGTGTTCTATACTGTTTGAATCTGTTTGTTGATGGGTCAGTACACTGTGTTCTATACTGTTTGAATCTGTTTGTTGATGGGTCAGTACACTGTGCTCTATACTGTTTGAATCTGTTTGTTGATGGGTCAGTACACTGTGCTCTATACTGTTTGAATCTGTTTGTTGATGGGTCAGTACACTGTGTTCTATACTGCTTGAATCTGTTTGTTGATGGGTCAGTACACTGTGCTCTATACTGCTTGAATCTGTTTGTTGATGGGTCAGTACACTGTGCTCTATACTGCTTGAATCTGTTTGTTGATGGGTCAGTACACTGTGCTCTATACTGTTTGAATCTGTTTGTTGATGGGTCAGTACACTGTGCTCTATACTGTTTGAATCTGTTTGTTGATGGGTCAGTACACTGTGTTCTATACTGTTTGAATTTGTTGATGGGTCAGTACACTGTGCTCTATACTGCTTGAATCTGTTTGTTGATGGGTCAGTACACTGTGCTCTATACTGCTTGAATCTGTTGATGGGTCAGTACACTGTGCTCTATACTGCTTGAATCTGTTTGTTGATGGGTCAGTACACTGTGCTCTATACTGTTTGAATCTGTTTGTTGATGGGTCAGTACACTGTGCTCTATACTGCTTGAATCTGTTTGTTGATGGGTCAGTACACTGTGCTTTATACTGCTTGAATCTATTGATGGGTCAGTACACTGTGTTCTATACTGTTTGAATCTGTTTGTTGATGGGTCAGTACTCTGTGCTCTATACTGCTTGAATCTGTTTGTTGATGGGACAGTACACTGTGCTTGAATCTATTTTTAAAATACCATTTTATTTCAATGCCCTGCTAGGATAAATGTACAGAAATATTTTTAGTGTCTCAACAATAACTATTTTGATATTTTTTTTTCATTAAGGATTGATATAATAATTTATGGTCATTAAGATTTGTATCATTTCCTTATTTCTTTTTAGGTGAAGATGTAATGTTGCTTAATATTTAAATATTCTTAACTACATGAATAAAATTTTCACACAGCACATAATCTGATTAAAATAATTATTAAAAGTCTTGCTCTTAATTTTTTCTGTATATTCTATCAAACAATTCACATTGAATTTCCTGGTAAATTGATATTTCTATTGTTTAAATAGCGAAGACAAAGATCGAGTAATGCACACAGATGGGAGCAATTTCATAGCACTTGGCTCTAAAGACAGAAAAGTGCGCTTCATTGACTGTGAAACTGGTAAAGAAGTTGGTCCTTTGATCATTGGTCATGCTGGCTCTATCAGGTGTTGCTATTTATTGAAAGATAAAGGAAAAGTTCTCAGTGGCAGTTATGACACAAGTGTCAGGTATTTTTAAAGCATTGTATGATAAAACATTCAAATAATCAATACAAAATATTAATATATTAAAAAATAAAAATAATAGGCCTATAGAATAAGTTTGAACCATCAGGCCATGTAATCTTATATTATAATATTAGAAAGGTGTGTAGTAAAAGGACTAAACATGTATCAGTTCAAAAATTTGTTTTACTTAGTACAACATACATATGTTATCACAGATGCTGGTCTACAGAAACTGGACAGTGCCTCAAGATACTCAGAGGTCACCAAGACACAGTCATGGCCATTACTGTAAATGAAGATGTTGTAGCAACTGGCTCTAAAGATAATCTTTGTAAAAGTAAGTCTTTAAGTCTTTCCTATTAGTCTTTTTTGTTTACTTTATTTCATTAACTTTTAATTATATATATATATATATATATATATATATATATATATATATATATATATATATATATATATAAATATATAGATATATAAATATATAGATATATAGATATATATATATATAAATATATAGATAGATATATATATAAATATATAGATAGATATATATATAAATATATATATATATATATAAATATATATATAGATATATAGATATATATATATAAATAAATATATATATATATATATATATATATATATATATATATGTATATATATATATATATATATATATATATATATAGATATAGATAGATATATAGATATATATATAAATATATATATATATATATATATATATATATATATATATATATATATATATATATATATATATATATATATACATATATACATATATACACACACACACATGCATATATGTGCTAGGTTGCATATATATTCTATTAATTCTCCACCCTAGTTTGGAGTTTGGAAACTGGCAAATGCCAGAGAAATTTGAAGCATCGAGCTCCAGTGCTTGCCGTGGCCTTGTCTAAAGAGTTTTGTATAACAGGCTGCGAGGCTGGGAAAGTGAAAGTTTGGGAAGTTTCATCAGGGAATCTTGTCAAGGTAAACACAGTAACAAGCACACAGCAAAATGGAACAAAAATATGTTAACATTATGGCTAAACCATTAATATTTTTAGAAAGGAGGCTAAAACAAAAAATTAGTTATTGTTGTATACTACACTAGTAACCATGTATATCCTCGTTGTCCAGACTCTAACAGGCCATCATGGACCAGTCACTGCCATCAAGTTTGATCGCTGGCACATTGTGTCAGGGAGTAAGGACGGCTACGCCTTAGGTTGGAGTGCGTTAGGACAACATTCAAGATGTCTGTCAGCCCTAAGACACCCGAAGTAAATTTGCATAATACATCTTAATTAAAACAATTTTTTTTGTCTAATCATGTATTATCCTGCTGAAGTTTTATTAATATCAAAGCCTTAAGTGTGTACTTATCTCTCTGACCAGGAAAGTGCTGTGCCTGGAGTTTATCTACTTGCGTGTCATCACAGGCTCGGCAGATGGGAGGGTGAGGATATGGAATCTGATCACTGGTCAGTGCTGTCGTATTATGCGAGGAAATAGCCGAAGTGATCCTATTTTATCCATGGTTGCTTTAGGAAATAGGTAAGCGGCCTAATTTTTTTAACATTAAGTCAGACTTAACTTAAAAATGATAATATCTTCTCTATAAAGTGTTTGGTGTGTTGAGTGCTGTTGAGTTTCATTTCAAGAACTAATGGATCATGCATATATTATATAAGATAAGGGGGATGGAGTGGTTACATTGTGTTATATAGTGGGAGTGGCAGTATAGAGCAATGTAAAACTGCATTTGATTTTCTTCTAATACAAAATAAACTTTAAAATACCAATTTCGTAGTACAAAATAGTGTTATGGTTTGGGGGAGGGGGTTACTTAGAAAGGTGGAGGTCTAAAGATAGGTCAAATTGTTTAATGTTGAATATAGGGATGTGTTAAATATTGTCACATTTTTGTGTTACAGAATATGAGCACATCCTTAAGTAAATCTGGACTATACAATACTAAATAATACCAGATAAAATTAAAACTAGATAGTTAAACTGTGATTGTTCTAATTGAAAACCTTTAAACTTTTAGAATTACAGTAAACACGCTGAACAACCTGCTGGTGATGAACTTTGAACCAGTCAACTGGGACTACAGCCTCGAGACCGACCAGGTCCCATCTTTAGTGCAGTATGGATCATACAGTGATGCTCCTGTGAGATCACAACCATACTCGTACATACGAGCACAGAGGATGCGTAAAGCGGGCGCTGCTAATTTCAAAATAGTCCACCATGACGCCCCAGCGCCAGAGTCCAACACCAAGCAGGTGCTGTTGCAGCACCAGTACCGAGCCATGCAGCTTCCCCACAGTGCTAAAAGTCTGAGCTTTAAAAGTCTGGACAACGCCAGACGCGTGCAAAGCACCTTGGGGATGTACGATGCACTCCACTCTTCGTCTGAGATTTCTTTGGGTGAATACCAAAAACTCGAGAAGAGCAGCGCATCTGATCTGGGTGATGCCTTGGGTCAACATTCTACGACGAACCTGACTTCAAGCAGAACCAGAGGCAGGTCAGCCCCCTCGCAGTTTAGTGTCACTATCAAAGATAAACCCGTCGAGGAAGACGAGGCTGAACCAGTCCGCCTGACTAGGAGAATTTCGTGGGCATTTGAAAAACCCATCGTTCCAAAAGACAAAAACATCAGCCTGTCTGAAATGAAAGCTTTGCTACGCTCCCAGATCAGAATGAAGACAGAGAGTGTTGTCCCTCCTGATTTTATTTACCTAACCTTGAGCACTATTGAAAAATCTTTAGCCAAATCCGAGACCAACTTTAACACCAAATTTAACATGCAGGACCTGAAACCTCAAGGTGTCTCGGACACCAAGCGACCCAACTCCTCCCCCAGTCGCATTGACCCCAGGACCAAAGTTCCAGTTGAAGAACTAGGCTTGGAAATGTTCATTCACGATGACGCAAGTCAATCAGAATCATCAGACAGATGGTCCGTCAAAACAAAAGAGCTATCCAAACCAGCTGTAGCCAAAGCCAAGGAAAGCTTCGTCACAATAACTGCCGCCACTCCTGTCTCCCCCATGCATCATTCGAGTCTCCACCCCTCTAAAATAAAATCAACCGTCCCAAAAGGCTGGGTCATACGGCCCATCTCTGCTGGCCCCTTACAACCCGACGAGAAATCCCAAATCAAAGTAACCCCGCCATCACCCCGGCCAATAACTGCTCCAGTAAAAACTAACCACAGAATTTTAAAATCCATTCCACCAAACATTGCACCAGCACTTCCAGGGGTGGGCAAACTTTTCGTCAAATCCAAATCCCAACCAATTTTCTCATCTTCTAACATGGAAAGCAGCACTGTACCCATTCTGATGTACCCTAAAACAGTCAAGGACAAAGCTTCTGAACTTAAAGAGCTGAGAAAAAATCGACATGAACCTATAGAAAAAGGACCAGATGGTCGGCTTCTTGGACGTGTGAGTATTTATAACCCACCAATGAGAGACCATGTCAAATTTGAACTCCTGACACACCAACAGGAAGTGGAACAGATGGCTAAAATCCAGGAAGATCACACTAAACAGAGGAAAACTAAACTGAAGGAACTAGAGAAGAAGAAAAAAGCTGTTTGGGTAGCCATAGCAACAGGCAAATTAAATAAAGCTGACATAGAGGAAGAGTTTAAAGAGGTTTATCCATATTAGATTGTATGCTTGGTATAACAGCAATAATATCAGTATCCAAGACTTCAATCATCTAGTCTCTCGTTACACTTTCTCTTATGTAAATAGAAGAATGAGATTTTTTAAATGGCAAACATTTTTATAGGTATTGCACGAATATTTAGCAGTTTTTATTGCTTATTAGCAGTTTGTATTGCTTATGTAAAGATAAGCACTGTTGATTTCTCTTCATACACACCATTTACACAAAATAGAAAATACACAGAGGATTTAATCAATTAACCTATTAGGTATTTACATATTTATTTCACTTACAATTACTTATTTCATTTCTTCAAAACAGTCGGTGACTTTCAAATACAAAAGCTCTAACTTTTAAAAATCTAATATGCATGTATTTATCGTAATCAAATACTAAACCAAAGCATACCCTTCATTACCTACATATTAATATTTATGTAATTTTAAAACTATAATATATATTCTTTCATGGTTGTGCTTGTTGAATATGGTTATTATTTGCCAAATTATTGTTATTGTTGCTGTGATAAACACAAAGCTGCTTTCATTATTGTTGAAGAAGCACTTATGGATTATTTAAAAGTGGAGGAGTGATTACTTTTGTAAAAATTACTTAATAACTATATAGAACTAGTAACTACAATTTGTTTAAAATTGAGAGAAACAACCCAAGAATGCAACTGTAAAGTTATTTTAAAAGCCAAAACTATGATGATTTAAGTGCAAACGTTCTTGTACAAAGATAAAAACATAAAGCATAATCTACAATATTTAGTGGGATATGTAACTGAAGTGTCCACTGTCAAATAATCCATGTAATTTATAAGCATTAAATGTAAATATTCTGCTGTTGTTTTACACCATTATACAAAGATGCTTATTTCATTCTCTGTGGTGAGTTGATGTGTGATATGAATAAAGTTTTGGGAATTGGGAAATAAAGTATTTTTCAAATGATTTGTTTTTCTAATGACTTCTCAATTACACTATGCATTGTAATCACATTCATATTATTAAAACAAACACTTTTTACTTTTACTTTAGAAGTATTCTGAATAAGGCTACACATCTTCTACAGGTCCTGCATCTAAAATGTAAAACAGACTCATGTTTGGAAAAGTTTTGACTGAATAACAGAAGGCATAATGTTAAGTACAGGGTGACAGGTTAAGCACCACTCAGTTGGGGCAGTTCATATCTTTTGTACATTAGCAGGTTAAATTTAACATGAATGTAGTTATAAGGTTGAACACCAAACTTTATGCTGTTTACCTATGTATAAATTTAAACTGTGGAACTTATCATAGAGGGCTGGAAGTGGGAATTGTTTCTGATATAGTAATATTGACTTAATGGTTTGTTAAGGCCAAAAGTAGACACAAAGGTAGACACAGGAACATAATACAGTCCACAAAAAGAGTTTTAGCCTGATGAGATCAAGTAAGTTAACTGAGAAAAAATAAACATAAACACTGCCTGTCTAATTTAAACATTTTGTTTACAGGATAATTGAAGTTTCACACTGATGGCAAATAACCTTATGATGTTAAATTGAATATGGTCACATGAAAATAGAACTTAACCCTTAACCCTAAAAGTAAATGTAATAATAGATCGTCCCTTAAGAAATATGAATCTTGAATCTCTACAAAAGGGAGATTAATCAACATAACATAAACACATGTGTTCCTTATAAAATATGAATCTTGAATCTCTACAAAAGTAAGATTAAAATAACATAAACAAGTGCATTCCAACTTTAGAAATCACAATTAAATTGCCTTCGTAGCTTCTGTTCTAAGAATTTCTCTTTCCTTTCTTTCCTTTTACTTGCATAACGTGAAGCTGTTTTTGCAGTCATTATTCTCTTTAAGTTAAAATTTGGGCTCTGAACAGCAGACTGATCACAAGGATCAAAGTGTGTAATTCTAGCACTTTTACCATTGTCTCTAGAACCACCTAGACCCAGCCTGTCTCGCTTTAGAACAGTTTTTACAGGGTACTTCGTACCATCACCTTTCAATCCCAAGCCCTGACTTTTATTCCAACCTGATCTTAACAGCATTTGAAATCCTCTGTTTGTCTCAGGTATAAGGTATGAAGGGCCTTTGGGTTCATGCTTACAGTTGAAGAGATGTATTGTAGATGTTTCATGAGAGCGCCTGTCTAACACTTGTAAATTACAAACAGAACAAAAATAAGTTGCATGTGCAGTGTTTTTTGATGAATGAGTATAATGTACATTGGTATTTTCTATAGGCACAAATTGATGAATCTCTTTTGCTAACATCTCAAATCCAGAGATTTCTGCTAACTCTGAGGCTGTCTGACCTTCAGAGTTGCATAATGTTAGATCTGCTTTCTGTTCTAATAAGAAATGTACAATCTCTTCATGGCCTTCTTTAGCTGCGCACATCAAAGGTGTCCAGCCGTAGAAATCTGTGTAGTTGATATTGAGACCTTGAGCTAACAGCTCTTTAATTTGTTCTAAATCTCCTATCTGTGCTGCCTGCAACAATTTGTTGTATTTTCTTTCAGTTCTAATTTTGCTGATAACAGTTGATTGGCTGTTTGAATTGTTTGTTTCAGTGGTGGCTGTTTTTGCACAACAATCTGATTTCTCTGAAATTTTCTTTTTCTTTGCACTTTTGCTGCTTTTGTTTTTATTTGTGCATTCTTGAACAGAAGAATGTTTCAATGGTTCCTCTTTGATGAGTGATTCATAAAAAGTTTTAATGTCCTCTCCTGTATAGGCACTTTTACTCTCTCTTGGTTTGTTCTTACTTTTGGAGTCTTTTAAGTTTTCTGGAACAAAATGGATGAGGTTGTGGAACGATGGATCCACACCCGCCATTTATTTTAGTCTTGAAGGCCAATCTATAAAAAAAATATAATATGATGATTAGAAAATTAGACTTTCTTAAAAGTACCGTTTACAGATTTTAAAATATAATTTTGAGTAAGGAGACATGAAAGAACGAATCAGTAGACTGTAATACAATTAAATTAATTAGCGAAGCAAAGCTGGTAAAAAAATTCTAGGCCTAATGTAAATTGATTAATAATAAATAAGTAAGCTAATGGGCAGGGCATTGTCTAGGGTAGGGTAAGACTAGAGAGACCTTGCATCCTGTGTATTTAAATGTGTTCTTGGTTGGCTTAATCTACACTGCTTACTCTCTATTAATGCTTAATACTCATTAATAATGGTAACCCATTATGTCAAACTCGTCCATTTTTTGTGGGGCCTGCATATAACTTATAACATTGAATAGGCTTTTAACATAGTGTAACACTAATAGCTATAGAGAGTATTATGCTCAGTACAAATAGATATTTCTACATTATTACAGTAGTTATATAATAATACTAGTTTAGACTTTAGATGAGTACATCCTCTATCTAAGCTAGATTAGACCTAGATATAGAACATCAGGTAACCAGGTCTAAAAAAACAACACGCACTACTAAATATTATTCACAATTAATAAGGGCCTTGTTTAATATTGGTAATCTATTGTTTTAGGTGCGTAAAATCGTCTGAGGCTAGTAATGTGCGAAAAAGAAATCTAGATTCAAGATCAAGATTCTGCTTTAAAAAAAACTGGTAATCTATCGTTTTAGGTACGTAAAATCACCCGCAACCAGATTCTAGTAATGTGAAAAACAGTTTATCCTTAAATTTTAATAATTATTTCACATTTTGAGGAGGATTTATGTTTTGAAAAATACAAAAATGTTTCCTTGTTACATTTGTGTACCTGTTTTTAAACAATTGAATTAAAACTTTTGCAGTAGTAAATGAAGACTAGCGATGTTTTCATTAGATGCAACCATGCTCATTTAATATAGCAGCCATCTTGTTTAAGTTTTATTTTGTTAAACTTATAGCGGGAGATTCAGGGGAAGCCACTCTATTTTACAAATGGCTGCTGTTTATAGAGCAAATCTTGCTCACAAACACTGCTGTTTAAAGTTAATTTCTGGCCTTTATTGATATAGTTAGCCATTGATTTTGGTTTATTATTCAGTTATCTATAATATTTGACACAAATATATCACAATATACTTCTATTTAAGCCTTGACAATGAGGTAACTTTTTCGCACATTACTAGCCGCAGCCAATTTTACGTACCTAAAGCGATAGATTACCAAAAAACTTTATTTTGAAATATTTTTATTTTATTTTAATTTTTTTTTTAACCATAAACTTTTAGATCTAAAACTTAAATTATTCTAAATCACTAAGAACTAGCTAGGCTAAATCTAATTCTAATTTAATTTAAATTGGCATTTATTTATTTTTATTTAGTCAAATAATGGTACAGCGTATTTTATTCCCTGCTTCACATTCACCTACAGTTGAGTGTATTTTATATTATAAACACAACGGAAACACACAAAAACATTAGGAAATCACTCTGCCTATTTCTTTATGAATTTTTGGTTTAGTTTTTTAAATTAATTTTGTGACAACTCGAGAAAAATTGAAAATTTTGAATACTTAATGTGTACTATTTATTTAGATATAGATTTAACTTTTTTTTTCTTGAAAATATGTTTGTGTCAGTTGAGATTTTCACGGCAATGGGTAGAGTAGAAATGCATAATTAAAAGGCATGATACTATAAATTTAAATATGTTTAATATTTTGGGAGAATGTTTACACTGGTATCCGATAATGGAATCTTCTTTAAAAACGGGGTGTTAGGTTACTGGCAGTTAACTAAATGCACACATGACTGGCTAATATCATTGCTAACCCTGGTCCTACCATACGCCTAACCCTAATTTCTAACCATAAAATTAGTCAGGATTACAATACTACTATTACTAAGTAATTTAGTACTAGTACTAACAACTAGTAACAACTCAACACCCCTTTTTTAAAGAAGATTTCATTATCGAACACCAGTATCTTTTAATCATCCAATATTTTTAACTTTTCAAATTAAAACACATTTATAAAAAATAATTAGATATAGATCTATAGGCCACTATAGGGCCTATCTATCTATGTAGTACAGTAGTATGTAATGTTGGTAATCTATCGTTTTAGGTACGTAAAATTGCCCGCGGCTAGTAATGTACGAAAATGTTACCTCATTGTCAAGGCTTTAATAGAAGTATATTGTGATATATTTGTGTCAAATATTATAGATAAATGAATAATAAACCTAAATCAATCACAATGGCTAAATATATCAATATAGGCAAGAAATTAACTTTAAACAGCAGTGTTTGCGAGCAGGATTTGCTATATAAAAAGCGGCCATCTGTAAGTTAGAGTGGCTCCCCCTGAATCTTGCACCATAAGTTTACAATATATAAAAAAACAAGATGGCTGTTAATTATAAGTTATAGTAATAAGTAAATGAGCATGGTTGCATCTGTTGGGAACATCGCTAATCTTCATTTATTACTGATAAGTTTTAATTCAATTGTTTAAAAACAGGTAGGCCTACATAAATGAAACAAGGAAACATTTTTGTATTTTTCAAAACATAAATCCTCCACAAAATGTAAAATAGTTATTAAAATTTAAGGAGTCACCTGTTTTTCACATTACTAGTCGCAGGCGATTTTACGTACCTCAAAACGATAGATTACCATAATGTTTTCCTAACATTTTTGTTGTTTTGATAAAATAGTAATAATAGTAAAATACGCTCAACCAGAGTGAGAGATGTACGTGAAGCTGCGAATAAAATACGCAAAATGGAATTTTACCCGGTAATCTATCGTTTTGGGTACGTAAAATCGCACGCGGCTATTAATGTACGAAAACGTTACCTCATTGTCAAGGCTGTAATAGAAGTATATTGTGATATGTTTGTGTCAAATATTATAGATACATGAATAATGAACCTAAATCAATGGCTAAATATATCAATATAGGCCAGAAATTGACTTTAAACAGTTAATAAACAGCAGTGTCTGCAAGCAAGATTTGCTATATAAACAGCAGCCATTTGTAAAATAGAGTGACTTCCGCCTGAATCTCAGCTATAAGTCTATAAAAATAAAACTAACAAGATGTCTGCTATAGTAAATGAGCATGGTTGCATCTGTTGGAAACATAGCTGGTGTTCATTTATTACTGAAAAGTTTTAATTCAATTGTTTAAAAACCGGTAAATAAATGAAACTAGGAAATATTTTGGTATTTTTCAAAACATAAATCCTCCTCAAAATGTGAAATAATTATTAAAATGTAAGGAGTCACCTGTTTTTCACATTACTAGTCGCGGGCGATTTTACGTACCTAGCCTAAAACCGTTTTAGTAAAACTAAAACGATAGATTACCTTTTACCCAAATAATTATTAATAATTAGTAGGCCTAATTAGAGTATATATTAAATAAGGTGAATCGGTTCAACCAGGTCTAGATCTAGATCTAATAAAATAAGTAGATTCTAAATATTAAAATAAGTTACCACAACAGAAAACGTATTTGTAACAACGTCGTCAGGACATTGATTTGTTATCAACGGGATAAGCAGTTTAAAATACCGTAAAATATAGTACGTTACTTTACCAAATTTTATGGTTTGGGAATTTCCACACCAGGTTTGTTTTAGTACCTTAACTATTATGGACCATTTTAAATGAGTTCTAAATTTTTAACTGCTTTATGTGGTGAAACAAAAGTAATTAAATAAATAATAGTTTGAATGTTTCCTTGCGATGATTTTCCGTTGGTGCTGCTGAAAAAAAAAACGGCAGTAATCCTACTTTTGTTTCAATCTGTGACAAAAATCAGTTAGGGGTCATCCATAAATGACGTCACGCTTTTTTGACGAGTTCTACCTCCCCCCTCCCCTCCGTCACACATCGTCACAAAAAGCCAGACCCCCCCCCCCCACTAAAATGACGTCACACCTCAACCTACACCCCCCCCCCTCAAAATTGCAGTTGAATTTTTCTTAAAACATCGATATTTCTCCAAAATCTAGTCTGAACTCTGTGAACATAGAGTATTTTAATCGATTCCTATTACAGTTTATTAAAACAGCTTTCTAATACGCGTAACAACGGCTAAAACTCGTTTTCTAATATTGCTTTTTAGCGCAATTTCCTAACAGGAATTGCGATTATTAACTCGTCATTTCTGGATGTGTGTCCGCAGCTTTAAGTCGTATCTCCTCCTCAACGAAGCAATATCGAGGACTAGTTCCAAAAGCAAATATGTTAAGCAAGTTCCGAGGATGATTGTGGGCCAAAAAAATTCCCGGAATTCCTTCCTGGATTTCCCGGAAAAGCCAAAAAACCTCGAAAAAATGCAGTTTTTTGCCCATATCTCGGCAACCAGACCACTTAGCGACTTGAAACATTTACCAATCGATTCCTGCCATAATTTAGAACAATATTGCCGAAGAAAGTTTTCAAAAATATCGTTTCGTTCGGTCACAAAAAATTAATTAAGGAAATTGCGCTTAAATTGTCACTAGACTTTTTATTAACTTGTTTTATAATGCAAAAGTGTCACGTCACACCATCTGAACACACCCCCCCCCCTCCCCGTCAAAAATTATGGATCCCCTCCCCCCTTTAGAGTGTGACGTCATTTATGGATGACCCCCTTACCCAAAAGACACACAATTTATTGAAAAAGGGTGATCTTCAGAATGCAGGTTAGAAGAACTCAGTTTCAGTTGTAACCAGCTTTACCAAAGTGATTGCTACAGGACATTACTTGTTAAAATGTTTCTAATATTTTTAAGAAGAATTTGTTGTTGAGAAAGAAGTACATTTTTCAAACTAAATTGCATCTAATTTAGCAAATTAAATTTAGATAATTACCTTCTTTGCCCACTATAATCAAACATAGCTACTTGTTTATGACAGCTACAATGAGAACCATACTCAACACATTTGCTTGTTTTTTACTGCTAAAACAAGGAACACGTACAATGATTTTTTAAGAATAAAACAACAAGTATTGAGCATGTGCAGTTTTATTGTTTAAAAATGTTTCACACCAACCATTTTGTTTTAATAAAATAAAAATATAACAAGTAATTTTGATTGAACGACCACCAGTGCATGCAGTTGTCTAATTGGCGACATTCGTTTCAGTTGTTTAATATTAAACCTGAGACTAGAGTATTTCTTGTCTCAATTACTACAGCTGGTGCCATTTTGTATAAACATTGGGAACTGATCTAAAGAAAAACTGTTAGATTTGATAACTTGCCACCCTAGAATCACAAGGTTCTAATGGCTTTATTAAATTTACCACATAGAACTTTGTTATTCTAGGGTGAAAAATTATTGTTGTCAATATGTTCACACTGCAAAACACAATCTTTACTAGATTAAAATCAGCCAATTCAGGTTGGGAAGTGGAAATTTTCTACTTGAAAACCTAAGAAACTATTCAAACTTGTGGGAAGTTTTGTACTATAAATGGGCTGCATTCAATTATTCGTAATTAAGAAATTGATTGTAAATTTAGTGTAAATGATTGTTTTTACAATACATAAACAGTAACTGTATAGTCTTTAAAAATCTCAAATTGGTGGTCTTTTGAATCCTGTGACAAGCTGAGCAAGAGATTAAAAAGATAGATTTTTTGTTGAAAACAAAATACTAATTTTTCTTCTGCAGATGATGGTCTGAAAAACTCGTTTGCAAAACTTGAAAAAAATAATGTGCAGAAATGGCATATCATGTAGTGTGTGAGTGAAGCTCAATCAGAAGTGACATGTTGATTATCATAAACTATAAACACAATAATTTAGTAAAGATACATTTGTCGTCAGTTAAGAGCTGGTTAGCAGCTTTCTGTCCAATTGTTTTAATTAAGCATTTTAAAAAAAAGAAACATATATCCCATGATTGTAAGTAGTAGTCATAGTATTCAAACTTTGATATCACACATTCATTTGAAAAAGAAACAACAAAAAATCCTTTTTTTTTTTACAAGAGCAAAGCAAAACTAATTGCATTTTGTTTCATCACAAACAGCAGTTTTCAAATCTAAATGAATATTCCATTAACCATCTAAAAGACTTGAAAAATTCAGAGAAAAATTCTCCTGGTTTATAAAACAACAAAAGAATGGTTAGTACAGTAATCATAATCCTTAAGCTTGAAATGTTATGGATTACTGCTCAAAAATATAAAAATTACATTTAAAAAATCAGTAAAAAATATGAAGACAATTACCACATTTAGAACATGAAAAATATTCATAGAAACCTTTATGTTATGAGAAAGAAAAATTATGTGACAGAATATTTCAATGGTGTATCAATTTTTAATATCAGAGCTCCTTTTTAAAAGGGAAAAGCGGTACCTAAAATGCCAGCAATGAGATTTTAATGTTTAAAAATACTTCTCTTTTATCAATAGTGAAAGGTAGAATATCATGTGTACATTTATCTAAAAACTAGTAAAGTTTGAGTTTCATATTTAGCCTAAATATATAATTATATGTATATATATATTAGGCAGCTAAAACACGTATTCTGACAGATATTAATACAAATAAATGGGTATTTTAGTAAATATAGACAAAAAAAACTCATTTAAAAATGTAAAAGAAAACAGTATTAGGCACTAAAGTATTGCACATTTTTTTCTAAAGCTCATGTCTCCAATTTGCAAGAAATGTGACTACAGCAATGCTAGTTAGTAAAGCTAGATCAAATCTTTCTTGTAAGCTTGTAAATTATTGAAAATTATAATTACTCAGTACAACAAAGCAAAATATATAAACATATTTTTAGCTTTGAAAAGCTAAACAAAAAAACAACAACAAAAATGAAACAATGTCAACAAGCAAATTTTTTTTACATTCAAACAAAAGGAAGACTCTGGGCAATGAATATAAAAAACCCCAGCTATAAAACAAAAATTATGATGACATAAACATCACATAATGTATACAGCAACTAAAGCTCCCATAAATTACTTTTTTTGTTGCATTGAACACTTGAATTGGCACTGCATTTTCATAAGTTAGTCATATTAGTTTTTTGTTTTAGTTTGTTCTATTCATTGCATTGAAAGCCATGGGCTCTAACGTTGCAACAATTTTAGTCACAAGTATTATTAGCACACAAAAACATGCTTATCTAAAGCGACTAATTCTAATTAAAGTTGATTATTGCTAATTTTAATGTTTCATAAGAGAAAAAAACTTTATGCATTTATAATTATGATGAATGCTTTACCATAAAAAATTATGAAGACAAATGGATGCTAAATGAGCTTGGTGAGTAAACCAACTGTCAATTTGAGCAGCACTGAGCTTGAGAAAAATATTTGGCGGCACCAGCTGTCATTACAAGCCTTTCACTGCTATGGTAATGTTATACAAATAGAAAAAATTATATCGATCAACTTAATGGGTGGAGCCAACACTGTCCAAGCAAGCTTCACTATTGCTATGGTAAAGATGTTTACATAAATATATTTAAATAAGTATAAATCAAGTTTTAGGTGGGCAACTTTTAAAATTTTTTCTGCTGAGTTACTTTAAGGTAATTTTAAAAAAAACTGCTTTGGTTTATGCAATGAGCCAGAGGTTATCTATCTTTAAAAAATATATGGATGGGATTGGTTTTCATAAGAATTATATAAGTACAAGTAATTACAGCCCTTAACTGAACAGACAACCGACATTAGAAAAAATTAGTGGTAAAACAAAAACCAATCTCATCAGTAAATAAAACATGCCTTAAAAAACATTTGATCATTGACATCTGAGTAAAATAAGCTTAATCTTATGCATTGCTATCAATTGAAGTTTTTAAAAAATCTCATTAGTTGGTATTTTGTCAAATCAATCCAACAATTCTATATACCAGGATTTTAAGTCATTTTGTATCCAATTGTCTACAAAGAAAGACTCACCTACATAATATTAAGGCATAAAAAGTATTTTACTTAATTACAGGATTGAGTTAGCTTCTATGTAAAAATTAATTAAAACATGCACATTTGCATAATGATTGAATGTAAAATATTCTAAAGCACAGTTGCAATACAAAATGTAGAGAGAAAAATAAGAGTGTGAAATGATAGCACCATCCTCCAGTGTTTGTTGTAATCATACCTGGGTCGCCTTACAAAATACAACAGGGATGTTTCATACAGATTTTAAAACAAAAATAATTGCATCAATGAAAGAATGAACGATTAAAATAGACATTTTTTAAAATTCAGTAAAATTTTCCAGATTTGTTTAACAACAATACAGTGACCTAATTCTGGCAGGGATACACTGGTTACTAATTATAGTACAATGGAAATGCTGCGTTTTCTTTTTCCTGGTGGACAAATAAATAAGAATTGAATTGTTTTCCAAACAATGACTTGTTTACAATTCTCATAACATGAAATAGAAATAATTTCTAATAATGGAAGTATTATTTTGTTAAGACTTAAAAAGATAATTCTAGGAAAAATAATGACCATTGATGTGCAGAAATATGTGCATCTGTTGGACAGATTGATGCACCATAAGGGATGACTATGATTGCTAGATGACACCCACAGACAGAGGGAGCTTACAAGTTACCATGATTTTGTTCAAAGTAGCAGAGGTTTGAAACTACATTATAAAACACATTCATTTCAATATGGATGCTAAAAGTTTGAATGAATGAAACAGCTGTCTTTTTGAGGGTACTAAATAGAATAACTTTTTTTTTTTTTAAAACAGTAAAATCTAACAGGCAAGCAGGACTGGGTGCCATCACAACCTTGAAGTACTAGACAGGCACAAGGAGGAAGCCAAACATGAATCAAAAACACTAAACACAGTGCTCACATGGACATAAGGATCAATTGCACTTTGAGAAAAAAAAATAAAAAAACATGTTCAAGCTTTGTCGTCAGAGAGATTCAGAACGCAGCTGGTATCTTTCTCCACCTCGTAGTACACCGTCTTAGCCTCCTTCTCCAAGCTGTTCTCACTCTCAGGGAATGCTAGCGGGCTCTCTTCAGAGGAACTCTGGCAATGCTTGCTGACAGCATCATCAGAGAAAGATCTTTCTTGAATGGCTAAATGGGATGTGACAGTTATGGATTCTGTGGTGGCGTTATCGGGGGTGCTGACCTCAGTGTTGGAAGGTCCAATGCTGCTCAGCTCGTTCAGATCTATGTAAGGAACTTCTTTCGTTGCCCTCACAATTCTAACACAGTTCATGTCATTCATGTCTATTGGCTCTTGATCATTTTCCCTATAGAAAAATATAAACATCATCTTAAAAACATTGGAGATAGTATTAAAAAGCTGGAAATAAATCCAGAGCAGTTAAATTACAAATTGATTTAGTCATAAATCAATTATATATTGACTAAGTCTTAAAATAATATATTTAACTTAAGTTTTGCAAACATAGGTTTATTAAGTTTTGCTAACAAAACTTCAATAAATTATTTAATAATAATGTGATAAAGCCAAATACATTTAAAAAAAAAATTCAATAACACCAGACCTGTTATAAATAGCTATAGCAATGTGTGCAGGGTGTGGTACAGGTAGCGCCACCTCCAGCTTGTCATACTCCACACAGTGTAAACCACTGGTCGGGAAACAGCCTTGTGACCTAATCCATGCATCAAACCAACAAGTTATAAGCTGTATGTTTACTTAGTAATCTTAAACTGAATTTATATTTAAACTTATGATATTCTACATCAGTAGAAGTACAAATTATATTAAAAAACGAAGTATTTTCTGACCTAAGACTCGTCGACGGTAAAGTGCTGGAGGGCTGTTGCTGGGCGGGATCAAAGCAGACGACATCCAATTGAGGAGGAAGAACATTGACGTCCCCTGAAAAATTTGTTTTGTTTTAAATATCAGACCAAAAATAATGTTGGCTGGGCTTCTTTTACAGTATTCAACAGCATGGTCTTAAGTTTCTCAACACAAGATGCTTAATACAATAAAGTGTAATATTGGTGACAGACCTTCAGGTGTATGTAGCTCTACAACAAGGTCCAAATCATCATGAAAGTTGGATGACGACAGCATTTCAGTGTAACGCTTCATATTCATATGGTTGACCTGTGGAAACACAAAGTAATCTTGTTTTATCCCATAGATTTTAGTTACACTTCTTATTGATTTACTAAAAGACTTACACTGCCAATATGGTGATGGATAATATCTTATCTACTGATTATTTAAGAATGCAATAAAACATACAAAATTAAATGAAATGTTCTAAATATACACAACCTACATATATTAAAAGCATTATCACTATTTCTTAATTTATTACAGAAATATTAAATTTATTTAGATTTAGATCAGTGTTAGAATAACTTTAAAGGATACTGGTGCAAAAAATTACATTGGTAGAAAAAGGGGAAGCAACTAGGAAGTTTAAACCTAACACCTGTACTTTTTTTTTACCTTTAGCTGAAAATAGTTGTCTGTTTCTTCCAATGGCACCATGAAAGATGAGGCGAAAATTTCTTTCAATTTTTTGGCTGCGAAACCTATAAAATAGTTACATATTATCTAATCAATTATTTTTTTCCTAGCATTTTTTAAAATAAATATAAATTTTTATATTAGTATGTGTATACATTTAAAAAAAATAAAATTAGCTTTTTTTTTAGATATGATGTTGATCAGAGTATACATAATTTGAATTTTTTTTTAACTTCAAAAATTGTACATCAGATTAAAAAAGTTTAAATTAAAAAATAAATTAACCTTGCCAAGAAAGATAATTCGTGTTATATAATGTTATATGTAATGTTAATTTCTTTTGACTTGATAACTGTTAAATAATTTTTAAAATTTTAATTTAAAAAAAAATAAACCTCTCCAATCCCGAAACTCCAGCTCCAATATATCCCAGAATTCCTCCTCACTGAGTCCTAATCGGACAATCACATGATCGTAATAAAACTCTTCCAGCAACTTTGCTGTATATGCAACAGTCAACTATAAAACAAAAGGAAACTATTTTTATGAGCTGCAACAGAAAATAAAAACTAAAAGCACTAATGAAAAATACACCAACCAAAAAGCCAGCGACATAAAAAAGTGTAGCATAATTTGGTTTTAAGGTAAACGGGTTGCAGTTAAAAATAAAAACTACCTTTAGATCAGCTTCTGGAAGCTTAATCCTTCTCTGTAAATCTGGATTCAGGCCAGTGTAGAGTTTGACTTCTCTTCTAAACATTCAAAGAAATGGGAGAGATGATCATTATATTTCTAGAAAATATTATGCTATTAGTGTGCTAAAATTTTTAATGTAAAAATCCCATTCAATTATTTTTTAGGGGAAAATAAAACTATAAAGGATTGATTTTATTACTCATAAAATAAAAAATAAAATTTTACTTTCATCCTGTAGCCAAATTTTATGATCACTGGTAACAAATAAGAGTGGGTGAGCAATAGACTGTATTAGTTGTGCAGAAGCAAATAGATCCTTTTTGTGTGTAGAATAATGGCAAATACATATTTTTTAAAAATAGTGTTTTTAATTAGGTGTTCAAAACTGCTTGAGACTTACTCTGCAACCTTTATGTTTAGGTCTGATATGTACTGCGAAGTCTCCTTACACAACTGTAAATAAACACCATGCTCACATATGCTGGCTGAGAAAGGCTTGAAGCACTCATCTACAAATTTTCTGTTAGAATAATTAAAAAAACAAATTAACATGTTACTCTGGCTGGTGAAAGTTGATTAGGTGATCATAATTTTTCTTAGGAGCATTAATTTAACATTCATAATTAAAATCACAACATTAAAAGTAAGATAGTTCAGTTTTAAAGAATTACCCCACCGGTGCTTAAATTAAAGCCAGAATTGATATATACATATTCAGACAGGCCTTGTTAACTAATGCAAAGAAAATCAATATTAGAGAAGAAGAGAGTGTAAAAGACACTTATCTATCAAGGCGATCTACATGATCTAAATGTAAAAAAATGTGAAGATTTTTACATTTTTTTCCCCTGCATCCTACAATTTTTGTAAAAACCCAATATACATCGACATTTTATTTGACATGTTACCAGTGTTTCTTTCAGGCAACTCTCCATCCTGAGAAAATTGTCTGAAAGAAACCCTAAAACTCAGCTATTAAAAATGTGTATGACAGACTGAGACAGTTGAGAAAATTCAGTACCACATGTACTACCAGTTGTATTCAATGAGAAGACCTTAAAAAACTAATCCTAAACATACTATAAACTGCTCAAGTAAGTGACTACCTTATTACAGTCAGAGATACTAACTTGTAGACAATGTTTACCTCTAGACCATTAAGTTATGAGCAGGGGGGAAGTGGGGGTCTACTTAAAAGCCAATTTAGTGAACGTAATGCTGGGTAAAAGAGCACTTTATTACTGGCAATGTTTGTTCTCATAGAACCAGTTGTTTATACACTCCCCCCTTGTTTCCTGTGAGGGGTGGGCCTGTGTTTACACAGGAGACAGTAGAAACAAGCAGGAACAGCCCTTATCACCAGGACAGCGCTGCTATTTCTTTACATTTTCATTTGCTGGGCTTGTAGGAACATTACCTGAATCAACATAGCCCCCCTTGTGTAGGTCCTGGGTGTGTACATGATAGGATGAAACATTGCAATTTGATAGCTATGATGGCCTGATGATGGGGGCTGGTCTGACAATTACACTAAGCCTGCCTTTCACATTCCAACAAAATATAGATAAGCTAGTATTTGCTGTTGTATGACCAGGTATTACTATATCTATACAGTCTAAGCGAAGGGGGAGCATGAGGGAGGTTTGAATGAATTCAACTGACATACAAGGCCTAACTTGTCATTAATATATTTTTTAATGTTTGTAAATTCAGAATATTTCAGTAATGTAGTTGGAGATGTCTCATCCAGCAAAATCTCTTTAATAGACTTTTAAAACCAATTGTATTACTTAAACTACTACCATAGCCTAAATAAAATGCATGACAATTTATAAATCTTACTACACTTAAACTTGTGATTATAACAGTTTTATACTGGTTTTATTTTCTACTTTTTAGTATTTAAATTTAACAATGTTATTATAGATCTAACCATGAATCCATATTTAAGTTTTAAAAACAATAAGTAACATATTTATTCTTTCTTTAGTCTTTAATCAATAGGACACTCCAAAGAACTAAAAATATTTGCTTTAAAATCTGATCAGTAACTCTCAACAGCAATTATCTGCCCCTTATAAGCATGCCTTGTTTTGTCTCAGTTGTGTAAACATCTTTAACACCAAACTGACAAAGTGATCACTACTACTTAATCTTTTTATCTCCCCTTGTAGAATGTGGTTATCTTTAAATTAATTTATAATTAGAATAAAATGAGATATTAATTCACCGTCATCAGAAATTAACTTGTGTGTGTGTGTGTGTGAAAATCGCTGCATTGGAAATGAATCCAAATTTAGTTTCAGTGTTTTAGCCACAGACTTACAGACAGACATAGAGACATTGTGATCTAAGTAACCGCTTGTAACGAACATGGGAAGAAACAGGGGCGGGGTGGAAGAGGTGGAAAGAAAAAGGTAGGTCGGTATTGTGTAGGGTGAGGTCGGTATTGTGTAGGGTGGGGTCGGTATTGTGTAGGGTGGGGTCGGTATTGTGTAGGGTGGGGTCGGTATTGTGTAGGGTGGGGTCGGTATTGTGTAGGGTGGGGTCGGTATTGTGTAGGGTGGGGTAGGTATTCTGTAGGGTGGGGTCGGTATTGTGTAGGGTGGGATCGGTATTCTGTAGGGTGGGGTCGGTATTCTGTAGGGTGGGGTCGGTATTCTGTAGGGTGGGGTTAAAGTCAGCCTCATACCAACCGTCTAGGCGGAGTGGAATGTAAAAATAATGTAAATACGTTATACGTTTATATATCTCGGTGTGTAAATATCTATCTATCTATCTATATATATAATTCTCTTCTGGGATCAGTTAGAAAACAAGCTGCAAGCGCCTCCTTGCAGTCCCCTCTCTTTCTCTCTATCACTATCACTACCACCCCCATCCCACCCCAACATTGTCTGGTGAGCGGTGTTCACTCTAAATTTTTACAAAGCTAAATGTTTACAAATCGAAGAGCTGTACAGCCGGGTTTCTATTAGGGGCAAATAATTTAGTTCGATTTTAAACTTACAGGAGGTAACTAAGAAATAACTAAGAGGAGGCTGCTTTCACGGGGGGGGGGGGGGGGGGGGTGTAGGGTCGGGGTTAGGGGAAAGTGGGGGGGGGGGGGGGTTAGTGTTTTAAAGCAAGTATTTTCAGTGGCAGCATTGGTGTGAATTACTGAAAAGTAGAAAATAAAACAACTAAATAGCGGCGTATGATACGCCGCGGGTCGGCTCGTTGTATATAATTATTTATATAGGCCGAAATGGAATTTTACCCGCACCCCCCTCATAACAAAATCCCGCCGAGGCTTCAAACACTTTTTATTGCACGCAAAAGACAAACGTTCACTGTCCTACGAGGCTACGACAGGTAGGGCGGGATATTCCAATGATTCAGGAAACAGTTGCAAACGGTTGACCTCTGACCACGGACCAAACGGTTTCCAAAACGAGGCGATGAAGATCAAAAGGAACGTGGTGGGGAACAGCCAACATATTTGTTGTAGACCTACAGACTAAACGTCAACACATTGCCGAGATAGTTCTCATAATTTGGTAATCGTGGGCTTTGTACGGTGGTCACTGACGTACACATCACAACACTGGGCACCTTTTGTAAGGAGCCATATTGTCGGGGCTGTAATCAGTATTTCTTTCAGACTTTTTTTTTTCTCCGGAGGGGGGGGGGTGCGACTTTCGTTTTCGGGGGTTCGGGGGGGGGGGGACGACGACACTAGTAAAAGTATATATTTTATAAATTTCATTTCATTCGGGGGGGGGGGGGGAGTAGACTTTCTTCCGAAGAGATGACTGTAATGTATCGGGCCGTTTTGACTTGGTAATGCTAAATTAAAATGAGATGTAGGCCTACAGAAATCTTAACACAACAACGGGTTTTAAGACAACAGACGCAGACGTAGTGATTTAATTAAAATCTCCAAGATGAGCAAACACATTGGGTATCGGGTATCAGGACGTAATGTAGCTAATCTGACAGACCACTAAACACGCTGTACGTTAATATAAGAGACAGAGGTCAACTTATCGATGTTATATTATCCAGAAAAAAAACAACCTAGATATTGTGTAGCAGTGTTTCTTCCAGACTTTTTTCTCCGGGGGGGCACTTGAAATTTTCGGGGGGGGCGGTAGACTTTCTTCGGGGGGGGGGGGCGGACACTGTTAAAATAATATTTTTTCTATATAAATTATATAAATTTCATTTCGTTCGGGGGGGGGGGGGGGCGGTAAAAATTTTTCGGGGGGGTGGGGGGCTTTGCCCCCCCCCCCCCCGAAGAGATGCCTGGAAGAAACTCTGTTGTGTAGCCAATCTTTGTGGCTAACGTGACAGACAACACAAGCAAGCGGCATGGAAGAATAGACAGAGGTAAACATAATAATGGTATATTTCCCAGAATAAAAAGGACTGGGTATCGTGTAGCATGAAATGAGCTGCGGGGGATCAAAGAACACTATTGACCGCAAGAAGAATCAATGTTCAACTAACGTAGCAGATCTGGTAGCGGCTTTTTTTTTCCCCTTTGGGTATTGCCTTGTCGTTATTGAAAGTGGAGACGTCCATACTAGTATTTCTTCCCGTGGGTCTCGGGACAATTAGTCCGACGTTGGAAGCTCTGTCTTAAAGGAGACGTTTTACAAACACAACACAGTTACGTGTCGAACTGCGGTTGACGTTTCTTTAAATGGCTTTACAGAATATCCCTACATAAAAATAAATATATTTAAAATCTTGCCTTGTAATAATAAACTCAAAATTATCTTACGAATGTTGCATGAAATCGCTATTTCAGCTTACCCTAAACCTAACCATATAGTGGAAATTAAGCTTAGCTACCGCCTCGACGAACGTTGGTACCAATTCAACGAACACCATAACGCAACACGCGGTATTTGATCGAGCATATTTGAGGGGAATAGTTTCCCCCTCTGTGCCTCGTACAAAGTCCCGCAAATGTTTTGTAAACTAAAAACGCTGAAAGACTTGTGATCTCACTTTGTGTGTGTGTATGTGTGTGTGTGTGTGTATGTGTAGCACATCACACAATGTTGGAACTACCTGGGGTTGGGGGCGGCGATGCGTTGATTGTGGGACGGGAACACGTCCCTGCGCAGTTGGAAAAGTAATTGTCTTTCGGTTCTATTGGGAATCAATGAAAGACAGGGATGAGAGACAGACCATCAATTTCTGACTACACCGCGCTCACCACCCCACCGCTTCACAGTAAAAAAAAAATCAACTATAAAAATAGCTTTTTTTTTTTAAAAAAAAAAAAAGGAAAGAAAAAAACCAGTCCACCAGTGAAGATCGCGAAGTTTGAAAAAAAAAAAAAGAAAACCTAGAAGGCACTATCGGCACCTGCTAATTAAATTTTCTTACAAGCAATCGTCGAGGGAGTGATTTCCTCGCTAACATCATGTCACGGAAACGTTTTAGAGACTACCGTACATCTAACCTGCTGGGGTGGGGGGGGGGGGGGGGGGGGTAGAGATATGTAGTTTGTTGATATGTTGGAGATAACTGTCTTGATGACTATGTCGGGGGAGGGAGGAATCAAGATATGTGGTTTGTTGATGTGTTATAGATAAGTTTGCCGATGACTAAGTTCTGGGTATCTAAGTGGTGGGTAAAGTAGATACGGTCTGGATAATTTGCAAATACAGTGGTTCCAAAATGAGTGTGTCAGATGACGTTATTATGTGTAAAAAAGTGGGGATGAATTAGTGTGTGGATATATAAAATGTAGGTGTGCAAAACATTATTGTGTGTAAGATTTAGATGTGTAGAAGATTTAATTAGTATGATGTAGATGTGTTAGACGTAGATGTGCTTATGTGTAAGACGCAGGTATATGTAAGGCACGGGTATATGTAAGACGCACATACCTGTAAGACGCAGGTATGTGTAAGATGCAGGTACATGTAAGATGCAGGTCTATGTAAGACGCAGGTATATGTAAGGCGCAGGTATGTGTAAGGCGCAGGTATGTGTAAGATGCAGGTACATGTAAGACAGGTATGTGTAAGATGCAGGTATGTGTAAGACGCGGGTACATGTAAGACGCAAGTATGTGTAAGATGAAGGTATGTATAAGACGCAGGTATATGTAAGATGTATTTATGTGATAAGTTGTTGTGTAAGTTGTAGTTCTATGCAATACGAATGGATCGAGTCGTGTAAACAGTAATCTACCAATACCAACATCTGTAATGTTTAACTTTTAATATCCTTTACATTAAAATGCATCGCGGTCGTTTTGTAATACAACTACAGCCTGATATTAACGTTCCCTCCAAGGAGAAATGGGTAGTCTACAACATGCGCGGTGTTCTACAAGTCTTATACGAGGAAAGGACCGCGCAGTTTAAAGTTATATGTTAACATCTGTTCTACATTTCCACAAATGTCCATAGAATATAAGACATCACCACGTCCTCATGGGTATGAGTTTCTTACAATACGCCTACCTAGTCTTGTTATTTGACATTATGAACATGTTGCTTCAACAGTGACATTGGGGAAAACACCTTATTTTTTGCCTGCACCTATCTAACCCCCCCCCCCCTTCCTCCTTTGGTATCTGGTTACACCTAATGGTGGTATCTCTCTTGGACACCTTACCCTGAAACAAAAGCGAGACGCGGGGTAGCGTCTGACGTCCTAGAGAAACTAGAAACCTCATCTTTAGTTTGGCCCGTATGTATGAAACCCGGCGTGGAAGGTTCCGTACACTTCCCTCCAGTCCGACCCCCGTAAGTGTCGACCCGAATGGTTTGTGACGTGGGGCCGCCTGTTGATGAAGTGGGAAACGATGCACAGCGGGAAGCAAACTCGAGTCTATCATGGCAGGCCGCGCTGGTGGAGCAGGAATGTGCGCACGGCGAGTCGCGCGCCGGCCACCGGGACGCGGGACGGGGGACTTGAAGAAAGCTTGTCCGCCACTGGCAGTCAAACGAAACCTCGGTAGGCCTGGCTGGTAAACTTAGGGCAGGCGCGGATATACACACAACTGTTGGTTGGATGGATTGCTTTCTACAGCAGCCGGGCCGATAACGTCATGCAGTTAGACAGTAAGTCAGGACTCTGTTGTTTTGATTACACCTGTCGTTAAAGTAATGTCATTGTTGTTTTCATTCTGGACATTACACCTGTCGTTAAAGTAATGTCATTGTTGTTTTCATTCTGGGCATTACACCTGTCGTTAAAGTAATGTCACTGTTGTTTTTCTTCAGGTCATTACACCTTGTCTTTAAAGTACTTACATATCACACCTTGTCTTTAAAGTACTTACATATCACACCTTGTCTTTAAAGTACTTACATATCACACATTCTTTAAATTACTTATATCACACCTTGTCTTTGAAGTACTTACATATCACACCTTGTCTTTACTTACATATCACACCTTGTCTTTAAAGTACTTACATATCACACCTTGTATTTAAGTACTTACATATCACACCTTGTCTTTAAAGTACTTACATATCACACCTTGTCTTTGAGTACTTACATATCACACCTTGTCTTTAAGTACTTACATATCACACCTTGTCTTTAAAGTACTTACATATCACACCTTGTCTTTAAAGTACTTTATCACACCTATTCTTTAAAGTACTTACATATCACACCTAGTCTTAAAAGTACTTACATATCACACCTAGTCTTAAAAGTACTTACATATCACACCTTGTCTTAAAAGTACTTACACATCACACCTTGTCTTAAAAGTACTTACATATCACACCTTGTCTTAAAAGTACTTACATATCACACCTTGTCTTAAAAGTACTTACATATCACACCTTGTCTTTAAAGTACTTACATCACACCTTGTCTTAAAAGTACTTACATATCACACCGTGTCTTTAAAGTACTTACATATCACACCTTGTATTTAAAGTACTTACATATCACACCTTGTCTTTAAAGTACTTACATATCACACCTTGTCTTTAAAGTACTTTATCACACCTAGTCTTAAAAGTACTTACATATCACACCTAGTCTTAAAAGTGTTATATGTAACACCTTGTCTTTTAAGAGTCGTCTTTATAGAGTTCTAAGAACGCTAATTTACTATCTCTATACAGCTGGAGCCTCTTTTATTGGTTTCATATATCACTAACTAGTCTACTCAGTGTAACAACAGTGTAAATCTATGCCACGGAGTGAACTGTTACCTGTGCTTCATGTGTCTTCACATGAATAATATTACATTAGGCATCGCTATACATACTGGTTGATTATGTCTTTAGATAACGATTATTAGTGTATCGATTATTCTTACATCAAGCTAAGCGTAGCTCAGGTAGAGTAAGGCTAAACAAACTGCCGGGACAGATTAGGATTATTACAGTAGGTAATAGATAGGTATAATGGGTGCTCTGCCGTTAGGATCGGTGATAAACAAAACACAGCAACACGTGAACAAACTAGTTGGAGTATTTCCGTACATCGCTGTACAGCACACATAGAACAAAGTACCGGGGATTACAGTTTAAGTTAGGACCAACTAAGGTATATACTAAGATATAAACTCTAACGACGGTAAACATTGGATAACAACAAGCGGCGGTTAGTTTACTGGGTGTACAAAAACCCTGCGTATCATGTAAAACTAGGATTGTCTTAGCACGTCCTGGAATCATACAGCGTTGTTGTTCAGTCAGTCCTGATATTTACACTAATTAACTCCCCTGGCTACTGGCATTTTACCACCGCCCTGCCTCTCCCTGCAGGAGCATAACCTTTTGTTATGTAGCCGGCACCCACCTCTGTCATACAACAAACAGAGCTTCTCACTATAACCTTTTGTTGTGTAGCCGGCACCCACGTCTGTCATACAACATACAACAAACAGAGCTTCTCACTATAACCTTTTGTTGTGTAGCCGGCATCCACGTCTGTCATACAACATACAACAAACAGAGCTTCTCACTATAACCTTTTGTTGTGTAGCCGGCACCCACGTCTGTCATACAACATACAACAAACAGAGCTTCTCACTATAACCTTTTGTTGTGTAGCCGGCATCCACGTCTGTCATACAACATACAACAGACAGAGTTTCTCACTATGACCTTTTGTTGTGTAGCCGGCATCCACGTCTGTCATACAACATACAACAAACAGAGCTTCTCACTATAACCTTTTGTTGTGTAGCCGGCACCCACGTCTGTCATACAACATACAACAAACAGAGCTTCTCACTATAACCTTTTGTTATGTAGCCGGCATCCACGTCTGTCATACAACATACAACAAACAGAGCTTCTCACTATAACCTTTTGTTGTGTAGCCGGCACCCACGTCTGTCATACAACATACAACAAACAGAGCTTCTCACTATAACCTTTTGTTGTGTAGCCGGCACCTATCCCACAAGCTGTATCGTGTTATTAAAAATATTGCATCATTAAATATGGAAAAAAAAATTTAACGCTGTAAATTATTGTAAAACATACAGATCTTCCATCCGTAATAAGTGTCTGTATAAGTTACTTTGGGGGGGGGGGGGGGGGGGGGGGAGAGGAGGAGGAGGGGGGTGTGGTTATTTCAATAAAGCTACGGTCTACAATGAGCATACCGATGGTTTGAAATGCTAAAAGAAAAACGAAGGCCACAAAAAACATGATTAGCAAAGATAAAGATCTCCCCCCATTAATGTTTAAGTGCGGGAACATTAGAGAGACGAGCTCTGATTGGCTGAAAAAACTCCATGTCCTGCATGTCATGTGCTAATAACGCTAGACCTACTCTAAATCAAAGCCTACCCCCCCCCCCCCCCGACACGAAATATAATTTACATAGAAAATATATACTTTACCCCCCCCCCCCCTCCCCCCAAACAAAATAGATTTTATATTTTAAAAAATATATACCTTTGCTCATCCCCCCCTCCCCCCAGGAGAAAACATGTACAAGTAACACTGATCTGAACCATGCTGCATTAACAAAACTACATTTGAATTATTCATGTTTTTACAAGCATGTTGATTATGTTTTGCAATAGCGGATAAAGTTTGCCTGAAATTCTGCTCGGCATAATTCAATTTCAACGTAATTTTTTTTTACCGAAAGCCCAACATGCTGAATATTTTTTTCAATGCCAAAGCTTTTTTTTTAAAGTTCTGTGTTAAAACTAAATGTAGGGACGAAGCAGGTCCCTAGATACCCCTATACGTTTGTTAAATTGAAATATCAGATATTACGACGGTAATAACACGGAGAGATAGGATTGATAGAACATTCAAATTACATTCAAATTACATTGGAAGTGAGGAAGCGGAAAGGGGAAATAACCAGAGGTTAGCACGAGACAGTGTCTTTGTATTTCTGATAGCGCGGATACAATATTTCATAATGTAAACATTGGGGCATCTTCTTACAATACTTGCAATCAATGGCGTAGCTAGGATGGGGCGGCAATTTTTTGAAAGTATACAGGGGGCCTACTTTGAAGGGCTTCAGAAAAAAAATTCTTGCTACGTGCGCCATAACGCATAGCTACGCCACTGCCCGGGCGCCATAACGTATAGCTACGCCACTGCCCGGGCGCCACAGCGTGTGGCTACGCCACTGCCCGGGCGCCATAACGTGTAGCTGCCCGGGCGCCACAACGTGTAGCTGCCCGGGCAAAAGAATGTGTAACTCCACCGCTGCATAGAGTGCTCTGTACACAAACGTTTGGTTGGGTCCCCCCAACAACACTGAGGAAGGAATTAGACGCTGTCTTCTTATTTATCTGAGCAAACACGGCGAGGACGGCCATTAGTTTACAGTTACTCGTGTTAAACTAACTCAGCGGTACCTCGCCAAGAAACACAGCAGTACCAGCATGGTAGCGTTACACGTCTCTACCGGCATGACGGCCGCGTAAACAGCTAACTTTCGCGTACCTTTAGATGTCAGCAAACAGGTAACTTTCGCGTTTATTTAGATGTCAGCAAACAGGTAACTTTCGCGTTTATTTATGTCAGCAAACAGGTAACTTTCGCGTTTATTTAGATGTCAGCAAACAGGTAACTTTCGCGTTTATTTAGATGTCAGCAAACAGGTAACTTTCGCGATTATTTAAATGTCAGCAAACAGGTAACTTTTGCGTTTATTTATGTCAGCAAACAGGTAACTTTCGCGTTTATTTATGTCAGTAAACAGGTAACTTTTGCGTTTATTTAATGTCAGCAAACAGGTAACTTTCGCGTTTATTTATGTCAGCAAACAGGTAACTTTCGCGTTTATTTATGTCAGCAAACAGGTAACTTTCGCGTTTATTTAGATGTCAGCAAACAGGTAACTTTCACGTTTATTTAGATGTCAGCAAACAGGTAACTTTCGCGTTTATTTAGATGTGAGCAAACAGGTAACTTTCACGTTTATTTAGATGTCAGCAAACAGGTAACTTTCGCGTTTATTTAAATGTCAGCAAACAGGTAACTTTCGCGTTTGTTTATGTCAGCAAACAGGTAACTTTCGCGTTTATTTATGTCAGTAAACAGGTAACTTTCACGTTTATTTAAATGTCACTTAACAGGTAACTTTCACGTTTATTTAAATGTCACTTAACAGGTAACTTTCACGTTTATTTAAATGTCACTTAACAGGTAACTTTCACGTTTATTTAAATGTCACTTAACAGGTAACTTTCACGTTTATTTAAATGTCACTTAACAGGTAACTTTCGCGTTTATCTAGATGTCAACAAATAAGTAACTTCTTGTTATATGAGAGCTTACGGATAACTTTCGCATCAATTTGGTTCTCAGAAAATATGTAGCTTGTGAGTTTCTTTAAATTATCAAACAGGTAACCAAAGCGTTCATGATCTTTGCCTTTTTCCTGCAGGCAACCCCATGTCAGTCTCTGTGGTACAGCACCTCGTGAACACATATGATGCTATACAACGTCAAGCACAATGAAGCGCTTCAGTGCCCCGGCATCCGTCCACCCGGACCCGTCCCGCCCGCCGGATGACGACGACAGCGACGCCAGCTTGAGCGACGGCAGCAAAAAGGTCAAGACCGCCCAGTCGTTCGAGTCCCTGTTCAACAGCGAGTCCCTGAGCGACATCATCCTGGACGTCAACGCTGGCGAGTCCGTGTTCCACGCGCACAAGATGATCGTCGGCCTCAAGAGCGAGCGTCTGGCCGCGCTCATCACCAGCACGGCCACGGCGCCGGCCGACAACAGCAGCAAGCCCGTCCTGCATCTGCTGGAGGCCCCGGAGTGCAGCGCCGTCTTCAGCCGGTTCCTCTACTTCATCTACAGCGGCGCCGTCTGGCTCCACCGGGACTACGTCGTGCCGCTCTTCAAGCTCTCGGTCAAGTACGGGGTCAACGCCCTCGCCACGCACTGCGAGAACTACATCGGTCAGCTCCTGGGCAAATGTCTCAACGCCGAGAGCAACCCGCCCGCGACCCTTCCGGTCAGCACGGTGATTGACCTGTACGAGGAGGACGTCTACCGCGAGGAAACCAAAAAAGCGGCGTTTGCTGTGGTGGCGCGGCGTTTTGTGGAGCTGATCGGCAGTGACCGGTGGATTACCTGCAGGTGGAACACTGTCAGAGACCTGCTGCGGTACGACGACTGCCTGTGTGAGGAGAATCTAATTCTAGTCGCCGCCACCGACTGGATGAAGAAAAACAGACTGCAGGATAAAAACCGGATACAGGAAATTTTAGCATCGATCCGGTACCCTCGCCTGCCGAGGCGGGTACTGTACCACCTGTACACCACGGCCAGCTTCAAGAACTTCCCCCAGGTCCAAGACCTAATCGAGTCGGCTATCAGGTACCACTGCTTCAAAGACGTGCCCGAGGCACAGGGCGAGTTCCTCGGCTTGCAGTACCGCTCACGCGGCAAGAAAAGCCGGCACACGGTGTGTGGGGGTGAGACCTGCCCCCCACACCAACAGACCTGGCACCTGGAGACCTGCTCACAGACGTTAGCGGAAGATTTCAACGACAACATAGCCGAGGTGAGCAACAGCCGGGACGTCAACTCCAACAGCCACCACTCGCCACACACGTGCCACACCAGCAGACATTTCCACCACAACCGGCAGTGTGGGCACCATGCAGGCGGGGCATGTCCCAGCGCCATCACTTCCTCCATTCACAGCTCCCCCATAGCAGCAGTACAGCCGCGTGTAGTGTGTCAAACTTTGTGTGATAGCGACACACCCGACAGTGTATTACACACACACACCCAAGTGTGACACGCCTCAAGTAGGAGTTTCCAAAAAAACCGACTATTTACGACACAACCAAATCTGCCTACTTTTAAGTCAAGTGTGAGTGATACGCCAAACAAAATCTGGATATCTTACATGGATAAAATGGATTGCTTGACTTACTTGATGGATAAAATAGTTTGCTTTATAATTGTTAGATAAAATGGATTGCTTGACAGTTGCTGAATGATTTGGATTTATTGACTTGGTTGCTGTTAATTTTAATTGAACTAGCTGTTTGTGGTGTTGAAAGCTATGTAGTGATATCAATGTTTGACAGGCTTTATGTGATATATAAGCTGGTTGTGAGCTTTTAGTCACTCTCCTTTTAAGACTAGCTAGGCAGCTGTAAGCCTCTAGCTAGGCAGCTGTAAGGCTCTAGCTAGACAGCTGTAAGGCTCTAGCTAGGTCGCTTTAAGGCTCTAACTAGGAAGCTGTAAGGCTCTAGCTAGGCAGCTAAAAAGGCTAGTTAGCTATGAGTGAGCTAGCCATACCTGTAAATGGTTAGCTAGCTGTAAAGGCCTAGCTAGCAACACCTGTAGGGGGCTAGCTATGTAGCTAAAAGGGCTAGCTAGACAGCTGTGATGGTCTAGCTAGGAAGCTAAAAAGGCTAGTAAGGCAGCTGTAATGGGCTAGCTATGCTTGTAAAGGAGCCAGACTTGCCAAGACTGTATATTTAGTTCCATGAGACAATTTAGATATATGTATATGTGATAATTTTTAAAGTGTTTCACAAAGTATTTTATTTATGGCTATTGTGATGAAGACACTTTGTCCAAACGGGCCAACATTTTGATGTTTATTCACTCAGTTGAAATTAGCGTGTTAATCATTTCCTGCTTTCACTGGTTTAGACATTTAGATATTTAAATAAAATGATACAATTTACTTCTGATTTGTATATTTTTAGTATGGTTACTTTGTTTATTTAACAAGAAAAATCAGGGATGTACAAAATGCGTTACCTGTTGGCCTATAAGAATGAACATGACCTATTTGAACTCAAAGAAAGAACATGAACTACTTGAATTAGAAGAAAGAATGTGACCTGCTTTAGCTAGAAGAAAGTACATGGCATGTTTGAGCTAGAAGAAAGAACATTACCTATCTGAACGAGAAAGAAGAACATGACCTGTTGGTCTATAAGAAAGAACAAGACCTACTTGAACTAGAAGAAAGAAAACGACCCATGTGAATTAGAATAAAGAATATGACCTACTTGAATTAGAAAGAGCATGACCTATTTGAACGAAAAGAAAGGACATGACCTTTTGGTCTATAAGAAATAACATGAGTTGTTTGACCTAGAAGAAAGAACATGACCCATTTGAACTAGAATAAAGAACATGACCTATTTGACCTGTTTGAACTAGAAGAAAGAATATGAACTTTTTGAATTAGAAGTAAGAACATGACATGTTGGTCTATAAGAAAGAACACGACCTGTTGAAACAGAAGCGAGAACATGCATGTAGTACAGTGATCAAATGACACGTACAAACGGTGCAGATGGAGCAAATTGTCTAAACCCCAGCCACCACGAGCATCAAGCACACAGCACATGCAGCGTCTGACGCTGTAAACAAAATGCTAGCCGAGATGCCCATGGGAAAAGATCCAGTAGGTTGTAACCTTACACCAGCAGACACATAGGGGGAGGACACATGCTGTGCTGCAGCAATGACAGGCTAATGCTGCTAGTCAATGCCACAATTTTCTTAGAGGTCGTCTATAAAAGACAACACACACCCAAAGGGGAAGACAGAGGGGGGATGGTGGAGAAATTGTGATGTAGCGTGTACTGTGTATTTCGTAAGAATGTTTTTTTTTTTTTTAAAACAAGATAATTTCTGTTCGAAGTATAGTTATTTTAGAGTGAGGGGCTAGCAATTTGTAACGTCAGCAAGGAAGAAAGTAGTCAGGATCTTTGGGATGTCGTGAGTGGGTGGGGGGGGGGGGGAGATGGGGAAACCCTCTAAAGTGGTGTGGAGTCATTTATGGATGCCTCCACCCCTAACTATAGTCAAGGTAGCCTCATGATCCAGTCACATGGTTTTTGTAAAACTGTGCCAGTCACGTGATTTTAAATGGTGCCATAGCGCGGGGCGTGTCACGTGACTCCATGTTCGGAGCTATATTTCATCTCGATTATAGGCCGCTTCACAATCAACGTCTTCCACAAACAGGTATTTAACTGGGTCCGTCTCCCCCGTCCCCCCAGTCAACACGGCGATCCTCACCGCAACCCCATAGCTGCGGGGCAACATCCGGGTAGTTAACCCCAGCCCCCATCAAGGTACGGGTATTTAACAATGTGAAGAGGGCAGGTAACATGATCAATTATCGGTGCCCCCATCAGTCAGTAAAACGTCTTCCCTCTCCACCCACCCTTTCCCCCCCCCCCCCTCTACCTACACCAACCTTCCTTCTCTCGTCTGCTCCATCTTGCTCCAGTCGAACATCATCAACGATATTTTTTAAGCTGTTTTACGACTGCTTCACAACGCAGAGGATGAGTTATCTAACGCTGATGGTAAAATAGTCGTTTTTAAATAGTCAAGTAGCAAAATGTTGCGTTATGTTTTGCAAGCTTGTTCTTGAAGCTGTAGCATTTCAGAAGTATTTGAATAAATACGTGATGATTTGAGAAAAGTAGGTGTAATTGTAAATTGTAGCAGTAAGTGTGTGTAAGTAGCAAACTTGATTGCTAGAAACTTGTGCTAACAGCAATGTAACTAGTAGCAAACGTGTGTGTTAGAAACATGTGTTAACAGCAATAGGTGAAAGCTAGTAGCAAACTTGATTGCTAGATACATATGCTAACAGCAATGTAGCTAGTAGCAAACGTGAGTGTTAGAAACATGTGCAAACAGCAATAGGTGAAAGCTAGTAGCAAACTTGATTGCTAGATACATGTGCTAACAGCAATGTAGCTAGTAGCAAACGTAAGTGTTAGAAACATGTGCAAACAGCAATAGGTGAAAGCTAGTAGCAAACGTGAGTGCCAGAAACATGTGCTAACAGCAATGTAACTAGTAGCAAACGTGTGCTGCCAGCAAGCGTGTACTAGCAGTAATGTTGTAACAAAGTTTTCCAGCGCATGATATATGTTAAGGGTGAAAAAATTCGAGATCCATTAAAGTCTAGATGAAGTTTTAACATCAGCCCCATTTATCTAAGTGCTGGCAATCAACTGGGCGTTTCTTTAAAACATGTCGTGTCCAGGGGGACTAGCTCGCTGTTCTTGGGTTACCAGTGGTTCTCATTTCTCGAACTACCCCGGACCAATTTCATTTCTAGACCCAGTGGTTCTTACCTCTCGACCCAGACAGGCCAGGTAAAAGCTCATGTCTAAACGCAACCCCGGTCTAATATCATTACACAACCCAACCCAGGTCCAATCTCATTACACGAGCCAACCCAGGTCCAATCTCATTACACGAGCCAACCCAGGTCCAATCTCATTACACGACCCATCCAAGGTCCAATCTCATTACACGACCCAACCCAACCCAGGTCCAATCTCATTACACGAGCCAACCCAGGTCCAATCTCATTACACGAGCCAACCCAACCCAGGTCCAATCTCATTTCACGACCCAACCCAGGTCCAATCTCATTACACGACCCAACCCAGGTCCAATCTCATTACACGAGCCAACCCAACCCAGGTCCATTCTCATTACACAACCCAGGTCCAATCTCATTACACGAACCAACCCAGGTCCAATCTCATTACACGACCCAACCCAGGTACAATCTCATTACACGACCCAACCCAGGTCCAATCTCATTACACGACCCAACCCAGGTCCATTCTGATTACACAACCCAGGTCCAATCTCATTACACGAACCAACCCAGGTCCAATCTCATTACACGACCCAACCCAGGTACAATCTCATTACACGACACAACCCAGGTACAATCTCATTACACGACCCAGGTCCAATCTCATTACACGAACCAACCCAGGTCCAATCTCATTACACGACCCAACCCAGGTACAATCTCATTACACGACACAACCCAGGTACAATCTCATTACACGACACAACCCAGGTACAATCTCATTACACGACCCAACCCAGGTCCAATCTTATTACACGACCCAGGTCCAATCTCATTACACGACCCAACCCCAATCTCATTACACGACCCAACCCAACCCAATCTCATTTTCCCCAGCCCACCATCTTGCCCTCATGCTCTGACACTTTCTTTCTTCTTTAATCTCATTAAAAATGTCAAGATTTTCTGGTCAGATCATTAATTAAAACATTTTTTTTAAAATGTCCCTGAACTTTTTTTTTAAAACAATCCCGTCCCCACCCACCCCCCTGGCGTCATGTTACAAATGCACATTTCAAAGAACCCAAGCTGAGAAAACGAGCCAGAAAAAAAAGAAGCACAAAGTCATATTTGCCGGTCCTATATCCCAGGGTTTACTGGCGTCATAACGAGGAGCAGATTGACTGCAACACGACACTGAGGGCTAGCGGTGGCGGGCTTTACTGATCAATTATACAACAATGGATTCGGGCCCGCACGTGTGGGAGATAGTTGTATCGTGGTCCACCGCTAGAACAAATAAAAAACTCGCGATGGAAAAAGATAGCCGGAATTATCCCCCCCTCCCCTGGTGTATATATACCTTCCGCTATAGCCACAGAGGCTTTTAAAAAAAATAGTTTTCTGTTATCCTTGGTTTTTTTCCCCTTCTCCCAGTAGGTTGTCTGCCCTTGTGTGGGTCTACTGGCCTGTGATGAAAACAATCAAGGTTCAATTTTTTTTGCTCTGCGGTGCATGATTCTTTTTGTGACCTCGCCTGTACGTTTATATATTCACATTCAAATGTCAAGCTCGGTGCATTTAAAATGTGAATAAAGGGAGAATAAAGAATCTTGGGTTTTTTTTTCAACTTCATAAAACATCGCTGGTTGAATAACATCTAAGCAATTTTTTTTAATGAATTCAAGGTGGGGAATAAATAAACCTACCGTCAGTAATTATCTATTCTATACTCAAGGGGCGTAGAGATGGCATTAAATATTTCAATAAAGTAGATAACAAAAATGTTTTTAAATTTAAATCTTTCGTCCAAAACACAACACAAAACGGCGCTGGATGCGACGAGGAAAAATCTTGGATGTTTCTGTAGCTCTAGCGATGTCTACGTTTCTATGTTAAAACCTGCTAGGCCGAGGGTAAAGAAAAGGTTGGGGGGGGGGGTGAACTGCTTGCATACTTGACATGGCTATGTACAAACAAACTGGGGGCTGACCCTTGTGTACACTTTTAGATGTGTACAAACATAAACTTGTAGCCCGGGCAAACAAAGCGCCCCCACGTGATGGGGCGGAGGGAGGCAGGGAGGGGGGGGGGGGGGTGTCCATCCCATTAAGGAAATGAAACACGGAATCGGAATATCCTCCAGACAGCTTTGCCAAAGAAATTAAAACCTTACCAATGATAAACGAGAAGACGAAAACCAATCACAACTTTTGGCCCCGTTATGCAGGGGAGACTTTCTTTTTCCAATCAATCACTGAATCTAACAGGATGATTCATGCTTCACAATACACTTCATATAGGCAGCACGCAGCTTCAAACAATATCGCGCGTTATAATGTGTTAGCCCAGCCGGATCAATGGTGGACAATAAAAATACGTGGCTATTACATGGGCCGGCGACTAGCACTTACAGTACGGTATAGGACAATGGTAAACATAACCACTGCCATTACATCGGCGACTAGAGCTTACACTACGGTATAGGACAATGGTAAACATAACCACTGCCATTACATCGGCGACTAGAGCTTACACTACGGTATAGGACAATGGTAAACATAACCACTGCCATTACATCGGCGACTAGAGCTTAC